AGTGGATCTAGGTTTTGAATAACAAATGTAAATAAAAGTTAAAATATATATTCTGACAAGTTCTATAACTTTATTTTTTTTTACAAATCCAACACTATCACATATTTTATACAAATCCAACACGTTCACAATGACAAGGAAAAAAGAAACTTTCTATAGTATACTAAATATTGGCAAAATTATTAAATTATTGGAGTCGGAGAGAGAAGGGGGGGGGGTCATCCTATAAACTACATAGACTTTCTGCGGCAATTCATTTCCATACTAATCAGGCAAGTTTTTTTTGAAAAACTATTTTACTTGTATGATAAATCAGATTCAATAATTTAATGATACAAACTCGGTTTTCTTGATCAATGTCTATAGAAGCTCAACGAGAACTTTATCTATTTAACAAAATCTATTGAACAAACAAGGAAAACAATTGTCTGATTAATGATTAATCAAGATAAATCAGTAAATATCAAGTTTAGTAAATATATAGTTAAAACTATAAGAAAAAGAGGTGATGTCAAAATTGCACTTGACACAATAGAAGAAAAATAGATTTTTGGAAATTGTGGGCCATCGTATTTATTAGTGAATTGCTTCTTATGGCAACAGTGGCTGTCAGCTATCATCCGCAACTGTACTCGGCAATGCTGGTACCGGACATCCATGACTGTACCTGCTCACTAATATCAAAAACGGAATGTCAGAGCAAGATTTTCCGGATTGTTCAACGTATATGTTGTTGATTAAGTATGGATTGTTTTTAATAAACAATACGAAATGTGTTAATATGGAGGAAAGAAAATTTCTGATTTTAAATAAATCTACTTTATGGAAGGCTGTAATCGCCAAAACGGTAACGATAACTGGCTTAGTGAATATATCGCGAAGTTTAAGCGAGGTGAGGCAGACGACGAGAAAAGAGTTGCAAGCCTTCTCTCTTTTTATGTATCAGTGGAAAACGAGATATTGAAAAACAGCTTATAGAGACAAAAGGGTTACATTATCGATAACATGTAGTGCATATTAGAACACAAATATAGGAAAAAGGTGACTCGACCCCATATTTAAAAAGAAAAAAAATGGAAAAGGGGGGGGGGTGTCCAGACCCCAAGTGCCTGTGATCTTTATATTACCCATGACAGTGATACCGAGACAAACCAGACAAACCTTTATAATAAATATACCAAAAATGGAATCAATAATCCATGGATATCTTGCATACAGAATATTCTTAACACTGCAGGACTATGTAATGTTTGGAATGATCAAAATTTTCATAGTGTTAAATGGATTGCGACTGCAATAAACCAAAAGCTTAAAGACCAATTTTTACAAAAATGGTATAGTGATATGAATAATTCCAGTAAAGGTATTACATATAGAATTTTTAAAACAAAGTTTGAATGTGAAAAATACTTAACTATTTTACCAAGAAAATTTAGAAATATCTTTTCAAAATTCAGACCAAGTAATCATCGTCTTCCCATAGAGGTGGGTAGATGGAATAATGTTGAAAGAAATGAAAGAGTGTGCTATTTATGTAATAATAATCAAATTAAAGACGAATTTCATTACTTACTGGAATGTAATGTATTTTGTAATATTCGAAAAGATTTTCTGTTAAAGAAATACTATGTACATCCAAATATTATAAAATTCTGTAATTTAATGACAAATACTGACCCAGCATTCTTAAGAAAATTGTGTATATTTATCATCAAAATTTTTGACACTGTCTGTCCTCCTGTACTCTCTGCTCGTCCATAGTTATTGTAAATATGTATATATGTACCTCTTGTACCATTCATATGGTTTTTGAGAGAATAAATGAATGAATGAATGAATGACAGTGATACCGAGACAAACGATGTCAGCAGTAATTAGGGAAGGATCCAAAACTTTTACAGATTTAAATTTAAAGCTTTATGTTCAGAGTACAATATGAGCCAGGTCTTTAATTTTTTTTTTGTGGGGGGGGGGGGGGGGGGCTGGGGGCATGATTTCAATATCCTACGTGCTCAATAATCATGATGAATTTAAAATGAAACATGCTAGTATAATTATAGAAAATATATGAGTAAACAATAAACAAAGTAAAATAAAAAAGGAAATTAAAATAAATATTGGAATTAATTTGTAATCCTTAATTTTATGTTAGAAAGTATAAGTACGTCACAATATTATTAATTTCACCCATTCCATTGATCACGCAAGTGGTGTCAGTGAAAAACACAGGTTTTTTCCCATAAATATATGTCTTACGATATATACGGGTGGAATGGGCTGATTCACCCGTTTTCAATGTGTTATATATAAACATCTCAAGTGCACCCCAGGAAGTAGCCTCCTATGCCCTGCATGAAAAAGAATAGATCCTGACAAAAAAAACCTTTATTTATTTACAAAGTACATAAAATTTACTAGGCATAGGCATCAAAGTTGTAAAAATAGACTGGAAGACCCCCCCCCCTCCCCCCCAAAAAAAATTAATGCTATAATTATCGATAACATCCGAAGAAAATATTTGTATAAGTAAATATTTTTATTAGATCCACCTCTCTAAGATTCTGCTGTACTGTCCAGACAACTCTAGAAATTTTACACCATGACTGTACCGGTGTCTGATTGACAACATCCACGACTGTACCTGTCCAGTACACACACTTTATTCTACATCCATGACTGTACCAGTGCTTATAAACAACATCCATGACAGTACCTGTGCCTTATAAACAACATCCCTGACTGTACCTGTGCCTTATAAACAACATCCCTGACTGTACCTGTGCCTTATAAACAACATCCCTGACTGTACCTGTGCCTTATAAACAACATCCATGACTGTACCTGTCCAGTACACACACTTTATTCTACATCCATGACTGTACCAGTGCTTATAAACAACATCCCTGACTGTACCTGTGCCTTATAAACTACATCCCTGACTGTACCTGTGCCTTATAAACAACATCCCTGACTGTACCTGTGCCTTATAAACAACATCCCTGACTGTACCTGTGCCTTATAAACAACATCCGTGACTGTACCTGTGCCTTATAAACAACATCCGTGACTGTACCTGTGCCTCATAAACAACATCCACGGCTGTACTTGTGCCTTATTAACAACATCCATGACTGTACCTGTGCAGTATACACATCATACTCTACATCCATGACTGTACCTGTGCCTTATAAACAACATCCACGACTGTACCTGTGCATATATACATACTTTATTCAACATCCCTGACTGTATCCGTGCCTTATAAACAACATCCACGACTGTACCTGTCCAGTACACACACTTTATTCTACATCCATGACTGTACTTGTGCCTTATAAACAACATCCACGATTGTACCTGTGCAGTATACACATCTAATTCTACATCCCTGACTGTACCTGTGCCTTATAAACAACATCGACAACTGTACCTGTCCAGTACACACACTTTATTCTACATCCATGACTGTACCTGTGCCTTATAAACAACATCCATGAATGTACCTGTGCAGTACACACACTTTATTCTACATCCCTGACTGTACCTGTGCCTCATAAACAACATCCACGACTGTACCTGTGCCTTATAAACAACATCCATGACTGTACCTGTCCAGTACACACACTTTATTCTACATCCATGACTGTACCAGTGCTTATAAACAACATCCATGACTGTTCCTGTACCTTATAAACTACATCCCTGACTGTACCTGTGCCTTATAAACTACATCCGTGACTGTACCTGTGCCTTATAAACAACATCCGTGAATGTACCTGTGCCTTATAAACAACATCCGTGACTGTACCTGTGCCTCATAAACAACATCCACGACTGTACCTGTGCCTTATTAACAACATCCATGACTGTACCTGTGCAGTATACACATCATACTCTACATCCATGACTGTACCTGTGCCTTATAAACAACATCCACGACTGTACCTGTGCATATATACATAATTTATTCTACATCCCTGACTGTACCTGTGCCTTATAAACAACATCCATGAATGTACCTGTGTAGTACACACACTTTATTCTACATCCCTGACTGTACTTGTGTCTTATAAACAACATCCACGACTGTACCTGTCCAGTACACACACATTATTTTACTTCCATGACTGCATCTTGCTTTTTTAACAACATCCAAGAAAAGTTATTCAAGGCTCTACTTAAAGTTTGTTCTTTTTCGTTTGTGACCCGAACCCCCACCCCCAATGCAACCCCCATCCCATCAAAAAAATTGAATCATATGCCTGCAAGAAAGCGTGGGATTTAGACTTTTGTTTTTAAGAGGAAATACTCCTTCTTTCGATATACTCCATCCTCGTCTTCACAACTTCTGCCAAGTTTTATTATTATTGTAGAAGAGTTTATAAGTAATGGATTAATTATTTTAAAACCAGTGTCAAAAAGTTAACTGCTCATTTAAAACTCTTCTCATAAAGAGGGGGAAGGGTTAGACAATTTTATAAATTGAAATCGGGCTTTAAACATAACGAGTGAACCAGATTTTCAAATACTCATTTTAGTCTGTAAACATATGTTCTACACCCTCACTCACCCACCCACCCCCAAATAACTCACTCCCCTGAAACAAAAAACAATTGGTATAAATTTGAAGTTGTGAAATAACAATTCATAATACTTGAAAAAGGAATTGTTGTTTCAGTGAGGGGGGGGGGATAAAAATATTTTCCGTTGATTTCTATAGAGATGAAGTTTTACCAAAATTACAAACATATCTCTCTTTGTTTTCCCAAATAAGTTATGTTTTCTGATAAAATTCACATAAATATTCGGTATATAAATATGAAAAAATCATTCCAATATGTTAACTTTCTAAATTAACTCTGCGATAGGTGGCAGAATTTTACTATCATTCTTGCTATCATATGGTTTATTCAAGCATGCGTATTAAAGCTATTGAGACAAGCCTTCTGCATTAGCAATACTAGTCCCCTACCGGAAAGTGTAATCTGGTTCCCATTAAAAATTGAAAATGCTGTAATTCTGTCAAAAAATCATTGAAGCGGAACAAACTTGATCTATAACTCATCAAGATACACTGACATACCAAACATCAACACTCAATATCTGCAAACGTTTTTTAAAAAAAAGTGTGGAAAACCCTTAAAAATTAAAAAGGTTGTAATTCCCTCAAAAATCAATGAAGCGGAACGAAATTAAAAACTTGATCTGTAACTCATCAATACACACTAACATATCAAAATCAGCTTATCTGCAAGCGTTTAGAAAAAAATGCGGAAAACCAAGTGGGACAGAGTAACAGCTAGGCGGACAGACAGACGGACGGACAGACTCAGAGGAAACCTATCGTCCCCTCCGGTTTCAATTTATTTTATTAGTTGTTTATAGAAACCGGAGGGGACGATAGGTTTCCTCTGAGTCTGTCCGTCCGTCTGTCGGTCTGTCTGTCTGTCAGTCTGTCCCATTTGGTTTTTCCGCACTTTTTTCTAAACGCTTGCAGATATTGAGCTGATTTTTGGTATGTGACTTTACCATGATGAGTTATAGATGAAGTTTTTATTTCGTTCCGCTTCATTGATTTTTGACGGAATTATGGCATTTTCAATTTTTAACGGGAACCAGATTACACTTGCCGGTAGGGGACTAGTATTGCTAATGCAATACTCTCAGAATGCTTGTTCTTGATGAAAGGGCAGATTAATTACTCTATTTGCATAAATGTACCACAAAATTAGAACTCTTTTGTGTGCAGTGTATAGAGGGCTCTTAAGCACATGAAAAAAAAAATCAACCTTTTCCTCATTTTCCTCTCCAGTTTATGTCATGTTTCATCATTGGCTTATTTCTTAATTCTTTTGAATGCCATTTAAACATTGAATTGTGAAGTGTAGATACATGTAGTATTACATGTACGGCAATAATTATTTTCAATAGGTCTTTCTTTGTTAACACGATAAAATGCACTATTCCGTCCTAAAATGTTTTTAACTATGAAAACATTTTTACACCTTCTTCTGTGCCAATCCCAAAGTTGCGGGGTATTATTATCATAGTTTACAACTGATTATACGTCAAACGTATACGACAAATGTTTATCAAAATTAATTAAAATTAATAATAGTAATTGGCTATGAGTTGACCTATAGCTTTGAGTTTTCCACCTGTACACTGATGATTATTCGTGTCACGAACTTGATTTTAATTGATTTTCATGGTCAAATTTTAAGAGTCAATGACACACTTAAAGATCAAAGTTTGTGAGTGAAATAAAATTGTTTAAATATTGTTGTTTTTTATGGTAGGATGGTCCAAATACAGTATACAATACGTACCTCTTAAATCCTGAGAAGTTTATTGTGTGTAAATCTTGATTATAAGGCATAGGTACAGTCATAGATGTAGTGTGTGTGTCATACACAGGTACAGTTGTGGATGTTGTTTATAAGGCACAGGTACAGTCATGGATGTAGAATAAAGTGTGTGTACTGGACAGGTACACTCAGGGATGTTGTTTATGAGGCACAGGTACAGTCAGGGATGTAGAGTTAGATGTGTATACTGCACAGGTACAGTCGTGGATGTTGTTTATAAGGCACAGGTACAGTCATGGATGTAGAATAAAGTGTGTGTACTGAACAGGTAAATTCGTGGATGTTGTTTATAAGGCACGGGTACAGTCAGGAATGTAGAATAAAGTATGTATATATGCACAGGTACAGTCGTGCATGTTGTTTATAAGCACAGGTACAGTCAGGGATGTAGAGTTAGATGTGTATACTGCACAGGTACAGTCGTGGATGTTGTTTATAAGGCACAGGTACAGTCATGGATGTAGAATAAAGTGTGTGTACTGGACAAGTACAGTCGTGGATGTTGTTTATAAGGCACAAGTACAGTCAGGGATGTAGAATAAAGTATGTATATATGCACAGGTACAGTCGTGGATGTTGTTTATAAGGCACAGGTACAGTCAGGGATGTAGAGTATGATGTGTATACTGCACAGGTACAGTCGTGGATGTTGTTTATAAGGCACAGGTACAGTCAGGGATGTAGAATAAAGTGTGTGTACTGGACAGGTACAGTTGTGGATGTTGTTTATAAGGCACAGGTACAGTCAGGGATGTAGAGTTAGATGTGTATACTGCACAGGTACAATCAGGGATGTTGTTTATAAGGCACAAGTACAGTGTTAGTGTAGAATAAAGTTTGTGTACTACACAGGTACAGTCGTGAATGTTGTTTACAAGGCACAGGTACAGTCATGGATGTTGTTTATAAGGCACAGGTACAGTCGTGGATGTTGTTTATAAGACACAGGTACAGTCATGGATGTTGTTTATAAGGCACAGGTACAGTTAGGGATGTAGAGTTAGATGTGTATACTGCACAGGTACAGTCAGGGATGTTGTTTATAAGGCACAAGTACAGTGTTGGATGTAAAATAAAGTGTGTGTACTGCACAGGTACAGTCCTGGATGTTGTTTATAAGGCACAGGTACAGTTGTGGATGTTGTTTATAAGGCACAGGTACAGTCATGGATGTTGTTTATAAGGCACAAGTACAGTCATGGATGTTGTTTATAAGGCACAGGTACAGTCATGGATGTTGTTTATAAGGCACAGGTACAGTCAGGGATGTTGTTTATAAGGCACAAGTACAGTCATGGGTGTACTGGACAGGTACAGTCGTGGATGTTGTCAATCAGACACCGGTACAGTCATGGTGTAAAATTTCTAGAGTTGTCTGGACAGCACAGCAGAATCTTAGAGAGGTGGATCTAATAAAAATATTTACTTATGCAAATATTTTCTTCGGATGTTATCGATAATTATAGCATTAATTTCCTTTAATATGATCAATTATTTTAATACCATACCCTACATATTTCAGGTATCACACCACGGTTATCGACCAGTCAAGATGTTAATTGTTCCATGCATATAAAATTAATTTTTATTTCTTTTGAGAATTTATTTTTTTTTTGGGGGGGAGGGGGGTTCTTCCAGTCTATTTTTACAACTTTGATGCCTGTGCCTAGTAAATTTTATGTACTTTGTAAATAAATAAAGGTTTTTTTGTCAGGATCTATTCTTTTTCATGCAGGGCATAGGAGGCTACTTCCTGGGGTGCACTTGAGATGTTTATATATAACACATTGAAAACGGGTGAATCAGCCCATTCCACCCGTATATATCGTAAGACATATATTTATGGGAAAAAACCTGTGTTTTTCATTGACACCACTTGCGTGATCAATGAAATGGGTGAAATTAATAATATTGTGACGTACTTATACTTTCTAACATAAAATTAAGGATTACAAATTAATTCCAATATTTATTTTAATCTCCTTTTTTATTTTACTTTGTTTATTATTTACTCGTATATTTTCTATAATTATACTAGCATGTTTCATTTTTAAATTCATCATTATTATTGAGCACGTAGGATATTGAAATCATGCCCCCCCCCACCCCCCCACCCCCAAAAAAATAAATAAAGACCTGGTTCATATTGTTCTCTGAACATAAAGCTTTAAATTTAAATCTGTAAAAGTTTTGGATCTTTCCCTAATCACTGCTGACACCGTTTGTCTCGGTATCACTGTCATGGATAATATAAAGATTAGCGTTAATTGCGCTTTGATTGAATTCAGTTTATATCTAAATCGGAGAAAATCCACAGAATTTTTTGTTATGGATGTTATTAATCAAGCGCGGGTTGAGTCAGTGGTAGTGTGTATGTACGGCACAGGTACAGTCGCAGATGTTGTATACCAGGCAGAGGATACAATCATAGATATACAAAATGTAGGCATAGTCAAGTTTACATATATTTTCCGCGATATATTCACTAAGCCAGTTATCGTAACCGTTTTGGCGATTACAGCCTTCCATAAAGTAGATTTATTTAAAATCAGAAATTTTCTTTCCTCCATATTAACACATTTCGTGTTTTTCATTAAAAAACAATCCATACTTAATTAACAACATATAGTTTAATATGTTGAACAATCCGGAAAATCTTGCTCTGACATTCCGTTTTTGATATTAGTGAGCAGGTACAGTCATGGATGTCCGGTACCAGCACTGCCGAGTACAGTTGCGGATGTTAGCTGACAGACCCCACTCTCTTATGGTTCTGCTGACCATGCTGACTGTCATCAGACATCAAGTGACTTATGTCAATGCATGCTTATAAATTACATTATCTTACACTAAACTCTTAAATGCGTAATTATAAATTACTTGTTTACACCGGGACAAAAATGCTGATTGGGTGTAAACAAGAATAGTCTAGTCTAATCAACTTGGTACGAACTAATATGTGCACACGCACGTGTCGATAAAACATAAACAACCAGTTAGTGAGTTGCCGACTGACGGCAATATTTACGGACTATGAGTTAATATACGATGGATGGTTGATAAAGATGACAATGTGAGGTGGAGTTCTTTCTCCCTATTCAGTGTAGCTATTTCAAAATACTAATTCATCGCCTAGTTTTTACAAATAATAATATTTTTTATAAGAAATTTTGTGAAAGTAGATCTCAGTAGTTTGACGCTATAGATGTATATATTACATCAGAGACCTATATGGTTTTTATATGTCTCTGATTACATCATCCAGGTTAACTACTCACCAGTTGACAACAAAATCGTTAACATCAATAAATAGCTATAAAATATTTAGACATTCTCTTGTTTTACACAATCATGCTTCGTTCATGAACAAGGTTATTGACCTGGTAGGAAAAGTTCACGGTTAAAGTCAAGGTCGTCCTTGTTGACATACAGTGAACAGATAAAATCTAAAATCTCAGTTTATCTACAACGGACCAGATACACAAACCAACAGAAAAAAATAATGACTATGATTTGATGCAGATAGAAGTAACACGAAATAAGATCATGCTACAGTTTTTCCTTCAGTTTTTTTTTCTTTCTAATGTTTGTGAAGTTATTTCTTGCAAATGTATTGAAAAGGAATGACACAATTTTAAAGGAGCATAATTACATATTTTAAGACTTGGGACCATCTGTTTATTGTTGGAAAATAAAATGTAAGATGAAAATAGCGGATATTATCTGTCAAAAAGTTAAAGACTGATTAAAATTAAAGTTCTAGAATCATTATGAAGATAATAATATCTCTTCTACTTTATTTGCATTTTGTCAAAAATGCACAATTAACAGTAAAAATGGAGACTCCAAGCAAATGAACAATTACATTAAAATGCTTAGTTTACATGTAAGACCAATATAGACAGAAACATTTATTTTTGAATCATTTCCTCTGCCATAGCACCTACAGATATTGTAAGTTGACTACAGATTAGAGGATATTTTATAATGGTGTGATATGTTGCGTATTGTTGTCTCACCCGAGGCTCCTATCAGAAACAGGTAATAGGAAGAAGGCCGCTGTCTGGCAGCTAAATCTTTATTCTAACTAAAGTGTAAACTTTTCATCAATTTCTCAGAATCATGTTTGCAGGCCTAATGTTTGATGTGTTCCTGTAATTATAACCTGAGGGATCAATATTCTTTTGTGTGAGAGATATGATAGCAGCTTATCAAGGTTATCTTATACTGATATACTAAATCTGGACAGTTGTGATATGCTAAGTACTGTTTTTGGTACAGACAATGTTATTAACCTGTGAAAGTTATGAATTTCATGATGGAGTATTAGAACAGAAAGTATTTCACAGCATGATTAATTTGTTGCAGATCAGAACATTTATTCTACAGGTAGAAAGGGACTGATAGAACCATGACGTCCCCTAAAGCAAACAATCCCCTCACCCCAAATATGCAGGCAGTATTTGCCAAGTGGGAGGGGCGTGGTCCAAGAATGAGGGATGGAGATGCAAGGACTGAGAGTCAGATTAAATGGGACCAGGTTGGGCAACTAGCTGAGAAAATAACACAAGAGGGAAGAGCCAAGTGGAGAGAACGTTATGGAGATAGTATCCAGCCAGCCACACACAGGCGAGCTAAACAAAGAAACAGAAGACAGGCAGCTCTAACTATGGAGGAGGTAAGTGTATAAAGTCTTAACATCCCACCATGTACTTCTGTCTCTACCTGAAATGTCCCAGCTCTAAGTATGAGATATACTTACCCTAACCCTACAAAGCACTGTGTTGTTAGACTAAGGTATCCGACCCATATTAGGGCCTAATTTTCTAACATCAAATATACATCATGTATAAAATTGATTAATTCAAAGCATTTTAGAAAAGAATAGGATATACCAAGGGAAAATTTCAAAAATGTAATACCCTAAGCAGTAATTAATCAATGAAGATTGAGGTCTATGGGGACAAGCAAATTAAAAAAAAAATACTAAGAATATCAGTAAATGCTGTGGTGGAAATCTGTAGTTAATCAATAGGAATAGAACAATGGTTGAAAACAAATTTTTTTAACTAGATAGATTCCTTAGAATTTATTTTTATTGATTAAAGCAAAGGGGTATAACTCTTCAAGGACAGGACAAGGTCGTAAATTAGGGCACGTTCTGCTCTTAAATACTGATACTAAAACATGAAAATTATGTCTAAATATACTGAGTATTCAGCCATACATATCTGTTATGCATTCAATTTCATTGAATCTGAGGTTATTATGCAGGGCTTTCAAAAAGTTAAGAAACATGTGGTACTTTTACAAAAATGGGAGGTACCTTGTGGAAGCGATTTTAAATACCGGTATGTTATCGAAATTTTCTCTCAAGAATGTTTTGGGCGGTACAATCATGATGCCTGATTATGGGTCAGATACCTGAAATATGTTATATATTGAGTTGTCTTTTGTGTTTTGTTTATTGTTCCTAACTTTATTTTTGAAAGATATCAATTTGCATGACTAATACTTTGCACTTCTTTTGCTTATATACAAGATGACTGCTTTTTAGGTAACGAACAATGCAATAGCTGAGTTTAAGAGTAAACCCATGATCACAGCAGAGAATTTGCTTGTCACTCGACCCTACATGGGAAATGTTTGCTCCTGTATGCCTAACAGTCAGGTCAGAACAAAAATCAAAACTTTTCCTCTTTTTGAAATGAATTTGAGGAAAGGTAGTATTATATGTATGCCTTTTGGTATAGATCTTATACATGTAGATATATATATATATATATCTTCTCCATCCTTAAATATTAATGTTATTAACTGTATGGATATTTAATTTTCTACACAATGCTGCATCTTTTTTTTTTTCTTGCACAGGTGGATTTCAGTACGGTGGAGGCTGTAAAAATGGGATTTAGGAATATTCTGGATTTAGAAATGAGGTAAAAAGTGCAGTGTTTTACGTCGGGTTAAATTATGTAAATGTGGTTGTTTTTTAAGTATAAGATAAATGATCAACTCAGGATATATGTGTGCTTTGTCCATTTGTTAAGTCAAGGTTATCAAAATTCATATTCTGTAACTTCTGTGTCACCTACTTATAAGGACACCCTAAACTCAGATATTTTTGGGGGGCCTTAATACAGCCCTATCTACAAATACATGTGCCATACATATATTGACCTACTTTAAAAAATAGTTTTGGCCTTTAAAAATATATGACTTTGAATTAACATTTAACTTGTGAATTCTTTATTTACATGTGTAGACATTTCATAAAATCTCAGGTTGCAGACTTCGACCAACATTGAAAATATTGAACTTTGTCCTTTATATTTTGAACTGTGAGATGTGTGGCTTTGTATACACCAGTGAATATGTTGTAGAATTTTTACATGTATAAGAATAACTTTCAGCAGCAATGGAAAAATCAATGAATACTATATTGATATTTTATATAAGCATATTAGTAGAATCATTAAACCATTCAAGATATTTTTATTAAACATCATATGCTGATACATACTGATGTTAGCTTTTCAACTGCATCAACATTTTTTGACCTTGTCCATTTCTTTGACCTTGACCTTACTTTCTTCAGTTAGTGTTTAGCTCACTCTTAAAGAAACCATTCAGGATATTTTTATCAAACTTCATAAGCTGATACATACTGCTGAGAGCTGTTCAACTGCGTCAACATTTTTTGACCTTGATGTTTCCTTTGACCTTGACCCCACTTTTCTTACATTAGTGATTAGCTCAGTTTTAAAGAAACCATTCAAGATAGTGTAATTAAACTTCATATGCTGATACATACTGCTGAGAGCTATTCAACTACATCAACATTTTTTTTACCTTGACCTTTCCTTTGACCTTGACCTCACTTTTCTTAAATTTGTGATTAGCTTAGTTAGAAACCATTTCATGATATTTTTATCAAACTTCATATGCTATTATATACTGATGTAAGCTTATCAACTGCATCAACATTTTGACCTTGGGGTTTCTTTTGACCTTACCTCACTCTTCTTAAATTAGTGTTTAGCTCAGTTTTAAATAAACCATTCAAGATATTTTTATCAAACTGAATATACTGATACATATTAGTTAGAGCTATTCAATTGCATCAAAAACTGTTGATCTTGACCTTTCCTGTGACCTTGACGTCACTTTTCTTAAATTTGCATTTTGCTTAGTTTTAAATAAACCGTTTAAGATATTTTTATGTAAGCTTATGCACTTATACACAGTTTGGTGAGAATTTATCATCTATATCCAATTTTTTAGACTTCAATTTCAATTTTAAAGAATCTATTCAAGATATTCTCATCAAACTTCATACACTATGACTAATACAAATTTTCATGTTGCATTACTAATATACCCTCGGCAGGGCATTCATGTCCTATGGACATATTTCTAGTTTTTTCTTGAAATATAGAGGTACTGAACACCTACCCTCCTGATCTTCATCTTTTTTTAAATTACAGAACAAAAAGTCAAATTTCAAACATACTTTTACTGTATTTTTGATTCTACATGAAATAATAAAGATTTTATCAAGTTTGAAACATTCATGTTAAAAAATGTTCCTGTTGCAGGCAAAGCTTGTACCTTAATTGTAACACTCTTTCCTTGCAACACTCCTGTTTTCAATTGTAGGGGAAGAAATTGGAAAGAGAAATATTTTGCTAACATTGTGTATGCTGTAAGAAGGCGGACAAAATATGTTTACCCAGATGTCAGTTCATCTGTCCTAAACCATCCTAGGTAAGAAAGGTCATTGTTTACCCAGATGTCAGTTCATCTGTCCTAAACCATCCTAGGTAAGAATGGTCATTGTTTCCCCAGATGTCAGTTCCTCTGTCTTAAGCCATCTTAGGTAAGAATGGTCATTGTTCACCCAGATATCAGTTCCTCTGTCCTAAGCCATCCTAGGTAAGAATGGTCATTGTTAACCCAGATACCAGTTCCTCTGTCCTAAGCCATCCTAGGTAAGAATGGTCATTGTTTCCCCACATATTAGTTCCTCTGTCCTAAGCCATCCTAGGTAAGAATGGTCATTGTTTCCCCACATATTAGTTCCTCTGTCCTAAGCCATCCTAGGTAAGAATGGTCATTGTTCACCCAGTTGTCAGTTCCTCTGTCCTAAGCCATCCTAGGTAAGAATGGTCATTTTTTACCCAGATATCAGTTCCTCTGTCCTAAGCCATCCTAGGTAAGAATGGTCATTGTTTCCCAAGATGTCAGTTCATCTGTCCTAAGCCATCCTAGGTAAGAATGGTCATTGTTTCCCCAGATATCAGTTCATCTGTCTTAAGCCATCATAGGTAATAATTGTCATTGTTAACCCAGATATCAGTTCATCTGTCCTTAGCCATCCTAGGTAAAAATGGTCACTTTTTTCTGAAAATTTTACAATCCTGCCCTTTTGAGAAAATAATTGATATTCAGATTATAATCTGTAGAAAACTTGTTGTTTTATACACCAGCTATGTGGTAATCAGTGTGCCAGGCGTTTAGGTTTGTCATACTTTTATTCCATCAAAAATTCTAATATGTTTATTCTAATAATGGCAGGGCAATAGTGTGGTCTCAAAAGTTTTAAATAAAGTTTTCAACAGGGAATAGTTTTACAAAGAAAATATAGACTGATAAGTACATACAGAGTGAGAGACAAGTACACAAGGTATCTGTATCTTCCATGTCAGGGAAAAAAATTGACTCACATGAGTATTTTGGATGTGGGCCTCTTGTTGCTCACCTGAGCTGAAGGCTCTATATAACAGGCATATTTCTTACAAGTTTTAATTAGTTCATTTGCATAGAAACACCTGTACATAGCCTTAATTAACTTGCATATAGTAAATCTTAAAAGGGCAAGATGAAGCGATTGATCATTGAATATCTATAATTTTGAATGTCTTTGTATGAATAAGGAACTAGCTTTATAATCAAAAAGCCATTTGATCATCTGACAGATATGCCTTCTCTCTGTGTGTGGCTTAGTAATATAGTGAGTGGGGCTTGCAAATTTAATTATTGAATAAGAATAATGTAAATACTTGTATATATTTTTTTATTGAATCAATGTTCAGGTATAAATTTATGCAAATATAAGGAATAACCATCTGCAGGTTTTTTGATTTTATGTTGATGATGAAACAGTATGTTCATGTTATGATTTTATGATTTATGCAACTTATCATGTGAGCAAAGTGTTTGATCATGCCATATAACAAAAATCAAAAAAAAAAAAAAAAAAAAAAAAATAGAGTTATTCCCTAAACAACACATTATTGTTTATGCATTCACAACTGTAAAACCCATAATGGAAATTCTGTAGTTCACTAAGATTTTTATGATAAGTGTCTACATATCTGTCCTTACAGGGTTAATGAAGCAATATGCCAGGAAGATGCTGAATATACAGGTTTTGAATTTTGATTTTTTTTTGTTCATTTTTAGCTTTGCAATATTTTTTCAACATTTTTGATTGCCACTAAATAGAACTAATGTTTTTAACAGTATCTTTTCATTGTTTTGATCTAGATGATAAAAAAAGAGTAATAAGTTCAGAGAAGAGAGCAAAGAGGATCTTAGATGTGATGAAATCCACCATTACAGGAAAAATATCAGGGTAATGCTTAAAAAAATGTTATTTATATTTAATCAGATGAAATTTTCATATTTGTAGTTGAAAGAATTAATAATTGCTTGTAACAGGAAAGGAGAAAATGTATATGGCTGGACCAGGAATCGAACCCGGGACCCCTGCATCACTAGTCAGGTGCTCTACTGACTGAGCTACCCAGGCTGATACCCACGGCCCAAACCATAGCATTCCTCCCTCCTTAAATTGTCTTCGACCTCGAAGGCACAACCCAAGTTCTTATTTGCCCCTGGCAGGACTTTCACCTGCAAGTCCAGGGGTGGTCAACAGCACCAAATCTGTAACAGGAAAGGAGAAAATGCATATGGCTGGACCGGGAATCGAACCCGGGACCCCTGCATCACTAGTCAGGTGCTCTACCGACTGAGCTACCCAAGCCGATACCCACAGCCCAAACCATAACATGCTTTAGATTTTTAACTATATTTGACGTACTTTTCAAAAAATGTTAACCTTTGCTATAACTTTTGCACCAGAAGAGAAGGGCTGCCTTATTTTTTCACGCTATGATTTTTGAATGAGACATCAAAGTTTGACTTTTGAACTGTAATCTCATAAAAATCAGGCAAGGCTACATATTGGAGCAAGGTGTATACATGAATATAATTCACTGTGTGCAGTGTGTTCAGCATTCACAAAAAATATCACTTTTATCTGTACTTATAGCAATATGAGCTGCATTTTTGAGAATTTTATTTTGCTGTTAAAATGTGCTGTTATGATAAATCTGTAACTTAAGTCTTTATGATCAATTAGACTTAAATGAAGCAGTGAATTGCTTCAAAAGAAAGATATCTGTACAATGGAATTATAGTATTACATGAATGTAAAAAAAATCAATATTATACAGGACGACAATAACGTAATTTTTTTTCAATCAAAGCCTATAAATAGTTCTTCCATCACAAATATGAACAATAAAAGTTTATAAACGTTCTTTTTTCTGTCATGAAAATACTCAATTACAAAATTATAACAAAAATTTTGAACATCAAAGTTGCAGCTCATATTGCTTTAAAAAATAATATAATAAAAATGAAAATATTACCCCCCCTTTTTTTAATAAATGATCATTGCACCCCAACCAATAAGATACAGAAAGTGGGGAATCACTGTTTTCTGACTTTGTTAAATTTAATGTCTACAACCCAGTATATACAATAAAAAAAATTTTAAGAACAAGGGTTACATTACCTTTAAAGTGTGTGAAAGTTGACATCAGGTGTTAGCTTTTCACAAGTTAGTATTAGTTTGTGACTACAGTAAAACATGTATTATAAATAAGTGTATAGTGAAATGAATATTTTGAAGCTACAGGGAATAATAATCATTATTATATAGTCTATTTATAGTCCCTATATAATCTATACAAATGCAAACAGTTCATAACACTACATATTCACTGGTTTTGAAGCCGTATTCACTGGAAGGTCAGTGCGCGTGCGGCGGCATTGTGATGTCACAATCAACACCTCAAACAACGTTGAAAACAATATGGTTTCAACAGCCGGCGACAGCTCTTTATCTGAGCAGGAAAAATGTTAAGCAAGTCTATCGCAGGATTATTTTCCAAACATTACGATGTCTTTCACATAGCGAAATGAAATCACGGAAGTTATAAGTTGTAATCTGCAGGGTTTTTTTTAATTTTTCTACGAAAGAGGTTCATTAATGAAAAGAGTCCATAATTGTCTATTATTATACTTCTGTTAATTGTTTCCTATATAAAAGTCTGAAAATTTCCACACATAGCAAAGGTATACCCCGGGGTATAGTTTGTGCTACCCAACCCTCGGAAAATTTTCAGGCAATTTTTGCCACCAATTTTGATTTTCTGTAATCAATCTATAGACTGATGGTCCTGACTTCAGTAGCATTATGACGTCATCAGGATTTCAGTTCATTCTAGCACCCTAGTGTTATCTTATTCCAGATACTTGTTCAAAACTTGTATATATAATTATTCTTTTTATTTTTTGCCTATGAAACTGTAGTATCAGGTAATCCAATCCTCAGAAATTATGATATACATCAGTATAATAAAACGCTTATCCACTGGTTGTGAGTGGGATAGCTCTTTTATCAAACCCGCGACAGGGAACTATTCCCCGAGGGCTTACCCGAGGGGAATAGTTCCTGTCAAGGGTTTGATGAAAGAGCTATCCCACTCACAGCCAGTAGATGAGTGTATACATTTCACTGTAAGCATCAATTCATTGTAAGTGAGTTTGCTATAAGTGTGTTTTACTGTATATATGTATTGAACAGGGTCAATTAAGAGACAGTGTCAGAATTTGATCTAAATTGATGGGTTTTTTTTTCAGGATTGTTGCTTGGATTCTGACAAAGATTTTTCCCTCAATTTTACGTGCAATATTGGTTCACAAAGGCCAAATAGATGTTGTCAAAAAAGCTTCTGAGGTAAGAATAAAGGACATGAAAGTTAAATTAGATAAGTGCAACAAAATGAAGAGTCGGGTCTAATTCAGAAGATGATTTGTTCAAATTGCAAATTTAAATATGAAACTACACAAGTGTGTTACAGCAAAAATCACAAGCGGAATATGACAATAATGACATTTAGATCTGATAGCTTAACTCAATGCTTGCAATTCTTTTAAGGATGTACAATACACCTACCCCACAAAAATTCCTTGTGTTTGATTTTGTTCTTGCTGTATTTGGTGTGTACATATTTTAGCACAAAGGCATGCAAGCACAAATTCATTGGTGCTAAATTTTAGAGCATCAGTGATTTGTCTCAAAATAAATTTGGCACAAATTTTGGGTTTGACCTATGCCCGATTTTTTTCTTCAACAGAACACAGAGTAGCTTCAGTTTCTAACTCAGATATTCAGGTTAACTTTTGGTCACATTCCCCATGACAGGGCAGGTACATGACAAGGTATTTGAGGCCTCAAAAATTTTAACTGTTTTAAAGTAGCTTAGGTAGTTTTAAAACTGACTGTTTTTATGTTATTTTATCCCACACTTTTAAGTGATGAGAACATTTTTATATCCACATTTTTAAAGACCTTTGAGGGGTTATCAAAAAGTTAAAATTTCAAGACATACAGAGCCAGAGACAATTGTGGATGACCACCATGATTAATAAAGTTGTTGACCTTAATGATAAGTACAAATAAGCAAAACACAATTATTGATCCATGTTTATTTACCGATTACATTTACACATGTACATTAGTTACCAATATGTTTATTGTTTGCCTGTGGCAAAATGTACATAAAATACCTTGATCTTCCTACATAAAATACCTTGATCTTCCTACATTATGTAAGGACATCTTTCTGGGAATGGGTATAAAATTTAGGAAGAGAAAGACCATAAACTTAAAAAAAAATCAGAGGAAAATCATTGGTGCACTACTAATTAGTGCTTTGGATCACTTGCATAAAAGGCGCTAATACCAACAGTGTACAAAAAATTTTCTCGTTTTACAGCAGTTCATACATGAGACTATTATATCGTATGTGTAATATGCGCATTTGGGACAATTCTAAAATTTAATTCCTTTAGGCTGTTTACAAGGAGAAGAAAATTTCAATCAACAGACAATAAAATTCATGAATTTCATAAAGAAGAAATTAAGCATAGCTTTTAAATTTGGTTGACTCATTCATTTGTATATCAAAGTAATTTTGTAAAGGTACATAAAGAACTGAAAAAATTAATTAGCTTGATTTAGCCTTGAAAAATGGGTGTTTTCCAATTTAAACATTTTTTGGGGAAAAACATTGTTTAATTTTGAAAAAATTTGGTTACCAAAACAGTTTTGACAATTTTTTGAAGTTTCAGTATAAACCTACTGTTTGATATCATTTTATAAATTCCATATCAAACAGAGAGGTGTTCCTGTGATCTATCTACCACTTCACCGCAGTCACCTAGATTATGTCCTGATGACCTTCATCTTCTGGCATTACAAGATTCAGAGTCCTTATGTTGCAGCCGGAATTAACCTGAACATTCCATTCTTTGGGTAAGGAGAATGTTAGGAAATCAACATGATAGAAAAATTATTTATATTTATTTGATCAGGTTTTTTGCCTTTGAATCCTGATTCAATGAATAATACAATACAGTATCTTTTTAAAAAAAGTGAAAATAGATCTTCATTTAAAAAAATCTCAAGAATGGCTGAGCCATATGTAACAACACATATGTGTGTTTATAGAGAAGATCTAAATTCTTCAAAACATGGTCTGTGGGACAGGGATCACATTAATTCAGCCCATGTTTAATTTGAACCATGATACAAGGTACCACAACTATAAAGTTGATAGTGTATCAAAGACTTTAAGGCTTTGATTCTTTTCTTTTTATATATATATTTTCAGTTTCTGAACTTCCCCTGTTAACTTTTATTATTAACTTTTATGTTAACTTTGTGCTAATGAGCCCGGCTTGCAGTGCTTTCAGTACTCTGATTTTCAATGATAAAAAGAAGTTAGAATTCCTTTCTCTATGATGTTAGTGTTTATTTTATAAGGTATTTTTCCCTGTGAATTGTAAAGAAAGAATTTGCTAAATAATGTATACATGTAATTGAGTCCATCTATCTTTATTAAACAGAGAGTCTTTGTTTGAAGTTATCTGAGTCACTCAAATGACCTATTCCTATTTGTTTTCATCCTTTGTCATGCATAATTTTTTTTAACCTTTTCAGCTTCTTCCCTCCAACAGCTGAAGCAATTATAATCAATTTTTAGCTCAACTGAGCTCAAGTGAGTTTTTTAACCAAATTCTGTCTGGTATACCTGCCGACTTTCCCAATTTACCTCAAAGTCTTAATTTATATGACTTTTGACCCCCTTAATACACTCTACAATTCAAATGCCAAATCTCCCACTTTAGAGATTCTCACAGTTTCAGTTTTAAAATCATAACTATGGAAATAGATCATACAGACACTTGAGTGATAGATATTCAGTGTACAGTTTTCAAACATTTAAATCTTAAAGCAATATGAGATGCATTTTTATGCCCTTCCATGAAATGGCCGGGGCATATAGTGTTACCCTGTTCCATCATCATTCACTTTCCGTTCATTATCTCTGCAACAGTTGCACACATTCAACTCAAATTTGACATATGGACACGTCATAGGAATATGCAGGTCAAATTTGAATTTGGTCATGGTTTGATGACTTTTGACAGAGTTATCCCTCTTGAATTTAGAAAAAAATAAGAAATTTTCAGTTTCCGCTCTCTAACTTTTGTAGGGATGTATAAGGTTGAAATTATATGTGCAGATATTTTACCAGAAAATACAGGTCAAGTTTGAATAAATATTGCATTTGAAATCTTGGCTGCTTGAGGGGGCATTCGTGGCGTTACCAACACATCTAGTTGAGAATTTTATTTTGCTGTTAAAATGTGTTATTATGATAAATTTGTATGTAATTTAAACCTTTTTGATCAATTAGACAGAAATAAAGTATCAAATTGTTTCAGAATAAAGAAATATATATTATAATAGTATTGTATAAGAAATCATTATTGTACAGGACAACAATAATGTACCGGTAATTTTGCTTCAATCAAAGCTTATAGATAGTTCTTCCATTGCAAATATGAACAACAGAAGTTTATAAACATTCTTTTTTTGTGTCATTGAAATAGTGAATTGCAATTTTGCAACAAACATTTCTGACATCAAAGTTGCAGCTCATATTGCTTTAATGTGTAGCTATCCAAATGGACATGCAAACTTCAAGACTGCGACTGATAGTTATGGAAATAATTTTTTGCATCTCCTTGTGTATTGAAAGTGTTACCAGGTCTATGTAGAGTATCATACTCAGGCATATTTTCTGCAATTACAATGATGAATAGTTTCTTATAATTGAATTCACTGTAATTTTCTGCATTTAAAGCAGAAAATGTTCTGCATAAAAGACAAATCTTACAGTCAATTTATTGGAAAACTACTGATAATGTTCCTTTGGAGTAGGCAGGTCTGGTTTGGCATCCAGCTGTCTGTCTTCAATTTATTAATATTTTTGACTTCCTCCCTACAACCACTGGGCCAATTTCAATCAAACTTGCTACAGACCATCCTTTTATAGGTAAAGAGGCAGAATCAAGTTTGTTCAAATCATGCCAGAACATCAAGGCCATACTAGTCATATTGAAATTCAGAATCCCCATGCATTGTGGATGTAAATATGGATAAGTCCTGATCCTAGGGGCCAGGGTGGGCCATAGTTTGGGGTCAAAATAGTCATGGGAATATAGAATAGATGGAAAAAAAATCTTCTGAAGAAATAGGGAGAGGGTGACTCAGGTTAGCATTGTGGCCAATGGGCCTCTCATGTTTTCCATAGAATTTCAGCTTTTATATAAATGTATGCTTTTTGGGAAAAAAAAACACTTACATTTGGAACTTTTCTTTTTTCAGACCATTCATGAAGAGTCTTGGTGGATTCTTTATTCGTAGAAAACTTGATAAAAGCAATGGGAAGAAAGATATGCTGTATAGGTCTATTTTGCACATTGTAAGTTTTCATTTTCATTCATTCAAGATAAACAAAATATACAAAATATGTGATATATATATATAAATTGGTATGCTGTTATTTTTCATAAGTTATACATCTTGTTTGAAGTCTTACTGAATTTGCAGTATATTGAAGAATTATTGAGAAATGGTCAGAGTATGGAATTTTTCTTGGAAGGAGGTCGGAGCCGATCTGGAAAATCTTACCCTCCGAAAGCTGGCCTCCTGTCTGTCATACAAGGAACACTTTGCAGTGGTATGAGTGCTCTAATAATTTCAAGGAATGCATATATTTGTACTTTGTTGTTTGATTTTTAAAAAATTTCTTATCATGATTGTAACTTAATTGATCTGTGTTTGGCAGGACTTGTAGAGGATGTATACATTGTTCCTGTTAGTATCAATTACGAGAAGTTGATGGATGGAAATTTTAGTACAGAGCAACTGGTAAATTCTTTCATTGATCCAGTGATTGGAAATTGCATGATATCAATCCCATTGAAAACTTAAAAACTATAATTACATGTGTTAAATGTGAGTACATTGTATATGTTTCTGATTTGATGCCACTGAAATAAAAGGAATTTTTTTCTAGGGACTGGCAAAGAAGCCAGAAACGTTTTTTGGAGCTGTAAGAGCTTTACTTAAAGTTTGCAGAACACATTATGGAAGTGTCCGAGTTGATTTCTGCAAGCCTTTTTCTCTCAAGGTACTTTGTATTTTTTGATGGTTCATACTATGGTGTATAGGCTTTCTTGTCCATGAATCCATCATTTAACTTATTTATGTCCATGTCCTATCTTTCACACTGTAAGGCCTAGGATTATTAACTTTGCCAGTTGATGCATTTGTGGGGGGGGGGGGGGGGGGGGTGAGTCATAATCCAAAAGTAGGTCACCATGTTGGAATTGGCTATACATTGTCAAATCAGGTCCACATTATATCCTGCACACTGTCCCAGGATCATCTGTCTTATTCTGTTGATAATCTTGGGAGAAAGGTGGTGTGACCCAAAAGTAGGTCATGATAACCTTTTTGGAATCTTATGGCTAAAAATACACAAATTATGTCTGGATTTTGTCTAGGACTGTCAAAATTGCTGGGAGCATGTGTCATGTCCCAAAATAAAGTCAACATAGCCTTTTTTTTCAAATTTTGTAGCTAAACATGGTCATATTTGGTCCCAGTCATATCTTGCATAGAGTATGATCTAGAATCATTAAACTTGGTCAGTTGATGCATCTTTCTTGAGGGGAAGATGTGTTTCAACCCAAAAGTATGTCACAATGATCTTGTTTTTATATAATGTCAAAATGTATCTGGCATAGCTCACTAAAACTTACTAAGATTTACTCTCTTAGTAAAAACACTAAGGGTGACAGATTGTTACTATCAGTTTTTATAGTCTTAGTAATTTATGATAATTGAACAATATTTGATAGGTTTAACATGTGCCTTCACAAGTCTACACTTTTTATTTACAATTTGCGTTTTTTATTCAGGAATACCTGCAAAATACTCAGTCTTGCCAATCTAGTGTTCAAGGGAGTGAACCTAACTCAGAAGGGGAGCTCTCTGCAGATTCGGACCTATCTACCTCGCCTGTGATACGGAGACAAGGGAGTGTCTCCTCTCTGTATGGTTCTGACATAGGGAATGACAACAGACAAATTGTTCAAGATCTTGCAGAACACATCACTTACAGTAAGTCTATCTGTTTGATCTAAGAACTAACACGAATCCTGAGATAATATTTTTATGAAAAGAATTTGTGTACTAGTTGGTGGAATACTTTATTTGCAGTAAATAATAATTTACATGAAATACATTTCTGAATCTCACATTTATAAGAGACATTGTATACAATTACAGCAAGCACAAACAGTACAGCGCTGATGAGTACCAATCTCCTGGCATTCCTTTTGCTGAAAAAACACAGACAGGTACAATGGCTTATCAAAAAATTACAATACAAAATAAAAAAAAAAATCTGTTGTCATTTGGCTCATAAGCTATTGTAAGAGTATGCTTGTGTTTGCAGGGAGTGAAGAAAAGTCAGCTAGCATTAGATTTGGAGTGGTTGATTTCAGAATTGAAAGTTCGTCAGAGGGACGTAGGATTTACAGGGGAGGCGGAGACAGTGATTCAATCTGCCAGTCTTCTGTTGGGGGAACATTTAATAACAAGGTCTGTCACAAACATAGGCCTGCACTACCTCAAGCAAAGCTTTATAAAAATTGAGAAAAAAACATTCAAGCTTTTGAATTGTTTGCAGAATTTTTTTTGGTGAGTTTGTTTTAGACCATGACTTTGCACTAAAAATTGCACTGTATTTTTAGAACAATGGAACCAGATTCTACTGTAGAATTTTACAAAGCCAGTAGTGAATTACCTGCCATTGTGGAGCTGAGTTACTATAGTAATGCTGTATTGTCAGCCTTCCTACTGGAGAGTGTGATATCCTGTGCCATTATTTATTGTTGTGATGTGTCACTTGACAACACTCCTGGACACGAGACCTGCTCAGCAACCAGAGAGGAGGTTCTAGAAACTGCCATAGAAATTTGTCAGCTGCTTCAATATGAATTCATATTTGTCTCGGTAAGTAAATTAATTTAATTAAAAATTTAGTCAGTTAATATACTTACTATTTCTTCAAATTCTAACATGTCTATAGATTGTGCATAAAGTGGGAAAAAAAAACAAAAAGGCCATTCTTCTTGTCAATAGGATATATTGAATGTATGGATATATTTCAGCCATGCAAACAATTGGAGGAGGCCCTTGGAGATGAACTTGATCAGATGATAAGCATGGAAGTTGTTCAAGTCAAGGAAATGCTTGTGAGTACAGTTGTACTTATAAATTCCTGTACATTTTATCTTAGTTAAGCAGAAATAGAGTTTCAGAACAAATTTCTCCTTTTCTTCAATCATACCTTCACTATATATATAATGTGCATAAATCAATATCAAAACGCAATGTAAAGACACATGTTGTGGTTTTAATGTAGTGACTAATCAAATGTACTGACTGAACAGTTAAGTATCATAACTTTATGTGCAGTGCCCTTGACATGTGAGATTTGAATGTGCATCAGCTTTAAATACTCAAGTTTGAATTCATTCTAATCGAGGATTCAAATTATGACCCAGACAGAATTTCAGTTTCTTTTGACCTTTAAGCTTTGAGCTTTAGTCATTAGTCAAACATCTATGGGTCAATCAGTCAGTTACCTGTGGATCAGTGACAGCATACTTTTAGTTTTAGTTCATTCCAGTGAAGGGTTCCAAAGTTTTTAGGTTGGACACTCATTTTCCATGTCATGACTTAAATACACTAAGTTTGAATCCATTACAATTAAGGCTAAAGAGTTTATCACCCGATATAGTTTTGTGACAGACAGACAGACAGAAAACCATGCCAAAACCAATGTCTTCTCCTTTGGAAAAGACATAACTGTTGAAATGGTAGGATTTTTTATTGATGTTTATCTTTCGGTCAGTGTGATGTCAGTAGTTTATTGATATTTGTTATCTTTCGGTCAGTGTGATGTCAGTAGTTTATTGATATTTGTTATCTTTCGGTCAGTGTGATGTCAGTAGTTTATTGATATTTGTTATCTTTCGGTCAGTGTGATGTCAGTAGTTTATTGATATTTGTTATCTTTCGGTCAGTGTGATGTCAGTAGTTTATTGATATTTGTTATCTTTCGGTCAGTGTGATGTCAGTAGTATGATTTTTTTTATTGATGTTTATCTTTCGGTCAGTGTGATGTCAGTAGTATGATTTATTTTTATTGATGTTTATCTTTCAGTCAGTGTGATGTCAGTAGTATGATTTTTTTTATTGATGTTTATCTTTCGGTCAGTGTGATGTCAGTAGTATGATTTTTTTTTATTGATGTTTATCTTTCAGTCAGTGTGATGTCAGTAGTATGATTTTTTTTTATTGATGTTTATCTTTCGGTCAGTGTGATGACCAGTACAGTATGTATGAGAAGGGCTGGGCCCAGAGACTCTCTAACACTATGGCCTGGAGGGATGAAGAGGAAGATGAGGAGGAGAACTTTACTTTCCAGCAGACTTGTCAGGTGATACAGCTAGCAAATTTACACTTCCACAATTTAGATTCACCACAAATTATTTCTACAAATTAATCTTTGATATTTGTTTTCAGTGATTTTATGAGGTTTATTGTATTAGTTTGCTTCTAAATTTTAGACAAGTAACTTTTCCACATTCACTTTCTTTAGGGATATGTTGTTTTAGACAATGGTTGATATCAGATAGACATAAGGCAAGAATTATGTGATAAGGATAGCTTATGTATAGATAGTATGACTGGATAATACATCGATGACCATCAAGGGCCATTTGTTTTTATCAAAACATGAAAGACCTTACTAAATTTTTTTTTATTTGTAGGTTAACACAAACAGAGCAGATTGTATGGAGAAGTTGAAGTTTTATCATCAGATACTGGCACCGTTTATAGAGTCTTACTGTATAACAGCCTGTCAGATAAGCAAATGCCTGCACACTCAGCTTCTGGGTTAGCAAACTTTTATTAATTTGAAACAAATGAAAATGATCAGATTAATATGGAATAAGAAGTAATTTAACTTAATGAAAGATTCTGATGTTTTCAGAGAGTGAATTTATCCACATTATTCACTCAGAAGCTAAAAGGAGGGTCCATGAAAAACTGGCATCAAATGGTAAGCAAATATTAAAAATAAAAAATCTAGTCATTTAAAGATCTCTAGATCAAATTTCGTATTTTTCTAATTTTAACTAATAATAATTGCTTTACTTTAATGCTAATGAATTTCCAAAAGGAATTCATTATTAAAATGAGCTCAATTTCAGTATACCTTAGGGCAAAATTTGTCAGAAATGGCTTTCTACTTAGCAGAGGGTCAATGAACCTTAAGAGCCCTCTATACACTGCACAATAGAGAGTTCTGATTTTGTTGTATTTTTATGGAAATAGAGTGATCTGCCCTTTGATCAACAATAAAATAAATTGAAATGTACAATTTATTACTTAATTTGTGATCAAATCAAGCATTCATAACACTTTAATAGGCCAAGATGAATAGATAGAACACTTCATTTGTAGATATTTTGCCCACTTAAGTAAACAACAGTGATTTATGTTCATCAGTACTTCATTGTCTTTAAACATTTTTCCTGGGGGTAAATGCAAGGCACCCTATGTTGAAAATGTGATAGATAAGCTCAATACATACACCTTTACACACTATAATTTTCTCAATGTCAAAAAAATATTTTCCTATAGTGTATAGAGGGTCCTTAATCTCCTTTTATATTTTGACATTGAAAACCCTGTACTGGCTTATAACCAGACCTTGAACACTTCTTTCTGCTTTGAATATGAGGAGACTTGCTCAAATAATTCAAACCAAGTTTTTAAAACCAAAAAAAAAAAAAATCATTTTGCAAGTTTTATCACTGTTTTGAATTTTTAAGTATAATTATCTTCTGTTGTTAACTTCGTCACATTTGACATTTCTGCGAAAGTGAACTTTTTCCGAGTGTTTAGTGGGCATACAGCAATTTCTTATTATACCTGCAAGGTTGTCCCTGAGAATAGAATAGCAGGGGACATTAAAAACATTATGTTTGGTCTATAGCCGTCTAACAGGAAAACTTTGGAAGTTCATTCTTCACACAAATATTAATTTTGTCCTGAAGATGTGTCATGATCTTGACCCAAGGTCATTCTTGCAAGTTCAAGGTCACCAGCAGAAAAAAGTATAAAATTTTTCTCCGATCATAACCCCCCAAAAGGATAAGTATTGGAAGTTGATACTTCAAACAAAGAATACTTGTGAGCTTAGGGTGTGTCATAATAGCAAATATTGTAAAGCAAAGATTATTACTTGCCAGAATTTTGTAGCTACATGTGATATATGGCAAGAAAACCATTTAAACCTATTCTGCTCCTACATGTTCCTTCTGTAGAAAATATATTTCTTTAAATTATTAATGCTATTAGAAATTTATGTGGCCTATCTGACACTCACTGTGCTAGAATTTGTTGCAAGTAAGTATATTACTTATATTTAATTCTAAACAATATTTTATTATGTATAATCATAAAAGGATTGGACAGCAGGCACTGCCTATATAAGTCCTCTCCATAATACTCATATTTTATGTTTATGCAATGAAAAGAATGATGTATGTAAGAAATAATGAATTGTTTCCATAATAGTATGCAACAGTTGTGTTTCACTTAATAAAATAATTTTACTGAATTGTACAAAATTGTTCAAGATCATATTGGATAGCTGTTGTTCTTTTTACAGAGGAGAGTGTTGTCCTAGATTCTTTGAAGAACTCCCTGAAGTCTTTCAGTGACATGAAAATTATCGACATTTACTGTGTAGGAAATCTAAGAATGGTGGAACTTCATGATCATTTTGAAGTGAAAGAAAAACTCGATAAATATGTAGAGCTGCTTGAAATCTTGAAGGGTTAACTTTAATATTGACTTAAGAGTGTGGGATTCTTTGGATTTCTGAATTTTGAAGTGTAGTAATAGTACATGTGCAGTGATGGTTGTATGTATTAATTCAGGGAGTTTATGTATGAAATAACTGTTACAATATGACAAATCCATGGTTGTTACGTGTTAGTATGGATAGAAATATCATATTCATGCATCATTTAAATTGACTGAAAGACAGTGAAAGCATGAATTTTGATAAACAGTGTTGGAAAGCAGAATGATGTCAGAGGCCTTTATAATGATGACAGAGGCCTTTATGGTTCTGTTGATGCCGATACCCTTAGGAGGGTTTAAATGTGTACATGACTGTGTGTATTTCTCTATTAAATTACTTTGTTACAAAGAAACTCTGTGTACATCATTGTTTATGGACAAAACAAAAAATCACTTAAAAGTTATTGAAATAATTATCTAACTATATGTATATGTTAAAATATCTGCTCTTTACCATAGAATTGAAATTGTTTAAGGAATGGATTTAATAGCTACCAAAAGTGGGTTGGGGCAGTTAATGCTTTATAAACCGCTTATAAAAAAGCATAAACTGTTCCAATCCACTTTATACCTCATAAATTGGGTAGCTATTAACTTTATTCCTTATAATTTGATTTTTAATTTCATTTAGTGTGAGAAAAAAGATGATTGCCCTTAAAAAAAGACTTCAAATTGTACAAAATTTAAATATAATGTCAGGTGGATCAATACATTTGTGACACAAGTAATTATGATGTAGGCAACCCAATTTATATGATATAAAGTAAATTTTTTATCCAATCAAATACCACATTATAACTAGAATTAAATTATTTAATTATGAAACATAATAAAAAACAAAAATTAAACATCAAGGCTTTTCACATAAACTGTGAAACTATCTCAACAATTGAAATCCTTTTCTTTTTACAGTAATCTTTTTAAAAAAAAAACTTTTTAGTCATAAATATTGAAAGCTCTGATTACTAAAAGGCAGTTCTAAAAAGCATGAACCCATTTTGTTTTAGCATATTACTAACAAAGCTAGAGGCTCATTAAAACTTGCCAAATTTCTTTCTGTATCAGAATTTTAAACATTTTTATCTTCTAAATGAATGGATTGCTTTCAATCAATCTTTCTTCAAAAATTAGTTATATTAATATAATAGGCAAGTATTGCAGTAGTGTAGATTCAGATTTTGTTCCAGATATGACCTTCAGGTTTAGGATTGGAAGACAGTGCTAAGTTTGACATTGAAATATCTACAATAATCCTTACGAAATGCATCTCCAAAGAAAAGCAACAGAATTAAATGGTCCATTAGGTATGGAATCACTCAATCTAGTGCAGATATATTCTGGCCCTTGAGGAGAAGATACTGGTAGGGACACATGGAGAATGATGAATAATTAACACCAAAAGTCATTAAAATAATGATCTTACAATGTCAGAGAATGGAGAGATTTTAGAGAGTTTTGTTACATATTCATTTGGAAGGGATAAGGAAAAAGTAGTTCTACTCAGGTGAGCATTGTGGCCTATGGCCCTTTCTTTTTAGTTGTTGTGTCATGAATACTAATTGGAGTGCACAGTCTTCAGTGAAACTATCTACATAGCTGAGGGTTAGCCACAAGTTCAAAGGTCTTGAAAGGTCAATGCTTAAAGATTATTCCAATAAATATAATCTGGATTAGATTTATGAAAGCTAAGCACCATACAGAGAAGCGCATTATGTATGATTATATTACTAGATATTTATCAGGATATGAGCACTAATGATGCTTTGGGGATGCAGAGTTTAGGCTGAAAAGTTTGCATCCAGAAGTTTAAGGAGACAAGCCAGCATTATATTTCCACTTTAAACTATATTTCACTAGTAACCAATATCTTGAGTTTTCATGTTGACGATTTTAAGAATTCTAATCCCATTTTAAAAGAGTCGCATTATGTATCTTTTAAACAATGCTGATTATTACATAAATTATTTTGTTATACATTTGTTTCATAATACAGGATTTTTGCATCCAGTATTACACACCTTGTATCAGTACCCTTTATTTCACCCTTTATCACACGTCCCTTATTCAGTACCATTTATTTCATTGACACCCTTTATCACACGTCCCTTTATTACACCTTTCCAGAACATCTCTGTATTTTTCATTCGGAGAACCTCGGATCTTTTTTGATTGTTTATGAAGTGTATTTAAATTGTAATTTTCATCAGATATTTTATTATATTCTATATTTCATTTCTTATCACTGGATGCATTGCCTTTAGAAAAAATAATGAGAAATTCAACAAAAACAGAACATATTCAATTATTAACAAGAGATGTTTGTGAAACACTTATCCCCCCCCCCCCCCCCAAATAATTGGAATTTTTCTAAGTCCAAGGGGCATAACTCTGTCAAAAATTGCTCAATCATACCCAAAACAGAACTTGATCTAGATATTTTTATGATAAATCTGTATACCAAATTTCATTTCAGTGTTTACGTGCAACCTCTGTGAAGAAAATGAACGGAAACTGCAAATGATTGGAATTTTCCTAAGTCCCAAGGGGCATAACTCTGTCAAAAATTGCTCGATCGTACCCAAAACAGAACTTGACCAAGCTGTTCTTTTGATAAATCTGTATATTAAATTTCATTATTTGCAACCTCTATGAAGAAAATGAACAGAAACTGTGGACCGACAGCAGCAAAGCAATATGCCCTTCCTTCTTCGAAGGAAAGCATAAATATTCAGTAATTAATTTACAAGTTTATATATGATTTTTTGACACTATTTTCAAATAAATAATAAAAACTTTAGATGTGTCAATAACGCCACGAATGCCCCCACAAGCAGCCAAAGTTTCAAATGCAATATTTAGTTTTAAATTTGTATTCGAACTTAACCGTATTTTCTGGTAAAATACCTGCATATACAATCTGAACCTTATACATACATCCGTACAAAAGTTAGAGAGTGGAAACTGAAAATTTCTTTTTTTTCTAAGTTCAAGAGGGATAACTCTGTCAAAAATCATTGGACCATAACCAAATTCAAACTTGACCTGTACTTTCTGGTAAAATACCATGCATATGTAATTTCAACCTTATACATACATCCCTACAAAAGTTAGAGAACGGAAACTGAAAATTTCAAGAGAAATCTGCTTTGTGGACTATTGTAAAAAATAACATTGTTTATTTTACTTTATGATCTAAGAAATGCAAATGATAGTTGTTCTGCCACCTACCTCCAAGTCAATTTTCAAATTTTAACATATTTTGAATGATTTTTATAATTATTTATATCTGGTTTTAATTTTTTAAAAACTTTTTTTGGCTGTGGTTATAAATAATAAAAGTTTTATGAAAAGGAGCATTCTACTTATTAAGTATAGTAGTGTGGTCCCTTTTTACACCCTTGGTTTACCGATTAAATATTAGCATACAGTATTTTTTTTGTTTTCATTGTGTATAACAAAGTATTTCTAATTAAAGCATTGTATATTTATAATGAATACTTAAACGTATAAAAAAAATACAAGCCAATTTTTTTAACCTATCGCACTAAAAAATGCCAGAACATTTTCCCCCAATCAGAATTCGGTTTCTCTATTAGTACATGGAAATGGGCAGAGACATTTAGATTATATACTATAAAAAGAATATCTTGATATGATATTTTTCTTTCAACACAAAAGACAAATTATATGTTCAAGATTCACAATCAACTATAAATACAATTTTCTATTTACAAATCTTTGACAATAAAAGACAGATATAAATTAAACTGATATAAAACTGAGTACGTTTCAACTGAGAGCTACATGTAGCACGTTTACTGGGAGCAATTACCCGTAACGATACAAATCCACATGGCTTGTTATGATTCTAAACAGGTCATAAAGAGGTTAATTGCATATAAATGAAGTCAGCGAAGAGATTCAAAATCACAATACTTTTAATTAGAAAACATGGAGCACAAGATTGTTCCACAAAGATATCTTCACTCAACCTTTACACATATAATATACACATTATATTTCAAACTCGACTCTGAACAAACCTGTGTTCGGTGTTTATGAAAGCTTTGAAGTGTGTACTCGTCACTGATTTCTTTTGATATTCATGGAAATCAAAAGACCCTATCTTAAACATTCAGCTTCGTATGCTGCCTATATCTATTGTTTGACATTTTTAGATGATGATTCAAATAATAAAGACATTAGTTAATAATAAAATTTAATTTTTGAATCTTTTAACAAATGTTCGAGATTTGACGAGTAACCGGGGACCACAGATAAGCCTTACTGAGAATTGTTCTTTGTTCAAAATGCTACTGCTCCTACACTTTTAGTCAAAAAAAAAAATTGCCAAACAAAGAAACTACCATAAAACAGGATTTTTTCATGATAATTAAATTTCACTTTCATGTGAGCATTTTTAGATCACAAATAAAATTGTCACCAGTTGCTGTATCATAAATTAGAAATACATGGATATAACTCCAATAAGGACTATGCAAAGTTAAAAAAAGCAGTCTTTAATATGGTGTTCCATTGGGGCCACTCGCACCTTCGCACTCTCGACTTTAGGGCAAAGATGTAGAGTGCGAAGGCGAGAGTGCGAAGGTGAAGATGTGATGGTGAAGCACGAAGCACCTTCGCCTTCGCTTTTTTTTGGTGAAGTTCTCTATCGTTTGATGATAATTTTATCTTTAAAAATGGCGTCTGCAGAAGAAGATGAACTGTTCAGTCTGTTGCAAATATATTTCCAGCAAGAACTTTTGCATAATGAAATTCGAATGTTATTGTATTTAAACCATGGTATTGAATAAAGGTGTGCTATGCACACACATATAGTGGGCATTACGTTTTAAAATAGAGTTACATAATCATGATAATGTTCAAACCTAGTTGTACACTGGTTAACAAGTTAAAAGACATGTCAGATAACCCTGTAAAATATTAATGAATTTTTAATAATTGATAGTAAACACAATGGCCTAACTTTTACAACTGTTTTAGTCTCACCATCCATTTTGGTGCCGTCACACTAACCTAGCGCATGCAAACCAATAACATCCAAGAGCCCACTAAAATTAACTCATAATGATAAAGAGCTCCACAGAAGTAAAATGCGAAGGCGAAAGTGCGAAGGCAAAAGTGCAAAGTTACGAAGGCGAAAGTGCGATATTAGTATCGCTCCTTGGCCCTCACACTCTTGCCGTCGCATCTTCGCACTTTCGCCTTCACAACTTTGCACTTTCAGCTTCGCACTCTTGCATCTTCACCCTAAAGGTGAGAATGCGAAGATGCGAGTGGCCCCTACGAAACACCATACTTTAGGAATATTTTGCAAAAATTTTGATGTTCGTGCTTGAACATTATACGGTATACCAAGGATTATAATTTAATTTGCTTATTAGTGTTGGCATACATGTAGTTCCAAGTCCAAGTGCTACTTTTATCTTTCTTTGTTATAAGTATAAACCAGTAGAGCTACAAACTTGTAAGAGACTTCTGGTTTTCCCAAAAATGAAAGAAGCCGGAACAAAACAGTTTTCTGATTGACAACATATAATTAAACCAAAAAATGTGCAACTTACAATACTTGGTTGATAGTGCTGTTATGTACATAACACTGAAGATGTATATTTCATAAGGATATGATATGTAGTTATCACAAGCATATAATCACAGCTTATGAAAATGAACACATTTCCCATAAACATCATCAAAACCATTACATTATACATGTATACCAAAGTTTAAAAGAATGAATGCTATCATTAACTGTAAATAAAAAAAAATATTATTTTAGTTACAATTAATTAAGTCTTACTTCTTGTGAAAATTACATTACATAAATGGTCCATGATCTTCTTAACTGTATCATTAAAAATAAAAATGTATCCTTAATTTATTTAAAACAAGGAATAATATGCACCTAATACCTCTCCTTTTATATATATCGTATACAGCAATTGCTCCTTTTCACAAAAAAAATCTTATATGATTAATTTTCATTGCATGAGTAAACTGGCATTTTGGTTCCTTTTCATAAAAATGGTTACTTAAAATTGATGAACCTATTAATTAAATTATGTCTTCATAACACAACTCCTCCTACTATTTTTGTCTAATTTGAGTGAAGCATGTTACAACATAGACTACTTCAAAATACATATAACAAACTTCTAGTTGATACCTAAATTCAGTTTTGGTGTTTTGTAAACATTGGTATTAAAAGATAAAATATTCTCTTTGTTTTAACATGTTGTGTCAAGTTTTTCATTTACCATTATATTTTGCATTCAAAATGATGGAAGATGTTAAACAAACATTGTACAACTGCACCACTCAACTTTGTTTAGATCAACAAACCTACAGTCTCATCATAGACCTCTAGTCTACAAACTTACACAGGGTTATCACTTTTGTGTAAGACAACAGACCTTTTATTCCATACTTGTTCATGAAATGAAGCCATCATAAATTCATACAATATTGATCACATATAAAACAAAATAAAACAAAAAAAATGGAATGATTCTGATTAAAATATACAAATTTAAAGTAAATCATGTAAAAAATAATTATGAAAGACTATAACATATTGCACAGGGACAAAAGGCAAGTCAGGAAAACATAAGTGGATTCAAATATTTTAAAAAATCTATCCAGGAAAATATTTAACTGACTTCACATGTCAAATCCCCCCTCTCTCCTCTCATATGTTTATCAACATAATTCTGAGCAACATCATCAAAGTGTTTCCTACTCAACAAGATACGGAACACAAAATCAGGAACAATTTTAATTTCAAAACATTTCTCGACTAGGTTGTTGAGTTCCTCTGAGCTGGGGGAGCTGCTTGGATTAAGACTGTCTGTAAAACTAGCAATACGATAATACTTTCTGCGACTGTCCTCGAATAAGAATTCACTTTCATGGAATGAACTGTTCAACAAACTCTCATTCAAATTTGGTGTGGCACAGTAAGGAATACTCCACCCCTTAATATCCTGATAATCCAATTCAGTTTGTGTCTCTGGTCTGGATTCTGGATTATTTTTGGCTTCACCAGATGTACAAGGTCTATCATCATCTTTCTGGATATTACAATCCCTTGTTATTTGTTCTCTCTGACTGTTTATCAATTCAGTTTCTTTGGCTTTTTGAGTAGATAGATTACCTTTGCATGTTTGGGGAGCATGATAGCTTGGGTTTCTCTGAACTTTAAGAGACTGGGTCAATTTCACAGGGGAGTTCAGACCATGTGCCCTGAGGCTCTGATGTAAAGTGGACCTAACGGTTTCAGACTGGACATTTTGCTCTACATTAGCTGTGACTGTTTCAGATTGTTTTAAACTTTGATGTATCATGGGGCTTGAATGGGGATCATGTAGCCTTTGGCTATGCTGAAGTACAGGTGTTCCTCTTAAATGAGAATGAAGACTCAGATAATGTGATTTTTTTTTGGAACAAGTGGGTCTTTGGTTTTCTTCTTGGTCAGGATGTGGTATGGGTGTTGCTCTTGGGGTGTTATTACAAGAAATATTCCCATCACATGAAAAAGATGTTCCATTTCCACCAGTAATGCTGATTTCTGGAAAATCAGTTGCATCATCTTCTTCCTCAGAATCTGTAAAAACATGGAGCCACTTAATGAGGCACATTAAACATACTAGGAATGCCACTTACACAATCTGATAATTTCCTGACCTGTCTCATCATTGGCATCCATATCTACAATAACTCCAGCCCTGAGGAGTGACTCCGCTATAGATATAGCTGTCCATCTCTTCTCTTTACTGCTGTTTGTATTCTCCAAATCAGGATCTATCAAGAGAAAAAGAAATTACACTATTGAAAAATTTAACTGAAAATGATGCTTAACATTGACATCTTCTTCCAATATATGTAATTTAAGTATATAAAAATAACTAAGCAATAATACTGTAAACCAACTCTTATTCGTGTGTGAGAAATATCTGTAAGTTTCAAAGCTTGTTTTACTTGCAAAAAAATCTTGTTATGAACCATTTCATTTGTGTATTTATGCTGAATATTTTTTAAGTTGTGAAAAATACTCCCTGTTGGATATCAAAGTAACAAATAGCAAATAAAAGTTGACAGATTAATAGCTAGTTACAGTATATTCAGGAGGATTAATTGGTTGGAAACGGTTCAGCTATTCTACAGAAGAAGCTGAAAATGTTCACTATAGACTGCAGATGTAAATGGAGAGAAATAGGTTATCTTAGTATCTCAGGTGACCTCAGAATTTTGCACATAGCAATTTACCAAACTGATAGAAGAGTTCTGGGTGGTGTGTAATCCAGGAGACCAGATGGGCACCACTGAAGCACTTCCTGTAGACAAGCAGATCCTCTCTGATTCTGTGGAGAATAGTCTTTACTGTACCATCAATGGTACAGATACTAATAGTGTCAGACCCATAGTACTGCAAAGTAAAGCAAATTATGACAGATAATGAAGGACAAACCACAACACTTTAGATAATTTAATATTTCTTCCCTTCAGATGAATACTCAAACAATCGTTTCTTGATTCCAAATATAATGGATAGATATTCAATACCTCTCATGAGCAAACTTGGAAAAAAAATCAAATCAAATTTTAAAATTTTAAGAATTGCTATTAAAAATTTGAGTCAGAGAAATTACTTCTTTTTTTTATAACCTGTATTTCTATTGGTTAGACTGATGTATGTTCAGACTTGAACATTTTACTCATTTTATTTTTTCTTTTTTTATGCCCCTGTATTGAAGATTTGGGGGTATATAGTTTTTGCCCTGTCCGTCCGTCTGTCTGTTTGTCCGCAAAAACTTTAACATTGCCCATAACTTTTGATTGGTTGGAGCTATGGCTTTCATATTTCACATGTGTATTCCTTGTGACAAGACCTTTCTTTGGGTACCACCATACTCGACCTTTTGACCTTGACTTTGGAGTTTGACCCAGTTTTGCAAAATTTTACCCAACTTTAACCTTGGCCATAACTTTTGAACAATTGATGCTAGAGCTTTTATACTTCACATGTGTAATCCTTGTGACAAGACCTTTCTTTGGATACCAACAACTTTGACCCTTTGACCTTGACCTTGAAGTTTGATCTACTTTTGAAAAAAACTTTAACATTGGCCATAACTTTTGAAAGTTTGTTGCCAAGGCTTTCATACTTCACATATATAATCCTTATGACAAGACCTTCCTTAGGATACCAACAACTATGACCCTTTGACCCCTTGGAGATCGACCTACTTTTGAAAAATGTTGACCTTGGCCATAACTTTTGAACCGTTGCAGCTAGGGCTTTCATACTTTAGGCACCATTAATTTTGACCATTTGACCATAACCTGGATGTTTGACTTACTTTTGAAAAAAAACTTTAACCTTTTCCATATCTATTCAATGGTTGCTGCTAGGGCTCTCAAATTTCACAGGTATATTCCTTGACACAAGACCTTACTTTGGGTATCAACTATTTGATTTGCATTTGAGAAAGTTTACCCTTTGCTGTAAGTTGCCATACTGGGGCATCAGTGTTTCACAAACACATCTTGTTTTTTTTTTTGTTTTTATTGATGTTATTGCACTAGCTGCAATAAGGCCCTCAGATTTTTTTCCCAAACATTTATGGGAGAAAAAAGGAAAAAAAAATTAGAGATTACAGCCATTATTATGGCTATTTTTACACATGGAATGGTTAATGAAATGCTGAGATGATTCACAATGTAGGAGGAGTTATGACAAGACCACACACTTTTTAGGCCTGTGGATCACTTGGACCAAAATTGAATTTTCACAACCTTTATATTGCACATCTACATGACAAGGCCAATCATGAGAAAAATTTCTTCTTATCTCTAAAAATGTAAGAGAAGTATATAATGATGAAAGTGACAGACAGACTGAAATGACAATTTATACTCAATCCTTTTTTTTAAGGCTCAGGTATGACTTTTCCTGATTTCACAAAAATGAAACCAGTAAGTATTGCACATTAAGAATCTTAATGTAATCATGAAGCTGAAATTAAAAAACCAGTATGCAGAATACTCTGTCTTGATACATTCCATCTGTGCGACATTTTACAGAAATGGGTTAAAAAGTGTTCAAGAATTAGCGTTTTGAAAACAAGAGGCCCAAGGTCCTTAACGGTCACCTGAGTATAATACAACAATTTAGAAGTTAAATACACTGACAGATGAAGCTTTGTTGCCCTAAAGCAAGAGAAGTAGGAAGATCAGGATCAACAAAATAATTAGTCTAGTATTCAGTATCAACTCATAACTTAAGTTCTAATCTGTCCCCCACTTAATATTATCACCATGCAGACTATTAACAAACTATTAGTGCTTCTGTACTATTTTTAAACCCATATTAAGCCCTTTAGCATTGACCTCTCTTATGGTCTTTGAAGAACTTTTAATAAGATAAGTTATTTTTGTCTCGTTTTTATTTATCTATTACTTACAGGTCTACCTGATTATTAAAACTAAGAAACTACTTTTTGAATTATACGATAAACATTCTTGCATAATTATCTTATTCTATTAACCTTTCAAAAACATTATTTACAGTGATTAATTATCAAAGATGAATGGAAAAGGGGAATAACTTCTCTCAGTAGAATACAAATTAATAGAGCCCTGTCCAGGACCAGAATGCTTAGACAAATTGTCCAGATGTTCAAAAATCTGGTAGAAATACGCTTACTTATATCATTTAAACTTTTACTCAGTTTGCTTTCGATATGCCCAGAAGCAGAGAAGAATTTCACAGGTACAATGCATTTTCACTACAGATTCAACAAAGCCTTACCCTAACACCAGAACCCAAGACCAAAGGTCAAGAAATTTACAAAACTGGAAGAGTTACCCTCATCATCATAACTATGGACTTCAAAGAATTAACACTTTTCCACTATATTATCAAAAGCCCCCCCCCCCCCCCCCCCTTCCTCGTTATGCCAGAACCCCTGACCCTAGGACCACAAGATTTAAAAATTCTGTTCGAAGCTCCCATCTTCATCATAGCTAAGCAATTTATTTATCAGCTCAACACTAAGGAGCATACAGGATTAGTTAATGATTAATTAATAGAATTAATGCATTTTCACTATATAATCAATAGAGCCCCCCCCCCCCCCCCTCCTCAAGAACCCCAAAAACTGAGGCCATGTATTTAAAAATTTTGGAAGAGGCATCCTTGCCTATCATAATCATGCACTTAGTTTGTTTAAATAATCTCCAGTAGCAAAGAAGAAGATTTTCATAGAATCAATGCATTTTCACTATATAGTCAATAGAGCCCCGCCCTAACACCGGAACCCCTGACCCTGGGGCCATGAAATTCACAATTTTTGAAAAGGCATCCTTATGCATCATAACCATGCACTTAGTTTGTTTAAATAATACCCAGGAGCAGAGAAGAAGATTTTCAAAGAATTAATGCATTTTCACTATATAATCAATAGAGCCCCACCCTAACACCAGAACCCCTGACCCAGGGGCCATGGCTTTCACAATTCTGGAAGGAGCCCACCTCCTCATCATAACTATGTACTTAGTTTATCACCTTAATGCCCAGGAGCAGAGGAGAAGATTTTCAAAGAATTAATGCATTTTCACTATATAGTCGATAGAGCCCCGCCCTTACACCAGAACCCCTAACCCTGGGGCCATGAATTTCACAATTTTTTAAAGAGGCACTCTTGCTCATCATAACTATGTACTTAGTTACCTTATTTAATACCCAGGAGCAGAGAAGAAGATTTTCAAAGAAATAACGCACTTTCACTATATGATCTATATTGCCCCACCCTGGGACCAGAACCTCGACCCTGGGGCCATGAATTTCACAATTTTGGAAGAGGCACTCTTCCTCATCATAACTATGTACTTAGTTACCTTATTTAATACCCAGGAGCAGAGAAGAAGATTTTCAAAGAATAAATGCATTTTCACTATATAATCTATAAAGCCCCACCCTAACACCAGAACCCCTGACCCTGGGGCCATGAATTTCACAATTTTGGAAGAGGCACTCTTGCTCTTCATAACTATGTACTTAATTACCTTATTTAATACCCAGGAGCAGAGAAGAAGATTTTCAAAGAAATAATGCACTTACACTATATGATCTATATAGCCCCACCCTGGGGCCAGAACCCCTGACCCTGGGGCCATGAATTTCACAATTTTGGTAGAGGGCTCAATGCTTATTACAATGATGCCAACAGTTTGACTGCTTGATGTCCAGGAGTAAAGAAGAAGATTTTTAAAGATTGCATTATTTTTGGTGGTTTTAGCCCCACCCCTCAGGCCCCAGGGGGGGGGGGGGGGCAGGGACTATGAAATTCACAATTTTTGTTCCCCTTCACCTATAGATGCTATATGCCAAATTTGGTTGAAATTGGTTAAGCGGTTTCAGAGAAGAAGCTAAAAATGTTCAAATGTTAACGCACGATGCACGCCGACGGACGAGAACGGATAGCAATAGGTCACCTGAGTGACTCAGGTGACCTAAAAAAAGACATAGACAGGCATGCAATGGACACCTAACCAATACAAAAGCTTTTATGGTCATTTACCAGTAAAAAATGAGATTACTTACATGTTCCATAAGTTTTTCATACAACTGGATCAGCTGATGGCTAGCTGTTGTATAAATCTGTAGCTTAAACATTACAGGCTCCTGTAAAAAATAGCTGTTGTATAAATCTATAGCTTAAACATTACAGGCTCTTGTAAAAAATCTGTTCTAATGGAGTGATATCCAACAACAGTAGTGCATTCAGAACATCAGACATTTCGGTTACAGAAAAGAAAATATAAGCCAAATCACCAAATGTACACTGTGTGCTACTTGTGATAAGTTAGAAATAAACTCTATCCTGTCTGTCTCCTGAGTTAGTGAAATGTAAAGGGTAAGATGAAGCACCCAATGCAAGCAATTTTCCAGACTAAATTCATTAAAAAATATAGTCACTGGTCACTGTTGGTACAAGTACATTGTATAGTTTCTAAACTAGAAACTTGAGATGCCTAAACATGAAATGCCAGGTGCAGTCTCTAAATACCATACGATACAAACTAATTGGCCATGAGCCTTAACAGTGACCTGAGAGTCATCATAGTTTTTTGTTTTTTTTTATTTTTGTTTTTAGCCATATATTGCATCCTATTATTCTTGTCCACTTTTTTTTTATTTGAAAGCCCTAATGTATCTCCAGCTGTTAAAATGACAATGATGCAGAAATTTGAATTTTCAGTACTTAAGCATATTTTCACAATAGTTTGTTTCTTTGAAGATTTTTTATATTTCTTTTTAATATAATCTCAGGGAATATGTTAGATGTAACTTCTGAAGCATATGTCAAAGGCACCATATGAGTAAATTTGGTTTTATTACTGCTTGTGATTAACTTGTTAAAACCCCAAACCCCAAACTTACTGGGATTCACTTGAGTATAAAATGTAGGTTAGATGCAGCATTTGAAGCATGATTAAAATTTAGTGTCCATAGTACATGTACTCCATCTCTGCAACTCTTGAGACAAACCAGAATGTGATATACAGAGCTGAATCTTGCACTTAAAATTGGAGTAAATTGAGCATAAAATGAAGATCAGATGCTGCATCACACATAATGCATCACACTTAATATCCATAAATCCACCATACCTGCAGGATTGTCGATACTTTTATGATAAGCTGGTTGGTGACTTAATGTTGGGCTTAATCTTGACTGTGTAAACAGACATACATCTAGAGGGACAGACAGAGGGACATACTGATTCCAATATATACCAAACCCCCACAACTTTGTTCTAGTGGGGGGAGGGGGGGGGGCTAGATAATAAATGAAATACACCGTATATGTATAGAGTTTAGTAGAGATACATGTATTTAACTAGAGACTTGATACAGTATGAGAATGACAGACATTTTGACATCTGTTTATAGTATGGATACTCACAGCCTGTGACAACAAGAGATTCCGATGAATTCCTGTATCTTTATTAGACATTAACTTCAGCAAAATCTACAAAGAAAGAAGAAAATTTGCCAATGATATCATTAAAATAAAACGTTTCTTAAGATTTTGATTCAAAATATTGACTTATTCATACATATAATAAATCATCTTTCGTAAAATATACTCTTAGTTCACATGTATAGGGCACATTTTTTTGTCAGTTTTCAAAGTTAGGGGGTGTATACTATAAGCATGACTTTTTAGCATACTATACTTTGCCTATGTTTTGAGTAAAAATGTATACCGGTAAATGATTTTTAATCAAAATTTGACATCATCACTCATTTGACATCATCACTCATGCTTCAACAGTGTAATAATGGAAATATAAAATAAATTCAATGTTTGATAAATATGTTTTGTGTGTGTTTTCTTTACATTCTGAGAGTCACACATTGCCATTAAAAATGTTAATTGGGTTCAAAAGAAGCATGAAAAGCTTTGCATCCAGAATTAAATTCAAAATGTGCAATATTTGGATCTTAACAATTTCTAATAGACCTCAATGCTGACACGAGTTATCCTGTATTATGGGATGGAGATGGGTAGAGATTTCCTGCTAGTTTTACTTACAGTAAAGGCCTGTACTAAATGTTTGGCTTCTTCCAAAGAGTTTTCACTATAGGCCAACTTCTCAACTTCTTTCTCAAAATTCTGAAATGAATTATGAAATATGAAGATAATGAACAATAATCAAGCTCAAAAGTCCATTGAAACAATATAAAATATTTAGCAGAGCAAACATGGACCTCTAAAAATATCAGAGGTGGGATCAGGTGATGGAGTAAGCATCCTATGTCGACCAGTCACCAACAGTCAACTTACATGTATTAAAAACCATTCAATGGCCATACAGTAAGAACTAGTATCTAGTCACATTTTTCTTGGAGATATTTCAAATTTTTGTTATTAGTCCCCTACCGGTGAAACCGGAGGGGACTATAGGTTTCCTCTGAGTCTGTCCGTCCGTCTGTCTAGCTGTCCCTCTGTCTGTCTGTCAGTCTGTCCCACTTGGTTTTCTGCACTTTTTTCCTAAACACTTGCAGATATTGAGCTGATTTTTGGTATGTGAGTGTATTTTGATGAGTTACAGCTCAAGTTTGCATTTCGTTCCACTTCATTGATTTTTGACGGAATTACGGTCTTTTCAATTTTTACGGATTTTCCGCAATTTTCTGCTGATTTTTGGTATGTGGCTTTACCTTGATTAGTTATAGATCCAAGTTTGCATTTCGTCCCGCTTCATTAATTTTTGACGGAATTATGGCATTTTCAATTCTTAACGGGAACCAGATTACACTTGCCGGTAGGGGACTAGTATTGCTAATGCAATACTCTCAGAATGCTCGTTACTGCTTGTACAGCATCCAAGTTAATTTGATATATACAATGTAATATGATAAAAGAGCTAGGTTCACTTTATGCATAAAATGGCCCTGTCCTTATATCAATTAATTGACTATCACCCTCTGTCCCATTTCACATATCAGAATATTTTCATTGCATATTTTGGATCAGAGGTTGTGCTTTATATGAAATATTGAAAAAATACCTCATCTTTTGGCCATTTTTAAGGGAATTTAGAGGAAATGGGGAAAATGACGCATTTTATGACGTCATAATGCATTGACTAGAGAGAAAATTACGTCATGTTCAATAGATACACGGTCACCAAGGGTCCAAGTTATAAATACTGCATTTTCAACCAAAACTGAGCAGTTTCGATTTTTCAGAAATTCTCAGGGCCAAAAAAGGCCCTAAGTGGCTCTTGCTCTTTGACAATCTTATTTCAAATCACTAAGTTTATGCTACCTGCACAATGAAAATCCACAAATTTTCCATGACAATATGGAAGTTGTCTATATAGAGCCATTGGTTGAGGAGGTCAATGTAGGAGCTGAGGAACTGTGATAGAGGAGCAAGGTTAGTGGCCACTGAACGTCTCGTATCCCTCAGGCTCAGGAACATTATCATGGCATTGTACACAAACAAATTCAACTGAAAAGCAAAGAAACCTGTCTACAAAGCTAGACAACAAACATCAGAATACAATCAACTAGTTCAAGTGAAGCTCATCTTTCCTTTAACCAAAAGGCCCATAGGCCTATGTATCTCTACTATAGCATGGAGAATTTCATACTTTTTTTCCTTCCAGTGACTTTGACCTTGTAAAAGCAATTCATTGCAGTAAAAGAGCCTTGGGTTAAAAGCAATCTTTATATTGAAATATGAGAATACATTTATAATCTTTTCCAATTGCTTAGTTATAGATTGTATATCCCAGTCAAATTTTGTAACAAAAGGACAAACATTATGGCTCACAGGCAAGAACAATAGACCTAGATATCATTTATAGGTGAGAACAATTGACATACATTATCATTTATTGGTAAGAACAATTGACAAACATTATCATTTATTGGACAGATGGATAAAATTGCCAGATTTACTCATTACAATCATGCAAACAGTTTACATGCTAATTGTTGAGGATTTAAATTATTGCAATAATTCTGATGGTTTTGGATAACCCCCTCCCTCCCCAAGCCCAAGGAGGGTATGTACTCCTAAAATTCAAAATATTTGTTCCCCCTTACTCAAAATGCTGTATACAAAATTGGTTCAGCCATTTATGAAAAGACTGAAAGTGTTTGTCCACTAAAGATACCACATAATGCAGGATTGGAATGGATAGCAAAAGTCACCTACTGTTAAGTAACTTACCTGTAGTTGACTTAGAAATATTTTAATGAAATGAAAAATCATTTTGTTTTTTCCCCCTTATTTCTTAAGTGAATTTAAATCAGATAGTTTAAATACTCTTAATTATTCAGATTTTTTAAAGATACATAAAAAGTTTTGCTTTACTCGATATGCTAGAAGTCTTGCCAAAGACCTCACAACAGTTTGGAAGTGAATTTTGCATGCCTCCATAGAATATTCACCAGTGCCTTCAGGGAGGTCATAGAATTCTGAAAAACAGAATAGAATATTATGAAAATAAAATTGATAATAATGAAACAGAATAATAAGACAGACGTCCACATGAAAGAATACTTTCTTTCTACTGAAATCCAGTAATGTCTCAAAGAATATTACATCATATATAAAGTATTACATACAAGATACGTTGTGAATTAATTATGTCAATATTCAATTCAGTACTAAGTATTTAACTTTAAATTAATTGAAAATAAATGCAAATATTGCTGAAATCTGTGACTATAGCCAATATTTTTGTGTGATAGTTAATTATTCATGCATTAAAAAAATAAGATTTAAACGTTTCTACTTCATGCAATATTTGAGGTTGTATATACTTGAAATAGACAATTTGATGTTAACTCATTTCTGCAAATGCCCATGTGTTCAAAGGTGTAGATGGATTAACTTGCAATTCATCCACTAAAAATAAAATATTTTTCTTAACTCAGTACCTGCAGGAGAAACATGGCTCCACTCATAATTAAAAACTGAGGCCAATTTCTTGTGGAAAACTCCATGAAAAGACAAGAGAGAAGACACAATATTCATACGGACACACATCTGAAACAAAAAGTCACAGCTATTAAAGAATGGTATGGCAGAAACATCTACTGTGGTGGATGCTCAGTAACAAACCTAAAGAACTAACAATGTTGCAGTAATCCCAGGAATTGAAATAAATGCAGTCAAACTGCAAAAATAATTCAAAAATTTACTTTATATATATATATATATTAGGGATGGCAATCGAATACAGAATTGCTAATCGGTTAACTGCAAGACCAATTAACCTGTCAACCGTATCAAAATACGCATTTTCTTGTTTTCTTGATAGACTTTTTTTTCCCCCTAAGTATCTCTATTCATATACACAAGAAGACTAACAAAGTCGCTAGAAGTTAAGGGCATACGCAACGTAGTTTGAACTTTATTGTCTTTTTCCCTGGAGTTGAAGAGTTCCAATGCTTAAAGGAACCGTGTGCTACATTTTATTGTCTATATATGCTATTGTAAACTTCTTCTAAAACAAGTTTGGATACACAAAACATCTACAATATGTGTTTGGTAATTTTTGTATATTTTTCTTTGAATTATTCAAGAATTTTCATCAATTGATATCTTTTCAAAACCCCTGGTAATGCATGCTGATTTTTTGGCTTCGAACATCTGATGGTACTATAATCTTAAATTAAGAATATCTCGAAAAATTATCAGTAGGTAAGGTACGTTGCGTATGTCCTTAAAGCATTCTATTTGTCTTGATTCTTGATAAGAAAACTACATGCATATATATTTCATTTCAGTTTCAACAGACAAGAAAAAAATATAAGAAAACCAGGAATCATGTCTGAGAAATCAGATATATCCAGAGCAGATGTCACATAAGTTCATTCTGCATTGTCGCCATAATTAAAATTAAGTCTGAACTACATCACTGAATTTACCATGTTTGTTTGGTAATTTATTCGATGGACAACTGTAAAAGACAAACATATTAATTTGCAGTGTTCAACAGTGATTTAATATCATTAAAGAATTACATGACACTCGGGGGTAATGACATGGTATTTTAACAGTAATTAACATCTCAAACACAAAATGACCAATTACCCAATAATCTCAATCCGGAGAACCAAAATTACATCCAAGTCAGCTTGGATATGTGAGAACGCTGAATTATCAACGTTAATGCAGAGACTTCTTTTCTTCCGAAAATGAATTATAAGAAAATTGCGTTTAGATTTACATGTATTTTATTTTTTCCCACTAACCAATAACAGATTTTCTAACCGATTGCCATCGTTCCGACCAAGTAATCGGTTAACCAATTACAAATTGCCATCCCTAATATATATATATATATTTGCAGTTACAAACAACATATTATTTACAGTCAATACTGCTTTGCCAAATTCACAGTAAAAAATGCAAAAATTAAAGCATTTAAAATTGTATTGTGATTGTTTTTTTCAAAAAAATAATAAAGCAACGATAGCATGAGAATATCAGTCAATCCATGATTTTATTACACAAACAATGAACAGAATATTGATCTAAGATGGGGATTTTGTGTTCTTGGTTTGTGTGATAAAATCATGGATTGATCACATGTACTAATTGTATATTATACCAACTTACAGCCTGAGAGATAGGTTCGTATCGATCACACAACATGTCTGTCCGTTTGTTGACATATTGGAAGCAGTCAGTGGTGCCCTCTATCTGATGTCGACATCCCCAGATCTTATTGGACTGTTTACACTTCTGAAGGTGTCTCACCATCTATTGAAAATAATGAATTCTAATAGAAAATGTCAAAGAAGCTGCATGTTTATAAGTGTGATATACTAATTGAGGTATATTTAATAATGACATCAATTATCAGCACATCTGTTGTAACACTGTCTAAGAATTAAGGCTTACACTGACCTCTGCTCCAACCAGTCTTATTCCCTCGTTACAAGTGGTACCACAGAGATCCAAACACAGAATATTGTCTGCATAATCCATCAGTAAACAACACACCACCTTAAACAATATATTTATATGAATTTGAAAAATACTTTTCCAGCATTTTTTGGTTCATGATAATAGAAATAAACTATTAGAAAATATTTATCATGCGAACTTTGACTCATTGACAAACACATTGCATTAATTCCAAATACATGACATGTCACATTGTATGTTAGAGCTTAAACATTCCATAAGATCTAAAGCATTTACTATTGTCCTAACATCAGTAATGTATTTGTGTGTGTGTCAGTGTGTGTTGGGTACTGCATATAAGCTGGGTGCAAAGAATTCAATTTACAGGACTGTGGTTGACAAATTTTACTGTTAGCTATACAATATGGTAATTTCAATTATTATAGTTTATTTATTTAAAGGAAAGATTAAATTTCTACAATCATGTCATTTTTTTTTTATAAAACTAATTTATACCTCATTAAATCTTGTGTATAGTTTTTTCCTGATTTCACCACTAAAACAGCTGCTAATTGATGTGGAGGAGGAAAAAGAACTTTCAAAGTCGGATGTTCTATGATTGGATTTGTAGAATGTCTTACAAAGTGTTTTACTGAAGCCAATAGTCCGCTGAAGGAGAACCAGCACATCAAACAGGGAACTAGACACTGGAATGTAAGCCGACTTTAGAGGACTTAAGGAAACATGAATATCGGATGACAAGGTATGATTCTCAGGGGAGGAATTCTCTACTTCAGAGGAGGATCCAGGATCTTTGCTCTCTTTAGTAGACAATGAAACATCACACTGTTCAAGAACATGCTGTCTTGAATTTACAATATCTGCTTTATGAATTGGGTCATTTTCAATTAATTTTTCACTGTCCAGAGTAACAACCTCAACCATGGGTGGGAAATCAAAATTTTGTACAGGAGAGTCCTGTGTGCTGGACATGGACTCCTGGTCCCCCTCCCTCTCCTCCTCCTCCAGAGACTGAGTGAATTCCCCCGCTAATGAATCCTGATCTCCATCTCCCCTGTCACCAAGGTAACTGTTACCAACTGGCATAGCATTTTCACTCAGCAGTTGTTGATGACAATCGTTTGTGGGGGTTACTTCAGTTTTGTTACCTGCACTTTCTTCTGTGGGCTGATGTTCAAGCCAATCTGTTGTTCCTTCTTGTTTAAATACTCTATCAGATTTATTGCTGGTTTTCATTGAAAAATCACCTTTGATAATATTAACAATTTCATCATCCTGTTTCAGGTGGTCGGATAATTCACTTTTGTCACTTGTTTCATGGTTACTATCCGGTGGAAATTTTAATGGACTATGTATTTCCAAAACCTTCGTGAAGTTTTCCGACCTAATTTCATCACTTTTCAAATTTGGAAATTTTAAACTGGGTCTTGTTACACCAAGATGATGGTCATAACTCTTACTCAGCATCTCTGGTACAGATGAACTGTGTCGGAGGTTAGAAAATGTCATAATCTCTCCCTCCTCTTCCTCAGAAAACTCACAAAGAGACTGGGTGTCCCCAAATGGACCAGGCGCTGAGGAGGAGATATTCATTTTACTACTGAACCAGGAACCTGGTTTGCCTGAAGATTCTTTGATTTGTTTAGAATCTGCTTGTTTTCCTTTTGAATCCTGAAAAAATTACATCTCTGGTTACTTTTATATCAAAAGGCAATACATTTTCAGAAAACCATAGCTACAAAAACACTGTACTTCTTTCAAAACAAGTATGCTACAACTATGCTATTTGATTTTACCTGACTTCAACATCTTCAGGTGTATGTACTTAATTCTCTTCCACTTACTGTGTATGTATGTAGTATTAATCCACTTATTGTGTATGTATGTAGTATAAATCCACTTACTGTGTATGTATGTAATATAAATCCACTTACTGTGTATGTATGTAATATAAATCCACTTACTGTGTATGTATGTAGTATAAATCCACTTACTGTGTATGTATGTTATATAAATCCACTTACTGTGTATGTATGTAGTATAAATCCACTTACTGTGTATGTATGTAGTATAAATCCACTTATTGTGTATGTATGTAGTATAAATCCACTTACTGTGTATGTATGTAGTATAAATCCACTTACTGTGTATGTATGTAATATAAATCCACTTACTGTGTATGTATGTAGTATGAATCCACTTACTGTGTATGTATATAGTATAAATCCCTTTACTGTGTATGTATATAGTATGAATCCACTTACTGTGTATGTATGTAGTATAAATCCACTTACTGTGTATGTACGTATTATAAAATCCACTTACTATGTATGTATGTAAGAGTTTTATCAAGGTTCATGAAAATTGCAGTTTTAAAAAGCCTGTTTTTAAAACTTGTATTCTTGGAGAGAATCTTTTTATATAGATAATGAAAGTATAAAACCTTTACTTTTACATTTATGTTTGAAATTAAACAGAGGGTGACAAAGATTATGTAGTGTATCTAAGGCCAGGTAAAATTAATCTTTAGATTCTCATCCCCGCCTGCCCCTCTGAAAGTGCCCCGCCCTGTTGTTTTTTATTTTGCTTTTTAGGTGCCAAACATATTATTTTCATGTATTTTTATTCAGCAAGAATCTGGGTCAAAATTTAAGAGTTATCTCCCGTCTGTATTAAAAGTCGCGTGGCGCTATTTATAGCAAAAAACCTATGTGAAGAATGGAGAAAAATCGGCAATAAAAGCAGTTTAAATATGTAAGGAAAAGATAATTTGTCAGTAAAGAGAAGGCAGAAAAGCAAAAATAACATATAAACACATCTAGATACCATCACTGGCATGGGCTAGTTTTTTTAAAAAGAGATTTTAACCAAGTAAAAACAGACGAAGAAAATGACACATGTATGGTCAAGTTTTAAATAACGATCTCCAGTTGTATGTGATTTTGCATTAAAAAAAATAAAACATCGTCCAAAGATTTTAGAGAATAATAGTGCTAAGGAAATGTTAAATCTTAAAACTGTTCAGGCCTAGGCTTTTCAGTGGAATATTTTACAGATTTACACAATCCTGTTTTGCAAATATGACATATTTTAATGTCGAACATGTCAAGTCTTAAGAACGATTGAATGTATGAGGACAGTGGAAATCTGTGATATCTGTATATCACACAGAACAGAAGGAGTTGTTGGTAAAACTATAAGGTATATAGGGAAAGGCCGATGAGAAAATCTGCATATGCAATTTATTAGGATCAGCACCTCATTTTGTTTGGCGTGTGCCGTATCCAGGTATCTGTGTACTTGATAATTTGTTAATAAAACTATAAATATTTTAATTTTCTATAACAAGAATCTTCTGTAGATATTTAAAAGAATATGGAAACAATAAATAAATCTATTCATATTGGCATTAACATAATGTAAAAATTACGTGTACAAATGTTTTGTTGATACTTTAAATTATAAAAAAAAAAAAAAAAAAATCCGCCCACCCACCCCACTTTTTTAGCAAATTAGGATGAGAATCTAAATTTTAAATTTATGTGGCCTAAGGGTCATTTTTAAACAAAGCTTTCTAACACTGTAACCAATGATCATACATACATGTATGATGAAGAAGTCCTTAGGTTAATTGTTTCCCATTATTTTATCACATACATGTAATTATATGTACGATGGTTATATCAGTGATCTAGATCTTTAACTAAGTGACCCCAATATCTGTATATGTCATCCTCTAATAATCTTCCACCTACTATTAAATAGCAAGTCTGTGTAATGATACAAATTTCATAAATAGATGTGGGACTAAATTAATAATTAAGGAGGCTGGGGGGTCAACAAATTAACCATCAGATATAACTTATTTTTTTTTAGATATGATATCTTAAGCTGTCAACTATCATTTGGCAAAGAAAAAAATAATTTATTTTAGTTTTAAAATTTGATCATTTTTGTATATCTTTATATGGAACTCTTCTTCTAAAGGAGATCAATATAGTTTAAAAATGGACACGACCACCCAGCCCTCTTAAAGCCGGTAAAGCTCCTACCTGTCTGTGGCCTGGTGTAAAATGGTTGTGGAGTGGAGTGGAATGGAGAGAGCTGGACACCATACCACTGAAAGCACTATTGAGGGATGGCGTAATGGACTTACTGGATACGGATCGGATCCTTTGTCCCACTAGAGAACTTGATGGAGTCTCAATGATATTATCAACATCCTCAACTATTGCTCCCTCAAACTGCAAATTTTACACAGCCAGATCATTCCATTTCTAAAGGCTCAATTTAGGATGGTCTGATGCTGTTTATTTATGAATTTGCAGACATAATTGATATTTCCTCTTACACATTATGTGTCCATTTTTAACAAGCACAAGCAATCGCCTGGCTCCCCCTCCTCTACCCCTAAATAATACTTTGAAAACAATGACAAATTATCAACAAAAGCACAAACCTAATCTTTAATTAGCAACTAGTGTTTACCTCTTGAACCAAATAATATGTCATTTCTGCCAAAGTCCACATATAAGGTTTTGTGGTACCGAAGGATGAAGCTCTAAAAAATGTCAAACCAGATAGATGCACCTGTTTTATATGCATTATTATTAACTATATGAGCCCTGTTTACCTTGTCTTTTGACACTGCCTCCTGAGTAAATTTGTTGAGTTTTATATATATAGGATCTCCCATGATTTGTAGTTGGATATGATTTTTATCCAACGAGTTGTGTGCTTTTTATCCCCGAGCCTTGGCGAGGGGATAAAAACACACAATGAGTTGGATAAAAGTCATATCCAACTACAAATCATGGGAGATTCTTTTTATCCCATGTTTAATACTTCACAACCAATGTTTTACACTGTTTTATATAGGACTCCACTTTATTTTACTTCATCACGCTAACGCAAAAACCATTGTGACGTCACAACTGCACTCTACTGTGGAATATGAAAAAATTATCCAATGAGTCATATCCACGGGATAAAAGGGTAAACATGGGATAAACATTATTATTAACTATATGAGCCCTGTTTACCTTGTCTTTTGACACTGCCTCCTGAGTAAATTTGTTGAGTTTCAGTGTGAGAAATTCAGTCCAGTGAACTTGCTCTTTTTCAAACCAAGTTCTCCAAGTTTGTTGCCTGCAAAAATGGGATTAAATAACTTAAAGAATAAACGCATGTAAAACAAAATTACTGAATAAGTTTAGCGAACTTTCCCAGTATTTCACCAATTACCAGGTTTAAATGGAAAGCACCTATTACTATTAATAGATTCACTTGGCGCATTGGATATGAGGAACTGCTTTTAACGAGGCCGAGTCTTATTACTTCTACCCTTGATATTTTGATAAAATTTCTTAAATGAATTTTTACTATTATACTAATTATTTTAACTAAAGATAAAAAAATCAAATGTTTACCATTCCGATTTCTTAGGGGTCCATCTCAAAAGTTGTCAAATTTTACTATTGGACCCTATGGGAATTTGTTGGAAAAGTGCCAGATTATTACATTTTCCCCATATTTTTTTAATATTTCTGCCCTAGGGATTTCCTTTTTAGTCAAATGCATGAAAGTAATTGTAAAAAATGCAACAAAACGTGAAATTGAAAAAAAAAATGACCATTTGGTTTGGTCTAGGAATTATTACAAAGTTAATTTTTTTCCAATGGCCGATACCTCTAAATTTGCCATATTACAGCATACATTTTGTTTATATCGGTGCAGATGAATTATTTTGGTAAAAAATAACCATGTTTAGATTGCTGGTATGTTTCTTTTGATGTTCTGTCAACAGTTTTTAATAAAATGTCCATGGACGTCTTGAATACTCAAGCGAGTTATGCGTCATTCTTCAGCGTCATGCATTGCTTACAGAACCAGAAAACAGTGACGTCGTGAAAGCCATTTCAGTGTTTATTCCTAATTATTGTCTTAAAAGCACATTGCAAGACCTACAAAGGTTATAGATAATATAATATAATGTTAATTTTGTATTAAAATTACAATACTTAGGATATGTGTTATGTTGCACCTACGACTGTATGAAACCAAAAAGCTGTGCAAAGACATGCGCACTCAAATTAGACTCAGCCTCGTTAAATACCGGTACTAATGTTTATATTTAAAAGATTTCCTCACAAATTTATGCTGTGTTTAGGACTATAGATTCACGAGAAACACTTTTAAAGTATATACGAGATATTTCTCTTTTATTACATCACAACCAGCCTCTCTGTTTATGTATTTACCATTATAATGAAATCAAGTATTTTTCATAATTTTTAAAAATATTTCATTAGTTTGATATTTGTGTCTTTTGGGTATATATAGCCCTGTGTTAGTGTCTTTCACAAAATAGGATAACTGTAGTATATAGACAATTTTTAATATGAAGACCAAGTTAAACCAAAAAGATTTTGATATAATAGTATACTATGATATCAAAAGAACATAACCCATTCAAGATTTCTCTGGTTTAAGCTGGTTCATTTACACAAATCTGTATTTTTTCAATGCTCATTCAACAGTTCTCCATATATCCGATGCATAATCTGTAAATTTCATTGCTCCAGTCTGAGACAATTATGACTTTTTTTGCCAAGTACTGGTATAATTTGTATTTGCTTATAGCTAGTTTTTCTTAATATTATAATATATTGAAATATTTTTGATGTTTGCAAATGCACTATAATGTAGGCCATTTGATATACTAAGTGCGCTATACCTCTTTACAGGAACAATTTATGTGAAATGAATGTAGTTCTTATACACGAACTTATGCTACTTTCTACAAATACAAGTAGGTATGCATGATAACAAAGGTTCAGAATTATGATTTTTGAGATTTTTTTTTTTAAATTCTTACTCCTCTGAGATGAAGGCGATCCAGGAAATGTCTAGTTGATCCAGTCTGTAAGCCAATCCCAGCATGCACTTGTCTATGTTGCCAGTCCGCTATGATAAAGTAACAAATCTGTTTATAATTAAGAACCAGTGACTCAGAAAGTTAAGTTAAAAATAAGTGGAAGACACCAATCATGTAATGTAATTCTACATAAGTGTACCCTGTGAAGTTCTAAGAAGATAAGAAATTCTAATTCAATGCATACCGGCTGATTTTGACAAACTGTCTCTACATCCCTCATTAGCAGGTTGTACAGGCTTTGGGCAGCCATCAATGTTATGTTGAAATATCTAAAAATGTGTTTATATATGTATAAATATTATTGTTATGTATAAATATGTCAATTTTCTCCCAATGAAGAGAGTTTAAGGGTATTATATTAGAGCTTTTATAACTTCATACACTATACATGCACACATTCATGTGTACTTCAGTGGGATGACTTTATTACAAGTTTTTCTCAGCAAAGTACATTGTAGTAAAGTTCTCGTCATTCCTAATCGATAGACTATCTTATGGAAAATGCATGAATGTTATATCTCACAAAAAAAAAAAAAAAAAATCAGTATTCTTGAGATGGTGACTATCTCAAAGGGCCCTACTTATAGTAAAAGACATTAAGATGAAAGAGACTGTAAAGGACTGTATTTGGAAAGGTGCATTTTGTACCGGTACTCAGAAAACTATTTGTCTCAGTGTAGACCATTTTACATAAAGTACTGCTCTGACCTTTACCTTGGTTTAGAATTTTAGCTCAAGGCCACTGCACACACTTAACTCAAAAGCACTCTTTGGTAATTAATGTTTTATCCAGATTAGAAAAAAGGAAGAAAAAATATGCTCACAAAAAGTATTGTCAATTTTATGCATGGGCACTCATTAGGTGAAGTAAGAGTGGGATGAAGCTAAGAGAAGAAATGCTCTGAACAAGGACTTTATATATTTTGACCTTGACCTTTGAACTTGCTTCAAGGTCACTGTACACTCCTTTCCCACATGTACTTTATGGATGAAGTATGAGCCAAGGGAAGAAAACTATGCTTCAGACAAGGATTTTGAATAGAGATATATATTGACCTTGACTATTGATCAGATACATATTGACCTTGATCATTGGTCTAGAAAATTGGTTCAAGGTCACTGCACATCCTTTACCCAGAGACACTAAATGGCTGAAGTTTGAGCCAGATTGGGACAACAGAAGAGAAAATATGCTCTGGACAAGCGATATTGGATGGACAAATGGATAGACAGACAGACTGATCACTTTCAGCGGAGTGGGGCCCATAAAAAATGCAATCATGACTATGTCTAAGAAAGATTAAGTTTTGAGAAAAATTAATGATTAAGCAAGCAATGTAATGAATCAATAGTATTAATGTTAAATAAGTTACTTCTCAAATGTTGCCTGGTAGTGACTTCTGTAATCCTGCACTTCATCCCTGATCTTAAAGATCATTTTGTTCATCTAAAAAAAATAATTATTTCCATTAAATACAGTTGTAGACAGTTCCTAATGTTCCAGGTGTCAGCTTGCCTTTTGCATCTGTATCACTATTTATATGTTATTTTTAATGGATAATTTCAATGTTTTACTGTTTAAGTAAGCTACAACCACACTAGTTATTACAAGTACAGTGTTTATACTGGAATGGGTACAATCCAAAACTGACCAGTGTTGGTGAAAGTCCTGTCCCTTTCTGATGTAAATCCTTTATTGCTACAATCTTATGCTCCTCATAGCATACTGGAAAAATGCTCTGTAAATACACAATTGAACAAAATCATGTGTGTTTTTTGTTCTGTTTTCATTTGAATTGGAAGTAAAATATACAGCATGATATTGACTTCGAAGTTTTATAACTGTCAAATGTTATGGGTATTATAAATATAATGCAAACAAAATGATGTTGATTTCAAAGTTTTATAACTACCATATGTTATATGTATTATAACAAAGAATCACCTGTACACAGTTTTTCAGGACGGCTTCAACACTCAGCACTTTCTTGTCACGAAGATACTCATAGCCTCTCCGAGTCAAAGTTACCAAATAAATTAAAGAGTCTGTCACAGAAAGATAAACAGTGAAGATATATGATAGCAATATCATAACATATCTATACTTCAAAATCATTAACAAGATTATATGGAATCAGAAAGCATAAGAAAAAAAAGGTCCCAGGACTTTGCCATAGCCATTATACAGATATACATGTAGTAAATCTACAGGTCCCCAGGACTTTGTTATAACCAATACAGATATACATGTAGTAAATCAACAGGTCCCCAGGACTTTGTTATAACCAATACAGATATACATGTAGTAAATCCACAGGTCCCTAGGACTTTGTTATAACCAATACAGATATACATGTAGTAAATCCACAGGTCCCCAGGACTTTGTTATAACCAATACAGATATACATGTAGTAAATCCACAGGTCCCTAGGACCTTGTTATAACCAATACAGATATACATGTAGTAAATCCACAGGTCCCTAGGACTTTGTTATAACCAATACAGATATACAAGTAGTAAATCCACAGGTCCCCAGGACTTTGTTATAACCAATACAGATATACAAGTAGTAAATCCACAGGTCCCTAGGACCTTGTTATAACCAATACAGATATACATGTAGTAAATCTACAGGTCCTCAGGACTTTGTTATAACCAATACAGATATACATGTAGTAAATCCACAGGTCCCTAGGACTTTGTTATAACCAATACAGATATACATGTAGTAAATCCACAGGTCCCCAGGACTTCGTTATAACCAATACAGATATACATGTAGTAAATCTACAGGTCCCTAGGACTTTGTTATAACCAATACAGATATACATGTAGTAAATCTACAGGTCCCCAGGACTTTGTTATAACCAATACAGATATACAAGTAGTAAATCCACAGGTCCCCAGGACTTTGTTATAACCAATACAGATATACATGTAGTAAATCCACAGGTCCCTAGGACCTTGTTATAACCAATACAGATATACATGTAGTAAATCCACAGGTCCCCAGGACCTTGTTATAACCAATACAGATATACATGTAGTAAATCTACAGGTCCCCAGGACTTTGTTATAACCAATACAGATATACATGTAGTAAATCTACAGGTCCCCAGGACTTTGTTATAACCAATACAGATATACATGTAGTAAATCTACAGGTCCCTAGGACTTTGTTATAACCAATACAGATATACATGTAGTAAATCCACAGGTCCCTAGGACTTTGTTAAAACCAATACAGATATACATGTAGTAAATCCACAGGTCCCCAGGACTTTGTTATAATCAATACAGATATACATGTAGTAAATCTACAGGTCCCTAGGACTTTGTTATAACCAATACAGATATACAAGTAGTAAATCCACAGGTCCCCAGGACTTTGTTATAACCAATACAGATATACATGTAGTAAATCCACAGGTCCCCAGGACCTTGTTATAACCAATACAGATATACATGTAGTAAATCAACAGGTCCCTAGGACCTTGTTATAACCAATACAGATATACATGTAGTAAATCTACAGGTCCCCAGGACTTTGTTATAACCAATACAGATATACATGTAGTAAATCCACAGGTCCCTAGGACCTTGTTATAACCAATACAGATATACATGTAGTAAATCTACAGGTCCCCAGGACTTTGTTATAACCAATACAGATATACATGTAGTAAATCCACAGGTCCCCAGGACTTTGTTATAACCAATACAGATATACATGTAGTAAATCCACAGGTCCCCAGGACTTTGTTATAACCAATACAGATATACAAGTAGTAAATCCACAGGTCCCCAGGACTTTGTTATAACCAATACAGATATACATGTAGTAAATCTACAGGTCCCTAGGACTTCGTTACAACCAATACAGATATACATGTAGTAAATCTACAGGTCCCTAGGACTTCATTATAACCAATACAGATATACATGTAGTAAATCCACAGGTCCCCAGGACTTTGTTATAACCAATACAGATATACATGTAGTAAATCTACAGGTCCCTAGGACCTCGTTACAACCAATACAGATATACATGTAGTAAATCCACAGGTCCCCAGGACTTTGTTATAACCAATACAGATATACATGTAGTAAATTCACAGGTCCCCAGGACTTTGTTATAACCAATACAGATATACATGTAGTAAATCTACAGGTCTTCAGGACTTTGTTATAACCAATACAGATATACATGTAGTAAATCCACAGGTCCCCAGGACTTTGTTATAATCAATACAGATATACATGTAGTAAATCTACAGGTCCCAAGGACTTTGCTATAGCCAATACAAATAAACAAGTAGTAAATTCACTTATTTCCTATCTAGTTTGTAACACAAGATTTGATTGGTTAGATAGCCAGGTGTAAATTTTCATACACTTAATTGGGCTTGAGCCGGGGATAAATAACATGACATCAGATGTCACAATGCATAGTTTCTTTATCACAATGAAAGAAAAAAGTGAGCAAGCTCACATACCCCACGCTCCCCCAAAACTCGACAATGCAACACGTACTGAATGGCACAGTGCATTTTAATTACACAGTATAATTCAAAAAGGGGCATTACTTGCAAAAAATCATCACATCAAAACTTCTTGCATATAAGGACAATCAAATCATTGTATGTTACAAATTTAATTGAGCTGAAGTTTCTAGATAAATAATGGAATCAAAATTTCTTGGTAATATACAAATCTATACATTATGTCTGAAATACCTACGAAGTTTCAGGAAATTCAGTGTAGGAGTTATGCTGACAAACTGTTATTTGAATTCCTCAGTGATTTCGATTTGTTAATGAGTGTAAGTCCATGTCCAACACATGACAACTTACACATTTAAATAATTGATGGAAACAAAATTATGATGTAGTCATATGAATTTGTTTATATACTGTACTTATGAAATTATTTAAGGCAAAGCACCAATCTGAGGGAGGGAGGTGGGAGGGGGGAGAACTATCCAAGATTCAAGATTTTGTGTGTGTGTGTGTGTTAAATCATTAAGATTTTGATCTCAAAATCAATAGGGGTCTTTTAAGATCATAAAATATTTCACATAAAATGTCATTACAAAGGCTGATTCCAGTGGATTTCCTTATTACCTAGCTGGAAAGTTTCTTCAATAAAAAGCAAAACTCCTAGGGCAAAAATAATGGAATCGGAATTTCCTGGTAATATGCACATCTACACATTGTGTCCTAAATATCTGCAAAGTTTGACGAAATTCTGTGCAGTGGTTTAAAAGGAGTTGCGCTGACAAACTGTTCATCTCTATATTCAAGATATGTCCAAAAATCTAAGTTGAAAAGTGCCAAATTTCCCAGAAAAAGTAAAGGAATCGGAATTTCCGGTAAATTTGCACATCTACACATCGTGTCCTAAATATCTGCAAAGTTTGATGAAATTCTGTGCAGCGGTTTAAGAGGAGTTGCGCTGACAAACTGTTCATCTCTATATTCAAGATATGTCCAAAAATCTAAGTTGAAAAGTGCCGTATTTTCCAGAAAAAATAAAGGAATCGGAATTTCCTCGTAATATGAACATCTACACATCGTGTCCTAAATATCTGCAAAGTTTGATGAAATTCTGTGCAGCGGTTTAGGAGGAGTTGCGCTGACATTCTGTTCATCTCTATATTCAAGATATGTCCAAAAATCTAAGTTGAAAAGTGCCAAATTTCCCAGAAAAAGTAAAGGAATCGGAATTTCCGGTAAATTTGCACATCTACACATCGTGTCCTAAATATCTGCAAAGTTTGACGAAATTCTGTGCAGCGGTTTAAGAGGAGTTGCGCTGACATTCTGTACATCTTTATATTCAAGATATGTCCAAAAATCTATGTTGAAAAGTGCCAAATTTCCCAGAAAAAATAAAGGAATCGGAATTTCCTCACAATATGCACATCTACACATCGTGTCCTAAATATCTGCAAAGTTTGACGAAATTCTGTGAAGCGGTTTAGGAGGAGTTGCGCTGACAAACTGTTCATCTCTATATTCAAGATATGTCCAAAAATCAAAGTTGAAAAGTGCCGAATTTCCCAGAAAAAATAAAGGAATCGGAATTTCCTGGTAATATGCACATCTACACATTGTGTCCTAAATATCTGCAAAGTTTGACGAAATTCTGTGCAGCAGTTTAGGAGGAGTTGCGTTGACAAAAAAACAGGACTGACGGACTGACTGACTGACTGACGGGTCAAAAACATTATACCCCCCGCAACTAGTTGCGTGGGGTATAAAAAGCAAATAACATGACGTCATGATGCATGTAAATGTTATCGATAGTTTGAAATACCATTTATTGGACTTGGGTTTACAAAGAATTTATTTAGTTACATAGAAAATAAATTTGTTACCCAGGTCCAATCAAGGATGTACGAGGATTTACCCAAGTTGAAATCCATAGAATAAAAATAATATAAAACCCAGGGTAAATCCCTGTACACCTTTGATTGAACTAATATTGTCCCAAGGTTTTTGCTATAACTGAATTTTTACTGTTAGTAGATAGTATGATGATTGACAAAGGTGACTATAACAAATCTGAAAAAGTTTTCCTTCAGATATTATTGATAATACCTAAGCCATCAGCAGGTCTGTTGTTAGGGAACAAACTCTTCATCTTACAGAGATTGGAGTAACACAGCTTCTCTATAGCTTCTAAACTCTTCTCCAGTATATCATACTACAAAAGACACGATAATTAGAATCTACAAACAATATAATATAAATAGTATATATCTAATCAACAACAGCAATAATTCCTACATGGAATGATCAAAATGTCCTGAGCTATATTTGTTATAAAGTTGATATTTGGTGCATTCTGATTACCAGCAAGCTACTTGAGCAAAACAACTGCCTTAATGGTTTCAGAACTTTGAGTCTTAACTTTGATACATTGATTCCTTGGGATATTTTGAGACTTAATCTAACTTTTGTTTGTTGGGGTTTAATTGTACCAAATCATTTACATGTAACTCACCTCTTCCTTTAACTTGAAGTTTGTGAAATTTTATCATAAATAATGTAAATGCAAATAAAAATCAAACAACCTACAAACATGGTTAAAAATGAACATTTGAAATATGGGAGCAATTCAGCAATGGCTGAAATGTCTCTGCCCTTTCTGACATACTCCAAGACACAAAGCTTCTCGAATAGCCATTGCTCTGAGACACTGCAAATGACTATTCACCTAATGGACACTTGCAACAAACAAACATAGGTAATAATAGATTACAGAGCTCATCTCAATGAATGTTGTCTTTAAGTAAGGCAAAGTCCCGCACTAAACTAATAATTTAGTAGTGTGCATCCCTAGATGCATTATTTATGCAATTTTGATTCGACAGGGCTTGCAATTACTTGGGAATGGACTTATCTTACTAAAAACTTTAAACTAGTCACTCATCCAGAAAATGTAAGTCAAATCCAGCATCTAAAGCAAGTTTGAGAGTATTCATCCTTTGATGCATCATCCATGCAAGTCTGGTTCAGATAGGCCTTATAATTTCTTGGTAATGGACCTGCTCTCAAAAATTTAAGTCAGATCCAGCATCTGAAGCAAATTTAAGTCAGATCCAGCATCTGAAGCAAATTTAAGTCAGATCCAGCATCTGAAGCAAGCCTGGTAGTGTGCATCCTTAGATGTATCATCCAAGCAAGTTTGGTCAATATAGGGCATATAGTTACTTGGAAATGAGACCTGCTTCAAAAACTTTAACCTGCTCAAAAAACATTAATCTGGTGATTCTATAGCTGAAATTGCAGCACCTGAAACCTTGACTGGTACAATGAAACACACTAGAAGCATCTTCCATGCATCTCTGATCGATTTAGGGCATAGAAGTACTTGAAAAGAAATCTGCTCCAAAATCTTTAACCTGGGACACTGAAGCCGAGGGTATTACATAAGCTCCCCCAACTTTGTTGAGGTGAGCTAAAAAATGGATGCATGGAAAGGTAAATATTTCTGGACTTTTATTTTTGGTTGTAAATGATGCATATATTATATTCCTAAAGTATAAAAAAAATTATTTTCCTAAAGTGTGAAAAAAATTGTAAATTTTCTATGATATTCAGAATTCTCACTTTTCCTAATAAATCCATACAATTTTTCAATCACTTAATTTATAGAACATTCATGAGAATTCTTGAGAAAAAAATAATTTTTTGTGGCTTAAGTTATTCATTTTACTTAAATAAACATAGTTTTAGTGTCAATTTTCATGATTTGTGAAAAAACTAATTACTCTCCAAGTCTACAACTGACATACAGCTTACAAATAAGTGAACATGACGGAAAAATTCATACTGCAAAATGCATTTAACACTACATTATAAATCCCTGTTTCCTTCAATCTTGTTATGAATACAGTAAGATTCAAGCACACTTTACCTCGGTTTTTAGTAGTACATTACTGGCCCCAGATGTTGGCAGCATGTCCAGAACTGAGGACAGTGTAGTACAAGCATGCTGAATAAACCAAGCCGATGGCACAAAGTGACCAGTCAGGTATTGTAGATAAACCAACTTTCTGTAAATATCTCTCTACAAATCACAAAGCAATCAAGGTAAAGTCTCTTTTGTGGGGATTCAGAATAATAGTTCCGTCTGTAGTAAGCTAAATTAAGTTGCTTAGAGCATTAAATACATACATGTATGCTTAAAATTACATTTACCAGATTTTGAACATTTATTCAATAAATCTTTATTTTTGAGATTTTTAAAAACTTCTTACAATGCCATATCTGAGTCCAAATTCTCTCAGTAATCTAACAGATGCAGATGACAGAAGACATGAAAGTCCAGGGGCAAGTAACTCTCCTTCTACTCTATATGGAGACTCATATCTGAGACAAAAATATTCTGATACAGGTTTTTATAATTCTTAATATTTCTTGGAATGAAAATCAGCTAATGCTCAATAATGTTAAATGCAGAGTTATTTTTTTTTTATCTCTTCTTAAAAAATGCTAATATTAATGTGAAAATTCTTGAATAAGAAATCAACATAATTATTTCATTACCTGAGAAGTTTAGACAAGAGTGTCTTGTAATCTTCCAGGATTCCCCTGTGGTTCTGTTTATAGTTATTAGCTAATGGTGGATAGGCAGTGTGCCAAAATTTCTTCAACAACTCAGCAATGTGTGAAAATTCCTTCCTCTGCCAAGATTCATATCCATAGGGTGACTGAAACACAGAATAAAGATCTGAACCAGTAGTCCCTGATCGCACTGCAACTGTACATTGAACTAATAATAGCCTATACCAGTAGTCCCTGATCACTCTGTAACTCTACATTGAACTAATAATAGCCTATACCAGTAGTCCCTGATCTCACTGACACTCTACATTGAACTAATAATAGTCTATACCAGTAGTCCCTGATCGCACTGTAACTCTATAATTTATTGAACTAATAATAGCCTATACCAGTAGTCCCTGATCGCACTGTAACTCTACATTGAACTAATAATAGTCTATACCAGTAGTCCCTGATCCCAATGTAACTCTATATTGAACTAATAATAGCCTATACCAGAAGTCCCTGATTGCACTGTAACTCTATATTGAACTAATAATAGTCTATACCAGTAGTACCCGATCACACTGTAACTCTACATTGAACTAATAATAGTCTATACCAGTAGTCCCTGATCCCAATGTAACTCTATATTGAACTAATAATAGCCTATACCAGTAGTCCCTGATCCCAATGTAACTCTATATTGAACTAATAATAGTCTATACCAGTAGTCCCTGATTGCACTGTAACTCTATATTGAACTAATAATAGTCTATATCAGTAGTACCCGATCACACTGTAACTCTACATTGAACTAATAATAGTCTATACCATTAGTCCCTGATCCCAGTGTAACTCTATATTGAACTAATAATAGCCTATACCAGTAGTCCCTGATTGCACTGTAACTCTACAGTGAACTAATAATAGTCTATACCAGTAGTCCCTGATTGCACTGTAACTCTATATTGAACTAATAATAGTCTATACCAGTAGTCCCTGATTGCACTGTTACTCTACATTGAACTAATAATAGCCTATACCAGTAGTCCCTGACTACACTGTTACTCTACATTGAACTAATAATAGTCTATACCAGTAGTCCCTGATCTCAATGACACTCTACATTGAACTAATAATAGTCTATACCAGTAGTCCCTGATCGCACTGTAACTCTATATTGAACTAATAATAGCCTATACCAGCAGTCCCTGATTGCACTGTTACTCTACATTGAACTAATAATAGTCTATACCAGTAGTCCCTGATCACACTGTAACTCTACATTGAACTAATAATAGTCAATACCAGTAGTCCCTGATTGCACTGTTACTCTACATTGAACTAATTATAGTCTATACCAGTAGTCCCTGATCACACTGTAACTCTACATTGAATTTATAACAGCTCTACATGAAACATATTACAAAGACTTGAAGACTTGTTTTTTTAGCTTTACATTTATAGAAGTACAGTTGATTACGGTTTTTAAATTTCATTCCACATTAAAAGTATTTTGAAAAAATCTAACAGATTACTAATAATTTTAAATTACAGAGTATGATGAACTCTTTCTGTGTACCAAGTTTTATTTTAATCATGTTAAAACTATTTTAATCATGTTAAAACTGTACGAAGAGAAGCACTTTAAACTAATTTATCTAAACAAAGTATTCCATTTTTAAATAAACATGTAAATCATCATCCACTATGAACTAATTTTAACCAACATTATAAATCTAAATCATAAAGGAGTTCACTTTGAAAGAAATCAAAAGAAATTTGGCAGATTCTAAAAAAAAAAAACACACACAAAACAACAACAACAACAACGAAACAAGAGGCCCAGGGGCCATATCGCTCACCTGAGCACTATGGCTAGGAAAAAGCAGAAATCCGTTCAGTCTTGAAAGGTTGAAAAGTTTAAATATAAAAGTGGTTGGGGGGGGGGGGGGGGGTCATAAAATGAACAAATTTGAATCTACATTATCTGAGGATGCTTCCATTTAAATATGACCAATCATGGCTTTGCTGTTCTTGAGTAGAAGATTTTTAAATATTTAACCTATGTATTCCTATGTAAAACTTTGATCACCCATTGTGTCCCCACCCGACCCCCAGGGGTTATGTTTGAAAAAATTTGAATGTACACTATCTAGGAATGCTTCCTTGTAAATATGACCAATCATGGCTTTGCTGTTCTTCAGAAGTAGTTTTTTTTAAAGATTTTTACTATGTGTTCCTACGTAAAACTTTGATCGCCCATTGTGGCCCCACCCGAACCCAGGGGGTCATGAATTGAACAAATTTGAATCTACACTACCTGAGGATGCTACCATATAAATATGACCAATCACGGCCTTGCTGTTCTTGAGAAGAAGATTTTTAAAGATTTTTCCTATATATTCCTATGTAAAACTTGGATCGCCCATTGTGGCCCCACCCGATCCCCGGGGGGTCATGATTTGAACAAACTTGAATCTACACTACCTGAGGATACCGGTACTTCCATGTAAATATAACCAATCATGGCTTTGCTGTTCTTGAGAAGAAGATTTTTAAAGATTTTTCCTATATATTCCTATGTAAAACTTGGATCGCCCATTGTGGCCCCACCCAACCCTCGGGGGTCATGATTTGAACAAACTTGAATCTACACTACCTGAGGAAACTTCCATGTAAATATGACCAATCATGGCTTTGCTGTTCTTGAGAAGAAGATTTTTAAAGATTTTTCCTATATATTCCTATGTAAAACTTGGATCGCCCATTGTGGTCCCACCCGACCCCAAGGGGTCATGATTTGAACAAACTTGAATCTACACTACCTGAGGAAACTTCCATGTAAATATGACCAATCATGGCTTTGCTGTTCTTGAGAAGAAGATTTTTTAAAGATTTTTCCTATATATTCCTATGTAAAACTTGGATCGTCCATTGTGGCCCCACCCGACCCCCAGGGGTCATGATTTGAACAAACTTGAATCTACACTATCTGAGGATGCTACCACATAAATATGACCAATCATGGCTTTGCTGTTCTTGAGAAGAAGATTTTTAAAGATTTTTCCTATATATTCCTATGTAAAACTTGGATCGTCCATTGTGGCCCCACCCGACCCCCAGGGGTCATGATTTGAACAAATTTGAATCTACACTACCTGAGGATGCTTCCACATAAGTTTCATATTTTCAAGCACAGTGGTTCTTGAGAAGAAGATTTTTTAATGATGCCATTAATTTTTCACAAATTCTTAATTATCTCCCCTTGGAAGAAGGCCTGGCCCCTTTATTTGAACAAACTTGAATCCCCTTTACCCAAGGATACTTTGTGGCAAGTTTGGTTGAAATTAGCCCAGTGGTTCTGGAGAAGAAGTCGAAAATGTGAAAAGTTTACAGACGGACAGACAGACAGACGGACTACAGACAAAATGTGATCAGAAAAGCTCACTTGAGCCTTCGGCTCAGGTGAGCTAAAAAAACAAAATAATAAAGAATCCTTCAACAAACACACAGAAGACTGGAATGGACAGATGATCAGACAAGACAGACACTTAAATGTTTAAACTCTTCGGAATAAAATCTTCCATTGTTAACTATTTCCTTGTTACAATGTACATACTTCACTACAGAGTTATTCTCTATATTTTTAATTCAATATTATTGAACCAGGATCAAATGAGAAACTGTATGTTGTCATTACCATAAATGCTTCTGGATTATAGTACGGATTCAGACCATTTTCCAGCAGAGCTAACTGTCCCACAAGTTCCTCAGCTAAGATCTAAAATCAAGATCAAATAATCACATATAGACTATATAATACAGGTACTAGCAAACAGCATTTTAGATAGGGCAATCAAATGCATTATACAGATTTTTAAAAATCCATCCATATACCTGCCTTTTGCATGTTGCAAAATAAATGTTCTTTCAGTTCAGTAACATATAAGCTCACCTCAACAAATATTATCTTTATTACACAAGGCAAAGTCTCAATATTTTAATCCATGGCAAACATGCATTCCTAGATGCAACATCTATACAGGTTTAGTCTGGGTAGGATTTATAGTTACTTGAAAATAGGGCTGCTCCAAAAACTTTAACAGTACAAGCACCATTTAAATGTTAATGATTTCCTGCTTCCACATCATATTTGGTAGAGTGCACCACTACATGCATCATCAATGTAAGTCACCAAAGGGCTTATAGTTATTTAGGAATGGACCAGCTCTAAAAAATTTAACCTTTTCAATCACTTGAAAATGTAGACCAAATCTAGCCTCCAGAGCAAGTCTATAGAGTCCGTCCCTGGATGCATCACCCATGCAAGTTCAGTCATCATAGGGCTTATAGTTACTTGAGAGTGAACCTGCTTTAATAAATGTATGTCAGATCCAGCACCTGAAGTATGGTAGGTGCATCCCTAGATGCATCACCCATGCAAGTTCATTCTAGGTAGGGTGTGGACCTATTCACTCATCAAGAAAATGTAGGTCAGACCCAGCATCCAAAGCAGATCTGATAGTGTACATTCCTAGATGCATCATCCATGCTAGTTTAGTCCAGGTATTGCTTAAAGTTACTTGGGAATGAATCACATTCAAAAACTTTAATCTGGTCACTCATCCAGAAAATCAAGGTCAGATCAACCATCTGAAGCCAATCTGGTAGTGTACATCCCAAGATATAAAATCTATGCGAGTTTGGTCACTAATGGCTTAATGTTACTTGGGGATGAACCTGCTCGAAAACTTAAACCTGTTCACTAATCTTGAAAATGTAGGTCAGATCCAGCATCTGAAGCCAGCCTTGTAGTGTGCATCCTTAGATGTATCATCTATCCAAGTCTACTTCAGGTAGGGCTTACATTTACTTAGGAATGAACCTGCTCCTTACTTTAACCTTGTCACTCATCCAGAATATCTAGGTCAGATCCAGCATCCAAAGCCAGTCTGGCAGTGTGCATCCTTAGATGCACGGTCCATGCAAGTTTAGTCAACATAGGCTTTTAGTTACCTGGGAATGAAACCTGCTCCGAAAACTTTAATGGTCCAAAAACTTTAACCTGGTCCCTCAACTGAAAAAGGCAGGTCAGATCAAGCAACTGAAGTAAGTTTGGAAGTGTACATCTGACAATGATCTATGCAGGTTTGGTCCAGGTGGGGCATATAGTTACTTGGGAATGAGACTTGCTCCAAAAATTTTAACCTGCTCAAAACACATTAACCTGATCATTCTTATGGAAAACATTGGCTGAAAATGCAGCATCAGAAACCTGACTGGTACAATGAAACCAACTAGATTCATCATCCATGCATCTGTGATCAAAATAGGGCATACAGTTACTTTTAAAGAAAACTTCTCCAAAAACTTCAACCCGGGATGCCAACACTTTCCATAAGGGTAAAGCAAAAGCCCCCTCTCTTCCCCCTCCCCCTGACTTTGTGCAGGTGAGCTAAAAAGTAGTGAGACCAACTAATTTCGGCATATCTATGGTACTGAGCATTGAGAAGTCAATGTTTCAAGATACTGAAGTTCAACTGTATATATAGGTTCAGATGTTACTTTGTAACAATGAATATGAGAAATCAAATTGTTTATTGCTACAAACCAGAGGAAAATATGAAACCAGAGTTAATTTGACCTTTTTTTTATCTTGTGAATTTAAAATATGATTTTCTGTAAATAAATTATTCCATGCTCAATTTATTGGTCAATTCTCTTTGAAATATTCTTACTTCAAATTTATTCTCAAAATCCTTTCTGTGGATGGATTTGGGAGAAATGATTAAGCAATCAGCAATTTTGGTGACACAAGTGATTTAATCTCCCTACCCTACTTGGCTCTTTCTTCTGGTGCTGTCTATAAATCTGGTGCTCATACTGGTGGAATTTATCCTGGCTCAAATGAAAAGTTCTTCTTAGGAGCTCAAACAGTGTGTCTGCAGGAACGACTGACATATCCTCCTCTAGACCACTGTCATCTGGGGTTGGAGGTCGTGCAATAGTCAGCTGACCTGTATACTGAAACCTACTAAGTACATAATATAACCTTAACCTCAAAATATACCCAAGATTCACACTAAATATTGCCATTCATTCAATTTTATATAATTGACGCATATTTTTAAATTTGTGATTCAGAAAACTAAAATTTTTTTTAAATGATACAAATACATTTAAGACTGTTTATTGTGACAAATATGCAATCAGTGTCACTGTGATCCACTTTACTAGTCCCCATGTCTTTACATTGTGTAATCTAATTGTGTCTATTCCGACACAAAATTTGAGTCCAAGTGCATGTTGGATTAGACAGGGTGACTGTAATTTATAATTTTAACATAATAAACCCTGTTAACATACATCCATGCACATTATTAGTGTATGTTTGAGTAAAATTCAAAATTTCAATATTTTGAAGGATCAAACTGTAAAAATTTTAAACTGCAGAAATTATCCTTTATACATTTTGCAAAAATGAATTGGTATGTACCGTTGTACAAAGAAAATCATCAATAACTGTAAAATCCCTTTATTTATGCCAGACATGCCGTCTTCATTTTCATAAAGTCTTGGCAAATAAAATTCTTTTAACAAAATCCGGAGCACAAGATTGAGCGCCTTCAGAGACTATAAGCATATTGTAAAATCATGCAGAATTTTAGTGAATACATTAACTAAAGCCTGTCAACCCCCAAATAATTAGAATTTTCCATATTTTCTTGGTTAAGATACTCAGCTAACTAAGGCAGAACAAAGTTATGCTTTGAGTAAATGTTAACCATAGTAAAGTTTCATCCTTACTTTTTGCTGCTTTGGGAGGCTACAGGGGGAGGGGATAAAGGTGAGGGGGGTTCCGGGGCACACAAAACAGGATAGGATGCACATAGGTATGCCCTCATAAATACTCTCTCTTCCTGCAAAATAAAATGCATAGCTCCAACAATTAGCAGTCGATTTAAAGGTCATCGAAAATTTACTTCTAAATAACTTATGCACATGAATAAAATTTACATCTTCACCCTCTTTACAAATATCATGGTGGGAATGTCATGCATTCATTCCTAATATCATTACTGTAAATAATATCTCTTCCAGAGCTTCAAATACAATGTGCCATATACCATATTAAAAAAACAACAAAGACATAAAGAATTTATTATTTGTCATAATCAACTTGGGTTCTTACTATAACTTAAAGTCTTCAAGTAGCATAAAATGATAAAATCTTTATCAAATATGGATATACAGGTAATCAATGTTGGCTGTCCTGGGATATTTTATATAAACCAGGTTTTTGTCTGTATCTACTTTCTTTGAACACTTATAACATTTGCTATGTAACAACTTGCCTGTGCATTGAGTTCCTTAATGGTCTCAGTTACATCTACTGGAGACCGAATCATAGCACCTAAAGGAAACACAAAACATTGAATCAATAGCACCTTAAGTAGACAGAAAACATTGAATTATAGCAGCTAAAGCAAACAGAATACATTGTATCATGACACCTAAAGTAGACAGAATACATTTAATCATAACACCTAAAGTAGACAGAATACATTGAATCATTAGCACCTTAAGTAGACAGAAAACATTGAATCATGACACCTAAAGTAGACAGAATACATTGAATCATAACACCTAAAGTAGACAGAATACATTGAATCATTAGCACCTTAAGTAGACAGAAAACATTGAATCATGACACCTAAAGTAGACAGAATACATTGAATCATAACACCTAAAGTAGACAGAATACATTGAATCATTAGCACCTTAAGTAGACAGAAAACATTGAATCATGACACCTAAAGTAGACAGAATACATTGAATCATTAGCACCTTAAGTAGACAGAAAACATTGAATCATGACACCTAAAGTAGACAGAATACATTGAATCATTAGCACCTTAAGTAGACAGAAAACATTGAATCATAAGACCTAAAGTAAACAGAATACATTGAATCATAACACCTAAAATAGACAGAATACATTGAATCATAACACCTAAAATAGACAGAAAACATTGAATCATAGCACCTAAAGTAGACAGAATACATTGAATCATGACACCTAAAGTAGACAGAATACATTGCATCATGACACCTAAAGTAGACAGAAAACATTGAATCATAGCACCTAAAGTAGACAGAATACATTGAATCATGACACCTAAAGTAGACAGAAAACATTGAATCATAGCACCTAAAGTAGACAGAAAACATTGAATCATGACACCTAAAGTAGACAGAATACATTGAATCATGACACCTAAAGTAAACAGAATACATTGAATCATGACACCTAAAGTAGACAGAATACATTGAATCATGACACCTAAAGTAGACAGAATACATTGAATCATGACACCTAAAGTAGACAGAATACATTGAATCATAACACCTAAAGTAAACAGAATACATTGAATCACGACACCTAAAGTAGACAGAAAACATTGAATCATGACACCTAAAGTTGACAGAATACATTGAATCATAGCACCCAAAGTAGACAAAACACACTGAATTATAGCACCTAAAGTAGACAGAAAACATTGAATCATTAGCTCCTTAAGTAGACCAAAAATATTAAATCATAAGACCTAAAGTAGACAGAAAACATTGAATCATAGCACCTAAAGTAAACAGAAAACATTGAATCAATAGCAACTTAAGTAGACAGAAAACATTGAATCATAGCACCTAAAGTAAACAGAAAACATTGAATCATAGCACCTACAGTAAACAGAAAACATTGAATCACAGCACCTAAAGCAGACAGAAAACATTGAATCATGACACCTAAAGTAAACAGAATACATTGAATCATAACACCTAAAGTAAATGGAAAACATTGAATCATAGCACCTAAAGTAAATGGAAAACACTGAATCATAGCACCTAATTTGAATCATAGCACCTACAGTAAACAGGAAACATTGAACATTAAAAGTATTTCTTTTTTTATTGTCCAAAAAAAAAAAGTTTTTGTAGAATGTATATTTCCTATGTAATGCAAATTGCTCAAAACAAGCCTTAGTGAATATGATAAAGGTTGTTCTTTGGATTTCTTGCAGAACAGATTCATTATGGTAATTTTAACTTCCAGAATGGTGTATCTGTTTTAAAATTGGGAATACTATACTGCAAATTATTTAGCAGGGTACTAATTTAGCTTATCTAAGTGACCAAATTGTGATAATTGTGCCCATGATATAAATTCTCTGCAGCTTGTGGTGAATTAATTTGGATTTCCAGAATTCTAAATTCTTCATTTGTTCATTGTATGCAGATTATTCTTATACTTAAATTGAAGCAATTTTACTCCAGTGAAAATTATTTATTTCTATTTAACAGTATTTTGCAATCTTAGCTTTTGCTATTCAGACTGAACCTTAGAATAAATACTACAAAAAATTGAATAAAAAGTACCCCCCCCCCCCCAACACACAGCAACCTTAAGATTAAAACACTGACCTTCCTCAATCCCAGAATCCCTCCCATCATTCCTCACCTGCAAAATTCCAATATTTTACCTGATAATAATGACAATTTTACTTCTTGCATATAATCACTACCAATATAACCTGCATTGCTGATTGAAGAATGTGTATAATATTGATCAGCATAGATTTAAAATTAAAGTATGACTTAATTTCTTTCCTTCAATAGATATATAAAATGTACACTGAAATGTGACTTCAAATGTAACAAAGACTACTTACAAGTCTGACATTACTGAAGGAGGTTTTACACCCTGACAACGCTAGGCAACATTTTCTTGGCCTGTTTATAGTTAACAAGACTCTCATTAGACAGATACATTGTATGCAACAACTAAAAAAATGTACAGTGCACTTCAATAAAGATATTACAGAACCACTAGTGACAAAAAACTATTTTTTTTATTAAAATACAAAGCACTAAGTTCAATTTAAACACCTAAAACTTACTCCAGACTTCCAAAGTACTGATGGATTTGTTGTACCAAGTGGCTTTTCCTGAAAAATTTAATAGTTTATTATGTAATCTATTTATAGTCACTATATAGTCTATACAAATGCAAACAGTTCATATATCTCAATATTCACTGGATTTTAGGCCATATTCACTGGAAGGTCAGTGATAGCAGCAGAACCTTAAATTTCATTATAAACAGTGCCTGGGGTGGTTAGGGCCAACTATGCAGGAAAGTTTTGGGAGCCTATTTGAGTATTTTTTTAAATATACTTATTGAAAATGATGATTTACACACCAACTTTGGTATTTTTCTTGTGAAGTCAACAACTGTGTGCCAAGTTATACTGAAATCAGACCAAAACTGTAAAAGGAGTAGCATTTTGAAAGTATTTCACAGAAATTTCTATTTTTAGTAACCATGGCAACAACATTCATGGAAATCAAAAACTGATAAACAGAATTATGTATCTTAGTATAGTCTACTTCTGTGCCAAGTTATTTTGAAATCAGACCAAAACCGTAAGAGGAGTAGCGATTTGAAAGCATTTCACAGAAATTTCTATCATTAGACCATGGCAACAGCATTCATCAAAATCAAAAACTGATACATAGAATTACATATCTTAGTGTAGTCTACTTATGTGCCAAGTTATATTGAAATCAGACCAAAACTGTAGGAGGAGTAGCATTTTGAAAAATTGTTTACAGACAGACGGACGACTGACACCTTACTATCGCATAAGCTCTTCTGGTCTCTGACAAGTAGAGCTAAAAAATGTAGTCCTTTAATTTGATCAGTCAATCCATTGATATATTGATTTCCCAGAGAAGCATACCGACTTTGCACTTTGTGCTCAGTACTCCTCTTTCTGTTCTCCAACTTTGTAGCAGATATGACATCTGTATATGTAACCTGGACTGGGTTGCTCAAAACCTTGGTTAGCGCTAACCACTGGTTAAATCTCTTATCCAGCGGTTAACCTTTAACCATTGGCTAAATTCTGTTGCTCAAAATTTATCCACTGGTTAACTTTGCTATCCAATGGTTAAATATTGGCCAAAGTTAGCCATTCCACAGAGGTGGGTTAAGTCTCTTAACCAGTGGATAATCATGGTTACCTTGTTTTTTGTAAATTTTGGAGGATAACAAAAGAAACAAAGTCTTGTATACATTGTAATCATGAATTTAATGTTGAGGAGTACTAACAAAGACACATTCATTTTTAAATCAAGCAGAAATGGCTTTGCAGCGATATGGAAGAGGGGATAACAACACTGTCATAGATATGATAGGATTTCATGTCTTCAGCATCAGCAAGAATGTTTTGAATGGGTTCTTTCAAGCCAAAATTGTTGGCGTTGCAAAAGATTTCATCAAGTGGCCCTTCCCTACACCTGCTGATAAAAAAAAAATGATGATATTCAATATATGTATGAATAAAATTGTTTGTCATTTGTATATAGGCTTAATATATAGCAGATACAAATAAATTGATATACATGTATTAGTTTGGTAACCAAACATAAATTATTAAAATACATTAAAATGAATTGGGAATCGACCCCCCCCCCCCCCCCCCTTCTCTTCAATTCTCTTGCTTTTAACTTAATTAATCACTTTTTACAATATTAATTATTCGCCTGACAATGATTTTTTATTGGCCCCATTTTGTTAAGCGATGCTTCTTGCCAGATGCATTAAATAAAGAGTATATCCCCATTTCCTTTTATTTTACATTCATTTTGACTAGGTCCCACTGTGATTATAAATAAATAAAAATAATCATAGAAAATGATTTGCACATTTGATATTTATAGATATCTATACATAGTCCTTTATTTTCTCTAAATATTGATACTTACTAAAAGGTGTGATATTTATGTAATAAACTTTGGATAGTGAATTAATGCATTTTAGTTACACAGTGTATGGGTACGGAGCGAAATGCCTTAGTGATGAACTCACTTTATCTATCTATTCAACCAAGACTTTTCTGTTATTTACAGAAGTGCAAATAGTAGTGACTACCAACTATCGGTGTTACAAAGACAGATATAAATGTGAAGAAAGTTTTTTTCTTTGTAAGTGTTTGACTTAAAACGTTGAAATGAGTTCCTTCTGGCAAGGCATTCAAAGCGAGAATGTAACCAGTGCGAATTTCCTCGGAAACATAGCAGACGACGTTTACATGGTGATAACAGGTAAAGGTGTTCAATAAGTTATTATTTGAGTATGAAACGATGCAAATTGATGTACTTACCTTGTCAGTATAGCCAAGTATTGAATATGAATAATTCCGAAGAGATATATGGCGAGTCACTTTGCATTATCTTTTGACACTAGATTTAATGAGGGCTATGATGCCCATCATCAGTCTTTACACAGCACAACTATCCACCATGGGCGTGGTGCTAGTTTTCCTATTAATACCGCCCTATGTTCTTATTGATCCTCCACTTGAATATACAGCATTTTTAGCCAAACCTGTGCTTTCGTGACTTTTCGTGACTTAAACCGTTCAAGTTGTTTATTGTTGCTAACTGGTACATCTATGGGTGTTTCTCCGCTTCTTCAATACAGTTGTAACATTATAACTTCTCACTTTTTACCCGTATTGTATATTACCATGGTAGCCATTTTTTTCTTTTTTGGTTGACAAGTGGACAAATGTAATGCATTGTGGGATACTAACCACTGGTTAAATCATTTAACCAGTGGTTAGCTAACCAGAGGCTAATTTTATTTTGAGCAACAAATATTTGACCAGTGGTTAGTTGACCAGTGGATATAGAATTTAACCACCGGCTAACTTAACCAGTAGTCAAAATTAACCAATGTTTTGAGCAACCCAGTCCTGAAGTCTCTGATGAGACTGAAGCTTTACTGGTGTGTACTTGATGTATCTTAGCATCTAGTGTACTTGTGTACCAAGTCTTATTAATTTATTTTTGTTACTTATTAAATTTTTCATGATGTCACAATGATACTAATGCTATTTGGTGCATCATAAATGTGAACTTAGGCCTTCCTTAACATAGCTGAGGAGTGAAATATTTGCAAAGTAAGTAAAAACACAAAATTTAGCTTCTTTATATTGTAGTCCCACCATTACCTGACAAGGGTAGTTGCAGGGTCATTAGTCTGAGCTCCATCAATGGTGTTCAAATCACTTTTCATCCAAAGAATCTCCTCTCCCTCCTGCACATGTCGCAGAATCACTTTGGGTTTAAGGACAAACATTTTCCCACCACATTTCCCTGGCTAGATTTAGTCTGCATCGACTACAATTAAGTCAGTTATCAGTTAGCATTAAATAAGATATCAGATGGTCTAGCTGATAAACATTTAAACTCATCACTATCATTTGTTTCATATGCATGTGAATTCAGTAATATGTACTTTGAACAAGAGTGCTCCTAACTAGGTTACACAGGGGCATAATTAAACATGGTACATTTCAAATCACTGCATGAATCCAAAATTGTAAGATATCATTAAGTTTGCAGTGCTGTATATGTGATAATAATTCTAGCCTTTTTTTAAGCCACATAGAGAGGTGTAAAATGTAGGTCATGTGCAGCATCCATTGCATACATCAGACAAAAATATTCAACAAGAGGTCCATGGGCCACTATGCTCACCTAAGTAACAATGGCCCTTCTGTTCCTCATCAGCAATTTTTTCCCCCTAGAATATATTCCTATGTAAAATTAAGATAATATCTTGTGGCCCCACCCTTCCCCCAGATGTCATGATTTGAAAAAACTTGAATCTAAGAATGAAATGTATGGAGATACTTCAATATATGGCTAAGCTGTTCCCTAAAAGAAGATTTTTTCCTATATATTCCTATTTAAAATTTGATCGCTCATCATGGCCCGACCCTACCTCCAGTGGTCATGATTTGAACAAACTTGAATCTTGTTACTTGAGGATGCTTCCATACAAATATGACTAATCATGACTTTGCTGTTCTTGAGAAGAAAAAATTTAAAGATTTTTCCTAATGTATTCCTATATATGAATACATGAATACACTACCTGAGGATGCTTCCATACAAATATGATTAATCATGACTTTGCCATTTGTGATTAGAATTTTCAAGACTTTCCTATGTAAAACTTCGATGCCCACAGTGGCCCCACCCTACCCCTGGGGGTCATGATTTTTGGCAAGTTTGGTTGAAATTGGCCCAATGGTTCTTGAGAAGAGGTCGAAAATGTAAAAAGTTTACAGACAGACAGATGGACAGACAGACAGATGGACGCTGGACAAAATGTGATCAGAAAAGCTCACTTGAGCCTTCGGCCAGTATAGTCATTTTTAATATGAGGGTCGTCCGTTAAAATTGTGGACAAGTTGTCTAGAATGAAAAATAATCATCATCGCATTCTAAAATTTGTACTACTCTTTAGTACATTTTTCATCAATATACATAGCAAATTTCAAATAGATATGTGCATAAATAAACAAATTATGAGATTTTATGTTACGTGTGGTATTACCTTATGGCGCACGGATGATAACGTCAAAGTGTCTAAAAGTTGGATAAGCCCCACTTAAATTTGGGAATTTCATTGATGCACATACTTAAGTTTCCCTTAATTCCTCCATAAACAGTTGAGGAACCAATCTCGCACACACATGGGACCTTCTTAAGATTTATTAGTAAGTTATGGACAATACTCTCACTATCATTTAACTAAATAGGCTTTTTAATATGGACGGTTTACAGTGACAGCGTCTTTCACCAGTAGCTGTTTGCCCATATGTTTTATTCTACCCATGCAGGGGCTCGAATAAAAAAGATTTTGCTTAGAAAACTCCCATTTTACTTGGATACTAAAGATCTATTGATATTCATATATTTTTTTTCTTTTGTATTCATTTAAAGACTCTTAGGGCATCATTACTACATATAAATCAAACTCAAATGCTCTCCGGTGAGCCATAACGTCATCAAACGTTGCCATTTTTTCACGGGTTGTGTTTACCACTTTCCCATTTCAAATGCTCGGGAAACTGCCAAAAATTAAGCAAATGCCTTGAAATTTTCCAAAAGACGACATAATAGATAGAAGATTAAAAACTGAATGATTTTTACCCCAATCTTATCTATTTAATACTTTATTTCAAAATAATACTCGTGTATTCTCTAATGAACCCGTTGTTTTATCGTGTGCTGTAGGACCAAACCCTGTGCACATTCAAGCATAATAAAATCTTTATTTTTGTCTAATATATTTTATCAAAACAATTAAGATGCACTTAAATATGATAAATGAACATTTGCTGAAAATTTCAGCTTACTGCACCCATTATTTTTCGATAAAAACGCTCTGTCCACAATTTTACCAGACAACCTTTGTACATGTACTGTGTGCACATTTGCATTTGGTCATTAAAACATAGTACATGTACATGCATCTAAAAGAAACTTTTAATATGGGGAAAAGAGAATACGAGTATTGGAACTATTGCACACTGATCCATTAGAATTATTTCTGAAGTAAACTCGTACCCACAATCCTCCATAAATTGTACATGGGTGCCCATACAACATTCTCATTGTAACCAAACAAAAGTTCACAATTACAGGACAGAGCACTCGTTCACTCATCCTGGACAAGTGAAAATTGACAGAGGACAAATGGATGTTATAACCTGCTTGTCCCTGGTGACAAGTAAAATTTTTGGCATCTGTTTAAATTGGGGGATAATGTCAAGAAAATTTAACAAAGTGCTTCCAGATTTGACATGAGGCTTAATTAGACTCTGAATGAATAAATATCATATGTACATCATATACTGTGATACACAGTTTGTGTCTTTGTGAAAATTAAGAAATCTAAAACAAGATTTTTTTTAATTACTTGATGAAAAGCAAGCTTTGTAAGGATGAGTCGAATCATCACAGGGATAGACATTAACTTTCAGATTCACTTGCCCTTCAGGCAAGTGATCTCAAACTTTGACTTGTCCGAATGCAAAACTTGGTTGCCCAAAATTAGGAAAGAACTTAAGAAGAAAATTATTAATTACTGTACACCACGTACACGTTATAGTAAGAAAAAATGTGACCAAATACACTACTGTCAATTTGGCGATGCTGCACTGGTACAAAAATGTATACCGCTGTACTTGTAAATTTAACCTGATAACACACACTGCCATGCAGTAATAACCCTCTGTTTCCTTTTAATAAAATTCATATTTTTAAAAATTATTAGACGTAGAGCATATTTACTTCGAAATAAAATAACGAACCCGATTTTTAAAGGAACGGTATATAATCCAGAAACACTACCAACGAATTTCGAATGCGAAAACATTGTCAGTCAGGTGCGTGGCGGAAATCAAGTGTTCATTTTATTGTTTTATTTATAAATTAATGTAAACTAAATAAATATGTACATTTGTATGAGAAAAAATTCACTTGCCCGATCGGACAAGTACGTCGACAATTTAACTTGCCCGAACTGAGAATTAACTTGTTCTGGGCAATCGGACAACCGTTAATGTCGATCCCTGCATCATGGGGACACATTGGTATGATTCATACTGAATTTTTTTTCCTCACCCTACAGATCTCTCACCTTGTTTTAATGGATATTGCAGATAGGTCATAGAAATACCCCCAATCTGTAGGGGGCTACAAATGTGGCAATAACTTTTAACATTTGGGGGTGTTATCATGCAAACAATTAATGCTCATTGAAGCTTAAAAAACTGCTGTTCTATCAATACCTAATATCATATTTCATCCTCAAACAATGCTATGACATCGATGAGAAAAACATGCAACGTTTTCTACACAGGCATTTCTTCAATAAGGAAAGCAAGTTAATGAATTAAATTGTTATATTTTTTATTAACGCCTGATGTTTACCTCTTGTTTATTTTTTGTACGTAATAATTAAATACCATGCTGTTAATAACTGGTAGGTTGTCACACTTGTGGATGTGTCGTGCGATGTGCAGCAATAATGTAGACTATCGAGAATCGCGAAACGCGGGGGTGATTTGACTGAACTTGCAAACAAGGTCATTGTAACGACCATTTTACCATTCCGTAAAAAAAAAAAACACACACACGAAATAGTCAATATTTTACGAAAAAATATTCTCTCAAAATATTGCTTTCAAAAAAAAAACTTACCGTTTCTAAACGATTTTATAATTCTAAAAGATTAATGCATTCGTTCAACAACAAAAACAATCCGCCATTTTGAACAGTCACATGACTTAAGCGGAAGTAGACAAAATTGAATTTTGCTCATTTGTAAGGAAATTTTTGTTTGATTGCATTCCAAATTTCAAAGTTTTTTTTCACTGGTCAAAAGATATAAAACCTTAGTCAATATTGAAGCTATCTATTCTTAAGTTTCTTTGTATTTAAGAATAACTTTTTACAAAACGATATTGAATAGATCAATGCAAGGAAAGTGTAACGAATAAAACCTTTAACTTTAATGATGAAATAAGCAATAAAAATTATCCTTTTTATTGCCGGATGCATGAGAGTAAGAAATTTAAAATGAGGTTTAAATCCAGTAGTGCATAAATAAGCTGTGAGGGGGAGGGGTACGGAAATGCTTAACCAACAAGATTTTTTTTTAATCTAGCTTATGAAATTTGAAGATAAGGAACAATAATTATGTTCAAACGTTCCAATGAACTGTGTAAACTGTCAGTAGAGCAGACATGCACATTATGCATTGACCTCAGTCTGGACTGAAAAATCAGAGGTGGGTCAGGTGCAGTGCCATGAGCAATTTTCATTATTTATTTTATGCATTAAAAATGGCAAACGCGTCTTAAATAAATATGTTGTGTGGGTGGGGTGGATAAAGCTAAAAATTACGAACGGCTTTATTATGACACAGAAAATCCTGGGGAAAGGCATCACCCCCTCCTGGATTCAATAATGGAACATCGATTGCCATAGCTAAGCCCTTTACTACTGTTTATCTGTTTACGATTGTTCAAAGATAAATAAAATGATGATGACACTTTGTGATTTCAAGAGCATTGGGTAAAAAATACAATTTAAAAAGTACCCGACGGAGAAGTTGAGTACCTTTTTCTTCGCTTCCTTGAAACAGATCTAACGTACATTTAAAAGAATGTCATTTGACTTTTGATGGTTGAGTCGTCTATTTTTTATTTTATTTCATTTTATCAGGGACCTATATACTTGAGTTAGTATATAAAGATCCCTGATTTTATTTATTTATTTATTTATTTATTTATTTATTTATTTATTTATTTATTTATTTATTTATATATTCATTCATTCATTATTTTATTTTATTTTATTTTATTTTGCATTTATCCTTAACCCCTCTTTCGTTTCTTTGTTTTTCAAATGAAACTCTTAAATATATACAGTGACGAAAAGTCTCGTGATATCATTCCGTCATACATTCCACCAAATCGCACTGCGTTGTTGATGCGTGTATATCGCAGTGCAGAAACTAAGTAAAAATTAGCAGTTAAATCCCCCTAAAAATCACATTCTATCGAATTGGATGTTATAATTTAGTTTCTGTTTGTGTAAGTATGGAAATGTTGAAATCAAGCGTCTGGTTTTATGCAATCCTTGTATAAAAAAGCACTTGAATCGTCTGCCCTAGTAAAGTGAACGCTTCGTGAACATAAAGGAAATCGCCTAATGGCGGCCTCGTGTGCTTTCAAACAAGTTGTAATAAAGATGTACTTTTTTTACTCGAGAGATGAAAATTAAGAATCACAATTAAACACATTTTATTAATGAAATAAAATATGTGAATTAACCAGAGGTTGAATCGTTGTGACTGAAAACATTTGGGCTACCCCCTTTGTGGGCCTTTTCATTGTTATTATGCTATAAATAGACACGACAGAATCCATGTGCTTTTTTTCATGGGTATGTGCATGAATGCCAAATGTGTTATGGTCTTCGACTTTTTTTTTTAAATATATATTCCACTATAGACATAGTAAGAAATTGAGTGGAAGTGTTATGTTAGAGTGTAAACATTTGAACTTTCTACTGGATGAACTTGATAAAGATTAATAATGAGTATTTTTAAGAGGATTTTCATTGTTCCTTTATTATTCAAACAAGAAGATTGCTTGTAGGCCTAGAACAGATTTACCAGATTCTATTATCATTTGACATGTGTTTTAGTTTGGCCGGAACATGCATTTTATAATAAATGAAAGAAAAAAATAAACACAGTGGATTTATCAGAGCACATCAAATGATTGGTAGCATAAAGATGGGAAATGTCAGTTCTTTCCCTTTGGACCTTTTGGTTTTTACCCGCAAAGGGACACAGCTTTTGAAAAGTATGGATTGGACTATTGACATAACCTCTAGCAATTAACACTGAAATTGAAAATTTTAAAATAAAATGAAAATTTAGGATTATTTGGTTTTTTTATTAATCTGATATTAGACATGTACATGAGTGAATTTTTGCAAAATTGTAAATATCAATTTTTGTTGATCATACTGTAGTTTGTGTGTGTGTATACTGCTTGATAGAATAAAAGAGGGATATATAAAAATCGGTTATCTTGAGTAATGCTCCTAATTGTTTTAGAAGTGGAATTTATGAATGAGGATTGATTGATTCTTTAGAAGTAGGATTGATAGGAAAATTCTTGATTTATTGTGTTGATGAATCAGTGACATTGTGGTATCACTGCGATTAATGCCCTGTCTGAGCCAGCTGATGGCTGTAGATAATAGCCACTTTTAATTAAATATTAAACTAAAGGTCAAATCCATATCTAGGAAAGTTCCAGGTTTTTAAAAGAATTCATGAAGTGTCTTATAGCATTTAGTGAAAGAGTTATGGAATACTGGAAAAACATCTGTAGTATGGAGGAAAATCAAACAATTTATAGATAAAACTTTTCAAGATATTCACTAAAGGACATAAAAAATTTTTATGATTGATGATGTCATAAATCCAAGAGAGTAGCAATTAAATATTTACATGGAACTGGAAGAAAAACATGATACAATAATACCCAGTTACTTCCTTATTGGGGTAGATAAGATAAATATGAAACATTTTCATATGAGTAGTAAGGAGAACTGAATTTTTTTGTTATCTGAGTGACCTAATTTTCATGAACATGCCCGCCTGTAGTGTTTGATGGATATGAACATTTGACTACCCACATGAGTGTTGAATCATGTAATTCCTGTAAGTGATCCGAAGTTTTATTCCAGGTTGTCAGAACTTAAATAACATAAGTTTTAAATGTTGATTACCCAATAAGAGATTAATAACATGGACAATAATGAAAAAAATTTAATTTTTGAGATTTGTGTTGTTATATATTTTAGAAACAACATATTGTTCTTGGCCATACCATTAAATTCTGTATTAGCTGTAATGTCTAGTGTAATGTACATTTATCGGTTAATTTAAGTGTACACCAGAGAATATGTTAAGATCATTTTATTATGGTGGGATTTAAGTCAGTATACACCAGTTGAGTTTACACAGAAGAATATTAAGTTATATAACTTAAAAACAGTAATCAAAAGAAGACCTGTAAAATTATGCGCAGGGTGTATTTAATCTAGCATATCCAGTGACTCTAGAATATCTAGAACAGTAGATTAGATCACCACGAACTGTAAAAAATCAATGCATGTCACATCACGAAGAACTTCCCTCCCATTTAATAAAAAACATATTCTGTTATTCATAAAATAGAATATTACAGAAGTTTAGAAATTCAACATTCATTAGAGGATAGGAAGTCAGTGATATCTCTAGTTGGTGTAGCTCACAAGTGCCTCAGTAAATGGCTGTTAATTAAACAGGATAACATTCTTATAACAGTCAGTGAATTTCTTCATTATTTGCTGTTGCTGCAGTTTGTTTCATTTTGTAGCATGATAATGGGAAAGCAATTTTCACTTGGTTAGAAAGTCAGATAACAGAGGTGAATATGTTTCACAACTAGGGTTAGTGTAGACTGGGTAAGACTTGACAATGGATTCCCTCTAAGGCCACTGTCTAGGTGTTAACCATACTTTGTAAGGTAATTTACAACAACAGATGGTCACTGTACCTTTGTCTGCTCTGCAAGACATTCTACTAGCTTTAAGTTCATTAATCAGAATAGGTATTACAATGGCTTGACATTATGGTGACAGTACTTCTGGAAATTTTTTTTCATTGACTTCCTCTATTTATAACAAGTTTAATAAGTGAAAATTATTTAGTACAACAATTACTTAATTGAATCCATGGAAATGATTAAAACTTAAAAACAAAACCTGCAAAATGTTGTGTAGATCAATAGGCCTGTTACACATTTCTTGGGACATGTATATCCCTGACTTAGTCATGAGGTGAACCAGAATTAATGAGCTCAATTGCCAGGGTGGGTGTGTGTATATATATTGTCACTTGGAGGTACCTGCTAGAAAAATTGGTCAGCTCAGTTGATTTGTATCACCTGATTGATTTCAGTCAATATAACCAAGTAATTGTTGATTTATCAATTTTGCAAATGAAGGAGAGAAAAGCTGATCAATATATTCTGTTGTATGTATAATGTGTGTGAATGAATAAGTAATAAATTGGATTGTCTGTCATAGGTTGTAGTCCTATTTTTAATACATGGAACTTCCATGTTTGTAAATGTTGGGATCACCTTGGGCAATGTCCTGCTATAGTGTGACTGATCTACACAGATAGAGATACAGGTGGATCTCGGCATAAAAATACTCAAATTGTTTAGAGGTTATTAACAAGACTGACATTTTGAAACCCTTATTTTTTTATCAGCATATTGGGCTCTGGGAAACTGTTCCAGTATCTTCTTTGTGAAATTTGGTAGTTGACTTTTCTGTGGAAAAATAAGCAACAGAGTTTATCCTGAACCTAGAGAACTAAGGATTCCTTGTTATACAAGCCCTAACTAGATATTATTGATCTTTTTATGTGTCTCCAATAAACCTGATATTGATTAATATGTAGTACTCAACAGATATCTGTCTACAGTTGCAATTATCTTCTATTTCTTGTTAGGAGTTGAAAATGTAGGTTATTCAAAAGGATTTGTTTTGAAAGAAAAGTAAAAATGATTGTTAATGGCATGCTTGTAGATTGTCCATTGGCATTATGGTTTGTGTTTCACCATATTCTTTTCCTACATTATACCAAAAGTTTTAACATTGTATGCTTGCTTTTGTAAATACAGTACAGTGTATAGTTATCATTTACCAGTACTCATAGAGATCAAGAGGCAGCTTCTTCACAATTTTGTATATAATTTGCCAGTTATAACAAATTTTGTAGAAAAGCATATACTGGTTTTAAAAACTGTTAGCATTTGAACAAGGTAGAGTTAAAAGTTATCTGAACCAAAGGCAGGTGTGTTGAGATAAAGTGTACATTGTACATTGTGAGTGTGTGTTAGGTGGGGTGTTTTACGCTACAAGTAGTTTGTTTTAAATAACCAGAAATTTTCTTAAGGTGGTTTGCCATATGGTTCAGTGAATTCTTTTTAAAGGTAGAGGACTTTAGACTGATTTAACTTGTAACCTTGGGTTTTAATTTTAACTGAATTACAGAATATAGAGGAGAAAGAGTGTCTTCAAGGGTGTTCTAGATTAACAATTAAAAATGTGTTACCATTTAATAACTGTTCAAAAATTGTTATAGTTAAGCTTTATCCTTGGATAATAATTAAAGAGTAAATTTATGCACATGTCTCTCAGTGAAACTGATTTTACCTAAAAATTTACTGTTTGTACTGTACACAAGAAAAAAGATTTTTACATTATATATTACAAAAGTGTTTTTGAAGTATTATATATGTTTTTTTAATAAGAGGACTAGAATGTTTATACATGTATTATATTTTACAGGTGAGAGAGATGAATTAAAAAACTTGGTACCATGACTGGTAATGATGCCTGGTCACTCTACCTCCACCAGGGTCTTCAATCCATTGGACATCCTAGCCAATGCTGCCAGTCTCATTCCCAAAACAATGACCCCCCAGCAGGACACGGTGCCCACTGACCCAGCTCCAGCTCAGGACAATGTCTCAACTACTGAGGATTTGGAGAAAATGTTTGATGAACACAATTATGGCAACTCAAAGAAAGTTGTGGTGAATAAAATTAGTCATTCAAGTTTCTCAACTGATCTTGGACCTAAAGGAAAAGATGGAGCAAAGTTGAAGGACTCCAGTAGGAGAGTGATTGTGACTGTCGTCAATCGATCTGGAGACCAACGAGTGGTGAAGACATTTAGTAGTGTGAAAGCTGTCAGAAATATCCTCAAGACAGATGTAAGCATAGGCAAAGAAACTGAGGAGGAAAAGAGAGATGATTCCTCCTGTGTTAAAACTTTTCCCATACCTCCTAATGACTTTTTGTCTGAGAAGAGTAAACAAAGTGAGAAAGCAACAACAGATGCTAAATTCCAGGTAGATGTAGCCACACCAGGTAGTGTGAATTTAAAATCAATAGACACTTATCAAGCAGTGCAAAATACCTGTGAGAATGAGACACAATCCAATACCTCAATAGGAGAGAATACGGGAAGCAACTCTAGTCATCCATCAAACAAAGAACAGGTGAATCAGGCACAGGTGACTTGTGTGAACACAAATAGCCCAGAGGAAGACCAAGGTGAGAGCAGTAGTGCTACCTGTCCATCAAGCCATCAATGTGTGAAAGAAAGTTTTACATGTAAACAGTCCCAGGAGATGCCAGAGCATAGCCCCAGTCAAGATGATGTCTGTGAATCTTTGTCCCTGGTAAAAGAGGGAAATTCTGAACATGAAGATAAACAAAAAATTGAAAGTGACCATACTGCAGTTGTGTGTGATTCTTCACAGGAATTAAATCCAAAAATGACCATTTCTCCCCCTGGGACTTGTTTTGAAGTTAGTTCAGTTGAAGAAGAGACTGACCATTGTGCAATTCCTAATGATGAAAAACCTAGTGTTTTATCTGATCATAAACACCAATTGTCTGGTGAATTTTCAGGAAAAAGAGATTACATTGGATCACCTGATGGGTGTTGTTTCAAGCTGTTTGAAGATACAAGTGACTCTGAAAGTTGGAGATATGAGGGAAACAGAGGTGATATAAGACTCAGTTTAGATTTAGACTCGCCTAAAAGTGAGCGAAATGAAAATCCTTCACCTGCATCTGAAATGGGAAAAAGAAAGTCTTCTGACACTTCTTTAGACCCTTTGTTGAGTCCTAGAACATATGAAGAAAATGATGTGCAAAAGTTTTCTAATGCTGCATTGATCAGTAATATGGACCATTGTTATGCTGGGCTCACTAATAACCTAAAGCCTGAAAGCAACATGGAAGATCAAATCCAGAAAAGTGAATTAAACTCAAGTAGTTCCTCAGAAGATTGTCATAAAAACAGTATAAATTTGAAAGACCTACTCCGTAATGGCAAAAACGTCATATGTGGACCTTTTGACAAAAGTAGCCCAAGTAAAATCAATCAAAAAAGAGATGCAATTGTGGCTGTTATGGTAACAGAACCTCAAGTAGCAAAAACTGTTCAAACAACAGTGCCCAAGGAAGTGTCTCCAAAATTTGGAAAATATCGCATTGGGACTTTTGCATCAGTGAGTAACACTGCCATGGGATTGGAATCTCCTACAAGCAAGAAAGGTCCAGTCAAGGCCACTTCATTACTGACCAACACAGTATACACAAACAGTGTCCCTTTGGTGGTCAGTCATGGAGCAAGGACATCACAGTTCTCTGACTTGACTCTCCAACAAGTCTTGGAAAGAAAATGGGTTAGTGTCACAGATCATGACCATGACTACTGTCTCCCAAGAATCCAGGGTCCTCCCCTATTGTCCAAACAGAAAAAGTCAGAGGATAAAAAAGCCAAGAAAGTTGTTCAAACGGACAGCACAGACACAGAGTCCAATGATGAGTTTATTCCAGATGAGGATAGTTTGCCCAACTCTCCCCAACCCACTCCCACTCTTCGACATAGGGCTCACAAGTCAGAGAAAGTGGCAGATTACATAAAGGGTGGCACCTCTGATTCCAAGTTGAAGATCACTGGCAAATATCAAGATGATTATATTTACTTTCTGAACACTAAGTTAAGAAGTCGGCGAAGAACTCCCAGTGTGGATCAGAAAAGTCTACCACCCAACAAAATTGTGGTCCCTCTTCCCAAACCAGGAGACATAGTGGTTCCACATTTAACAGATGCAGATTTAGAGTTGATTAAATCTGGCAACAGTGATAAAATACCACAGAAAATGTGTTCAAATACAGACAATCTTCAAGGTTTGAAACCTGCAGTCCAGCCACAAACATCAGGGACAAGTTCAAGTAACATCTCAGATGAGGAAAGCAAACTCATCAACACTATTCTGAGTATGGAAAATGGGGAACAGAACCCCCCAGGTCCGGTGACTGAGATCCCAAACTTTGGGGAAACTCCAGCTTTGTTTGGGGGTACTAATGATGACATCCTAAATCTGACTCCAGAGCAGATGGAGATACTCTTTAATGCCATGGATGAGGTCCAGAGTGAATCTCCAGACATTTCTACTGCAGGAAACAAGTTTAACTTGGATGTTCCAAGCTCAACAGTGACCACTACCTTCCCATCAGGTGAAAATGAAGTGTCAGACCAGAAAACCTTTCAAAATTCAAATGGTAAGTTTCTTCAAAAGGTTAAAGTCAATAATTTAATGACTGATGATTTTTCCAAAACAGTTTTGTAGAGTAATTGTTTAATAATAAATGAAGTATTGGTGAAAATCTGATAAAGGGAACATGATTATTGGAAAGATTTATTTACTGTGCATTTATTACATTAACAACCAATTACAATTGCCTGGAGCAAAATACAAATGCATATAACAAAGGAGTAGGTTGATTTGTCATGATTAACAAACCAATATTTATTCAAACTTCTAAATAAAAAAAAAGTAAATAAATAAATTGCATAAAAAGGCTGTATATTTAAAAAAAAAAGTAAGTTACCATAATAGAGAAAATCATTAAGATACTAGCAGGGGTTGTCTGTTAAAAATAGTGTCTGAGATTAAATTTAATACTGATGGAAAGAAAAAAACCATTCTAAGGCATTCTTTCTATCATTACCCTGATTAATTTACCATCACAGTTATCTTGTTAAGTTCACTATCACAATTGTCCTGTTACATTCACTGTCTCAGTTGTTAAATTCACAAGGAGGTTTATTTCTATCCCTTTTCCTATTTTTAAAGAGTCTTGGGCTTTGTTACATATTAAAGACCAAAACATCAGTGCACTTTTAAAATATAATTACAAGTACTGATAAAACATTAAACAAATTGGCACCAAAATTGAGTAATCAAACACTGATAAATGTTACAAAAATTATGACATTGTAATGTTTGATATACAATCATATCTTGCACTGAATCTAAGAGACATCATACGTAAGCAGCAGTTAGACAGTAGATGATTTTAGATAAAAGTAACCTTGGTTAAGTGTATAAACAAGAGTTAATTACTGTAGATTCTGTATTTTACATGAATACTTAATATCTCGAAATGATTTCTTTGTATTTGCAAGATCATGACTTTACACCTAACTTTTGAGCTGTAGGCAAGTTATAAACTGAATGATACAGACTTAGTTTTTCACCTTTGCTATGTTTACACCTACAACAATGCACCACTTAAAAAAAATTCCAAAACTTCAGCAGGAATGGGTTACTGGGATCACACAAATCATGGATCATATACCCGGTATATAACAATTGAACCGAGAAATATTTTACAATGAGTGAAAGTGAAATCTGAGTTTTTAACATGAAAAATTAGTTAGTGTAATACAGACAAAAAAGTACTTTTTGAGGGGAAAAAAAGGGGGGGGGGACTAGCTGACACAATGATTCAATAGCCTACAGGTATGAGTAATATATGTTAGTATGAGGAATTTAATCAGGTTAGAAATATTTGCTAGAATGTGTGTTAAATCCTCTTTCCAGAATGTTCATTACATCTGCTCTCTAATTATCCTTAGGTATCTTAGTGACACAGCTGCTAAGTTTATCTGCAGACTGGGGAACTACACTGTATGTGTATTTGGTTTGCTTTTGAATAGTAAAATCCAAAAAATTAAAAATCTTTTTTTTTAACATCATTTATTCAGATCTTGAAATGGTTCCAACTACTAAACCATCAGCAGATGTTAGTGTTGCTACAGGGAGTTCCTACCCAGAACTGGCTGCCATTCCTCAAGAGAAATCCTCATTGGACTTGTTTGGCTCTGAAATGAAACTCTTCCCTGAAGCTTCAGCCATAAGCAGTGAGACCTCACAAAAGCCAGAAACGTCTACAGTTGAGACTGATTCCTCAGCTCCATGGATCGTGACTGTGAGCATGTTCTGGAATGATTTGCCTGCCATTATGATAGATAATGCCCCTTTTGTGAGATTGGTGGACATTCATAAACAAATTCTACCCGCAAAAGACACTGGCATTCTCAAAAAACGGTGCCAGCTTTTGGGAATTGAGGTGTTGAACTGTACAGAGATGCAGCGTTATTTTCTGGTTCAATATGGCAAAGCATTCAACTCCAAAAGCACCCTAATTATAAGTAAGGATGATGCAAAGTCACTGATTGGTTATTACGTCAACCCAGGATCTCATCCCCCAAGAGTAAGGTGTCGTTCCATTGGAGGAAAAGCTAAGGTCACTGTACAAAATAATAGGTAAGTTTTTATTTTAGAATTAATGTGAAGTGAAAGTCATATCAAGGTTTCCAAACTAAGAGGGTTCTGGGATTCAAAATTTCTAATGCTCTCATTCATTCTAGAGCATAATGTTTAGAAGAAAAAAAATGTATTTGTAATTAAAATCATGTTTACTCAAAAATGAAAGTATTTAGAATTTCCTTTTTTCACTTCAGAAATAAAAAAAATCATTCAAAGGCAGCAGTAGAAGTGGAAGAGGAGAAGAGAGAGGTCAACCCAATGCCAGCAGTCCCTCCCTCCTCCCTGGTCTCCCAAAACCCCCTAACATCTAGGACTCGGCACAAAAAAATCAACTTTTTGGAAATGCTGAAGGGAGACTCCAATAATAACAACACAACAACAGAGGAAAGTGAAAATGATATTAAAGAAGAGGCAAAACCTGAAAAGATCAAGCGTGCCTCCAAAAGCAAAACGGGGGGAGAACCAAAATGTTCCACAGAAAAGAGACAGAAATCAGAACAAAGTGTAGAAGAGACTACAAATTCCACTTCAGAAGAGTCTGGAAAAAATAAAAGTGACCAAAATAAACTAGGACAGAAAATGGAATTGATTAAGAAGGATGTAATTTTACAACCTAAAAAGCTTAAGTTTGGGAAAAGTAAGAAATACCCAGGACCTTTGAAAGTAAAATGGACAGTATTTAGCAATAACAAGAAACAGTCAACTGAAGAGAAAGAGGAGACTGGTTCAGAGATCAGGGAAAATGTTCTCTCTGTGGTGCACAAAGACATGACTCTAAAAAATGGTCAAGGAGGCAGGATGCAGGCTGGAAATGTGTTGTTAGACTTGTATAAAGGACCATTGGATCCTTGCATTCGATGTTGCACATGCGAGAAGTTATTTTCTATTGATAATTTTCTGAAACATTTGCATGATGTTAATGGATCTAACAAACTTCTTGTCGTGAGACAGCCACAGACTTTTGCTCTTCGAGATTTGAATCCAACATCGTACCAGAAGAAACTCTGGGAACATTTCTTTAAGAAAAGAAAAGCATATAATGATGAGTTAAAACAGAAAAGATTGGACAGAATGGATAAAGAAAAACAAACTCCATTACAGAGTAGGGAATCATCAGATGTTAGAATTAGTGGTCGTAAACGAAGACCAAAACAACTACACCCTATAGAAAATTACCGCTATAACTTACCTAAGGGTTCTGTGAATGCTAGTGATAAAATGGAGTCTTCTGATGACCCCCCTCCTAGCAAATGTAGGAAGTCAGTGGATACCTCCACCTCATGTGAAGACATGAATTGTGAAGAAGGAACAGAAAGTGTGGTGACCTTGACCAATGGCCCAGAGGTCATTAGTTTCACAGCTCTAGAGACTGAAAGGGCATTTGATGTTTAAACCATAAAACATTAAGATAATTTGTTAGAGGTTAGGTTTTGATTAATGGGAGATAACTCTTAGACCTGTGCCTAGTGTTTTACCATGTTTAATATTGTAAGTGCATGAAATGTAATTTTATTTGTCTTTCATTATTTGTTATGAATGATTTCAGGGACAATATCTAGCACTGTTCTGCTTTTATTGTACATGTTAATGTCTTCTAATTACCAATCTCTTTTCTTGGTAATTATGTTTACAGGGGCATGCTATTCTTATGTTCATTGATAATCATGATTTAAATCTATCTGGTATCTGTATTTTAAGTTATTTGATGAGTAAGTAAAGCAGATGTGCATAGCTATACTATTGTTTAATACTATCGGGAAGTTTTATTCTTACTTCTTACTGTGTATACTTTAAAGTTGTGTAATGTATTTTTGAGCACAACATATATGTTTATATGTCAGAGTAAAGTTTAACACATATTTTCTTTAGACAAATATTTCTGGGGTTAGAATTCTTTGTAGATTGAACCATTTTCCATTTCTTTAACATTGGTAAATTTTGGTAGGGGGTTCATTCAGTATAATTTCCCACACTCATTAGACAGCTTAATAGCCTACCGTTCATGTTGTTTTCTTGCCATTCTTGAAGTATATATTCCTACTGTATGAAAATAAAAGCTAGAAAAGGTTAAGTACTGTCCTTTTTAATACATTTACTTTGTATCTGAACAATGATAAGCTTTGTCTAAGTAATGTATGTACAAGGTCACTCTGACTGTCAATATTCAGGCAGTTATAAGTATGTGAAACATAATTTTATTTATTGGCTATTCTTGCAAAGTATGTTAAAAAAAAGTGCTTCGAAGTATAAGGACCAATCCTAAAAATCAACATCTAATTCACATTTTTTTTAAATCACCTAAGGATCTTTCGAAAATATGTAAATGAACATAAATGAAGTTAATTAAATAGAATTTTGAGTATATGTATATACTTTCTTTGGTTGGCATGAACATTTTCCTATTTTTCTTTTATACCTATATATTTGAATTGAATTTTGGCTTTACCCTGCATTAATATTCACTTTTAATGTCGATAATTGTTTGAACCTGTATTTTCAGTGTCTGCAATTTTAATTCTATGTACATAAAATCATTTTGAACATCAGTTCACATGGCCTACCCTAAAACACCTCATAATGTAAGTAACTAAGAAAATCCAACATGTTAAAATGTAAATAATGATGTACATTTTTGTTTACACCTGTATATATGTATTGTGTACAATGCTGTTATCAGAATTACCTAGTGCTGTTTGCTATCATGATTGATGTCAGATGTTCAAAGGAAAAAAAACACCATAAAATGTTTGAAAACTTAAAAAAAGATGTTTTGTTACTATTATAACATCCTCGCAAGCCAGGGGTCCTGAGTCAACATGTTGCCGTTTGATCCCTGGCATCTTGATCTTGTTTGATCATTGAATTGATTTTTTTAAAGCAGGTCCATTTTCTTGTAAATATATGTGTATAAAAACTGTATATGGTAACGAACTTGCATATGGATGATGAATCTAGAGATGCACAAGATTAGACTTGCTCAATTTTACATTTTCCATAGGAATGACTAAATTAAAGTGTTGGAGGGGGTCCATTTCCTGTAAATATAAGTTATATGGTAACTTAGCTTGATGATGCATCTATCGTGATGTACACTAAAAGTCATGCTTCTAATGCTGGATCTGACTTATATTTTCCAGGTGAATGAAAAGTTAATTTTGGAGCAAGTTTCAAAGAGGGTCTATTCCTAAGTAGCTATAAATCCTCGACAGACTAAAATTGCATGGATATTGTGTCTAGAGATGCTTCACGTGTGAAAAAATACCCCCCCCCCCCCTCAAAATCTTGTCCCATTCTTGAAATTAATTCCCTATCCAACTACAAGTTTAGATGTAAATTGTGTTTATTGCTTCAGATAAACGCCAATCAGTTTTCATATGAAACGAAATTCTCTGCAATTATGACTATATAGGAGCTGTGGCATACATAGTCCCAGAAATTCTCAAAACTCTCCATAATAAAAGTCCTTTGAACCATAAACTTCTATCCGGCAAAAATTTATTGTTGCCATTGTGTCATAGTCACCATGGCAACATGACTGAAAGAATGAAAAATAACATTTTTGAACATGCTCAAGAAAGTGACTGGCTATTTCCAGGAGTTGGTTAATTAATTAACCCTTACAGAAAAAATCAATAGAAACTTGTAAGTGATTTAAATAAGCCACTTACTAGCAACTTATAAGTCACCTATAAGTTTTGAAAGGAGATGGGTGAACATGACGAGAGATACGCCTATAGTGTGACAAACATGGTGATGAAAAATTAAATTTCAATTATATTAAAATTTTCCTTGATATTTCGTCTAACATTAAAATATACTTTATGTAAAATCTCTACAATTTGCAAAAATCCCTCAAAGATTGAAAATATTTGCCTGTGAAATATTAGACACACACTAATGCGGGCAAAAAGAGTCATTTTCTAATACTATAAAACTATTTTTCGATATGAGTGGGTCTTCGCTCCACCTTTTTGAAAGTTAATCCTCAAAGTTTGCATAAAAATACACATTTTTTGCTTACCAAAAATATGGAGCAATGACCCACTATACCTTAAGAATATACTTTTATGACATAAAATTCGCATCTTTTCGAGAAATTCTTGAATTCCATTAAGTCAAGGGTCATATCACAAACATGATTTAAATGCCACTGTTCGTCAGGACTTGTGTAGTCTAGTGGTTAGCGTGCTAGTCTCGAAAGAAAATGATACTAAGGATTTTTATTGCTAGGGTTTGAACCCCACGAATACCACATTTATTTTTTTAAATAAAAGAATAAATTTTGCCGAGAAAATTTTCCTCAGAAAAGTTTTGTTTATCACAATTTCATAAATTTCAATAATGAGAACTTTACTCTAAATATTAAATTCACAAACTGAACATGATTTTTAAATTTCTGAAGCTATAGGCTTTCTGCACGCTATGTTCGCCCGTCTCCTTTATTTATAAGTGGACTATAAGTCAAAGTAATTATAGTAAGGAACAGATTTTGTTAATACTTCACTTATGAGTGAAGATTAGCCACCTATGTTGCAACCACTATTGAAATAACGACCACTATTGAAATAATTATTTCAATAGTGGTTGAGAATGCATTTCAAAACCAGACACAGCTTGTAACTACTATTGAAATAACAGCCACTATTGAAATAATTATTTCAATTGTGGTTGAGAGTGCATTTCAAAACCAAACATAGGTTGCAACCACTATTGAAATAATGTTCACTATTGAAATAAAGATTTCAATAGTGATTGAAATAATGATTTCAATAGTGCTTGGAATCATTATTTCAATAGTTGCTGACAATGATTTCAATATAAAAACCAAATTGCAAGCCTCATTGAAATAACCCCAATATTGGAAAAAATATAAGGAGAAATTCTTCATTATGTTTTCCAACATAATAAAATTAATTTATTGAGTTTAAATATGATATGTAATTTTATGTTTTAATTTCTGTCCAGAAATACTATTAATACACGGATATCTGTGATTTAACTGATCTAGTAATTTTAAGTAATTTTGTTATATAATTTTCCCCTTTGTTATTAATTGGGGAAAGTAAAAGATTATAAATACGCATAGTTGTAGAAATTAGAATATCTACATTAAAAAGAAGAAAGAAGACATCTATTGATATCTAATATGTGTACAAACTTTCTGATGAAAAAAAAGATTAATTTTAATCAAAAGGATATAGAATAGAAGTAAAATTTCGCTTATATTCTTGGGCTTGCCCACACTACTAATATGGACAGTAAATCAAACGTTTCTTGTCAATACATTAAAATCAACTATTTGGGAAAACTAAGCATAAGTGTTATAACATCAGAGGTCGTTATTTCAATAGTGGTTACACGTATAAAAACCGCTATTGAAATAATTATTTCAGTAGTGACCGTTATTTCAATAGTGATGACAAATTGGTTTAGGCTTTGAAATGCTCTCTTAACCACTATTGAAATAAATGTTTCAATAGTGAACGTTATTTCAATAGTGGTTACAAGCTGTGTTTGGTTTTGAAATGCACTCTCAACCACTATTGAAATAATTATTTCAAAAGTGAACATTATTTCAATAGTGGTTACAAGCTGTTTGGTTTTGAAATGCATTCTCAACCACTATTGAAATAATTATTTCAATAGTGGTCGTTTTTTCAATAGTGGTTGCAACACACCTATCTGTGAATATTTCACTTATACTTTACTTATAAGTGAAGATCAGTATGTTACTAGCATGAGTAAGTGTGGACTTGAATTTTTACATTATACTAGACTTCTCTTGAGTTGCATTGTGGGTATTCAAAGCTAACTAATCAGAAACCTTGTCTCTGCAGAGATAAACAACAAGAATTTGAAACTATGCTAGTGTCTGTGAAAAGATGTTGTTGGAGATTTCAAATTTATTTTGAATATGCCTTAATCAGGTACAACAAGTAGGTTCTTATATTTACATCATCTTTTTTTTATTTTAACTGCTGCTTTCAGATTTCATAAATTTTAAGGTAGTATGGGATACCTCTACGTTATGACGTATTTCCGTTTGAAGTATTGTTTTGATTTGCATGAGTGCTTATTATCGGGTCAAAATTTGTAGATACACCGTTGAAAAGAACACTCTGAAGCCTATTTCAATGCAAGTTCTCACAAGTCGGCATTTTAAGTAAAAACAGACAAAAAAATCGCAAGTATATAAATTTACTTATAATTGTACAACGGACATTTAAAAAAGCAAACCCCTGTAAAAGGTAGTTTCAACATTGCTGTTTTTGAACACTTTTAAGCAAAAGCTGTATTTCAATTGTTTGAGTAACTGTACAGCACCTTGTGTGCGGTGAGGCATGGATAAGTGCGATTACTTCACATTGTGCTGAATTATCACCAATCAATTATCACGTTAACCAGAGCTGGACTTTTTTGCTATTTAATTTAAGAAGTAACTGTTTGGTCACAAATCAGCTAGCTGTTGTATATAGTCCCAAAACGTTCAGATGAATGCAATTGCTCTGAACAAGACACGTCCTGGAAAGCGATTGTCCATGCATTATTTTCAAAACCGCTCAAAGTTGAAAACTACGAAGTGCGATTTTTTTTAATGGTTTCTTAAATAGCACCCAAGTTTTTTCAACCCTTGGAAAATAAAGAAGGATAACTCTTCCGCTCGGATCTTTTAATTCAAAAAATTTTAAATGCATTTTATATTTTCCATTTATATATATATTTTCAATTTGTTTATTTCACTTTGCTAACATATTAAGATACATTCTTATTGTAGACTTTCATGAAATGTTATCCGTCTGTTTTCAAGAAATAAAGTTTTCCCAGTTTTTTACGCTTATTTTTTGTTGAAAATTAAAAAAAATACTAAGACATATTTCTTGTCATTTTTGTTTTTACAAACACTTTATATTAGCAAACGCCTGCCTATAATATTAAGCTTATGAAAAAAGAATTATGCAAGAAAAAAAATCGTTTTTGTATTTCTCATTAAAATAATAAAAAAATTATTAAAATTACACTTTAATATACTGAAAGGTGGGGGTATTTCAAATCCTTCTAATTTGGGTACATAAATATGTAGGAGAAGTTTCGTTTGGTATCCCATACCACCTTGATGACTTTTTTGTCTAACATTTGTGAACTGAAATAATATTTCGAAGTACAAAGTTTGCATCATCAAAGAATGTCACATGAGAGGGAATTTTTTCATAAAACGTTAATTAACTTGCATGATTATTTCAACTAAAGTGCAGAAATATGTTTCATCAAAATCGGTGACCATGCATGCCAATAAGGTTGAAGTGATTACGGAGAATAGCTCTTAACATGTATCTCTACATGATCTTTTATGTAACTTTAGCGGACTCACACTGAGAAGGAGAAATAAAATGGATAGTTTACAGACCCTCAATATTCTAATTACTAAACAGAGGTAATCAAAGATTAAGAAGTTCACTTTGACAAATATTATCTAAAAGTAACATAAATCTCACATAAATTTGCATCCTGAGGTCAATATCCATGCAAGTTTGATTTTAGTAAGACTTTTCTTGGGAATGGACCTGCTCTGCTAAAAAAAAACAAACTATAATCTGGTAATTCATCTGAAAAATATAGGTCAGATCCAGCAACTCAAGCAAGTATGGTAGTGTGCATCCCTAGATGCATCATCCCCATAAGTTTGGTTCAGGTAAGGCTTGAATTACTTGGAAATTGACCTATTCTAAGTACTTTAAGGATACACCAAAGGCTTTTTTCAAGATTTTCAACAATTTTGAGATTTTTGGCTCAGAAAAAGAAATTGCTGGTAATTATGAAATGGTTTTCTAATTATTTAACAATAATAAAACATAAACACTACCACATGTGAATGTTCTATTATTGAAGCTTCTGATTTGATCTGTGACTGCCTGCTCATGAAAGATGCAATAAATCACTGTGACCACTTGGGAATTCTTCACTAGCCACAAAGAGGTTATCAGTAATTAAACTACAGGGACTCTAGATTTAGAGAAGGAGGTCTAACAGATCACTGATGACCATAAAATAAGAGGTGGAGCTTAGCTCTTGCCGAGAAATCTTTCCGATTCAGAATAGAACCTATTTTACTAATTTAAAAGCATCTAAATACAGAAAAGAACCTCCCATTCTTGTGAATATGCATGGGAAATATGGCTAAGTGACAGATATTCAAAGCTGAATCTCCAAGGTGTCATATATTCCTAGCTTTGGCAGATTTTGTTTTGTAATGGGTTTTTGCCCTCTACTGTAAAGCAAGATCACAGTTAGTGGTATTATTTCAAAGGATTCAGCTCCCTCATTTATTGACCAATTTCTCTGAAAATTGGATGGGTGGCTTTTCAAATATGTGTTCACAAAACCATATCTCAGATTTTTGATATCTAGCTTAGTTTTGGAATTATTGAGGGAAATGTTAAATTAGGCTAATAAATTGGTAACATTGAAGGGCAAATGGCTGTAACTTTTGAATTAGAAGATTTATCAAAAATCTGAGATACAGTTTTTAAGTTCAAACTTTAATCTACCTTAAGGCAAAATTACCACAATTAAATTCTGGCATTTGGAAACCTTTGATGTATCCTTAACCTGTTCTGTCATCTGCAGAATGTAGGTTAGATCTAGCCTCCACAACTAGCTCACTTGATGCATCATTAATGCAAATTTGGTCCAGGGTTTATAGTTCCTTAGGAATGGACTTGTTCTAAGACTTTAACCTGTTCACTCATCAGGAAAATGTAGGTCAGATCCAGCATCTTAATCAAGTCTAATTCTGTCCATCTCTAGTGCATCATCCATGTAAGTTTGGACCAGGAAGGTCTAATAGTCAATCATCTGGCAAATGTAGGTCAGATCCAGCATCCCAAGCAGGTCAGATAGTGTTCATCCCTAGATGCATTACCCCTTCAAGTTGGGTATACATGAAGCTTAAAGCTATATGGGAATGGTCCTGCTCCAAAAACTTTAATCTGATCACTCATCTGGAAAATGTAGGTCAGATCCAGCATCTCAAGCAAGACTGGCAGTGTCCATCCCTAGATGCATCATCCAAGTAAGTTAGGTCCACATAGGGCTTATAGATACTTGTAGGGCTGGGTATCGGTTGGAAATTTTGTATTGCGATATATGGAACTATATTGTGATATGTATTGCAATATTTTTAATAACAGTTAAAATGCCCTTTTCTTATTTTATTTTCCTCCATTTATAAGCAGAGTGTATAAAACTTTTATAAATAGGTTGTAACAAAAAGGTTCTAGTTGATTTCACTACAGTCGGCAACGAAATGCAACCATACAACAGAAACCTTTACTGTTTGGTATGATTGAAAACGTTTCTGACATCTAAGAAATCTTATTTAACTTCATAAATCTAAAGCCCAATCATTTTGCCGCTATATCGGTACTGGAAAAACATATTGCAATACGATATTTTTTGTTAACAAATCGCAATATACTGGAATATCGATATTTTTGCGCAGCCCTAGTTACTTGGGAACTCACGCTAAAGTGACGTCACAATAAGCTACAGACACATTAAAATTGCTCTCTATATGCTGAAGAAAACCAAGTATATTACTCCAGTTTCAAAACTATACTATTGCTCTTATAAGTGCAGTATGCAGATGGAGACAAAACTCTGGAAAATGCTTATGGAGATCATTTATTTACATTGTCATCCAATATAACATGCTTTAAAATTCAAATGTAATTAGCATTAAATCCAACAAATAGAATATGGAAATATCAATCAAAGTTTCTTTTGTAACTGTTCAAGAGGTATATTTTCGCATTGATGATAACATACTCAATAAAGATGAATAGATATATAAATTAACAATTTCAACTGTGTTAAATTAAGAGGGTTTAAATATAATAACCTGTTTTTTTTCTAAGTACATGATGCACACACAACAACTTGGAAGATAGTAACCTTTTATTGTTAAATATAAACATCTTCAAGGATACATCAGGACTTAAACAATAAATATTGATAATTCAATTCAACAATTCTTTGTAAATTAAGGAAATAAAAAGACACATAAACCTTAGCTTCTAATGAGAAATGAAATATTTTGTTGGAATGAATGCAATCACACTGTGCATAGCATATCTTCCTTATAAAATACATTTCAGTAAGAAAAATAAACCTTTTGATTTTCTTCAAATAAAATAAAAGTCCCCTTTAAATATTGGTGTAAGTTAATATGGAACTATTACATATTGGTAAACAAGACATTGCTGGTGATACAATATAATCCCACTGTCAGGAGGATTTTTGCTGCAGTATGCAAAAAAAAAGAAGACTATCTCTGCATTCCATATCTGTGAATTTCTGCCCATTTTTTTTTTCATCTTTAAACTTATCTTTTCACGCAAAATTACAAGTAAATCAATGGACATAGAATGTATCCATAAGAAATATAAACATGTCCAAACAAATGGAAACATTTCACTGGAACTAGCCATTTTTATTTTTAAATCACTGTCAAGTTAGCTCTTTATCATTTGTGAGCATTATTCCATTTGTAATGCTCATATTTATTATAATGAAGTTGTTCACTCTAAAAATACATGTATACATAAAATTCCACAACAAAGCTTACACTGGTATAATTTATTATTACAAATCAGAAAATGCCAAGTTTCATCTCATAATCTAAAAACAACCAAAAAAAATTGAATGATCATCGAAACTTTGTAAATACAGTGCAAAACCTCTTCAAAGTCCAGTGTGTTGAGTTACTTATGATTATTAATTAAATGCTAAGTTAAAATTCCTGCCCTATGCTTTATCAAAAAGTAAGAAAAAGTTTATTATTCACAGGCAGACATACAGATAGCATATACCACCCCTCTAATAAAGATAGTCCATGAAACAACATACATGTAGCTCAAAATTGTCCATGGAGAACCACTCCTAACCGCTGATCAGGAAAATCTTCCACAGCTTTCTAACTTCATTTCTGGGAGCCGCGAGTCATTCTGTAATGTTAACTGTGCATTGTAATGTCATTTATGCAAAAACAGCCATAATTATTCATAAATGTATTGATCTCAATAGCACAAGCATTTAAAAACTAGATGTGTCAGGGTGACATGAATGCCCCCAATGACATGCAAGTTTTAAATATACGAAAGTTCAAAAGTATGAAAAAAAATGGGTGGAAATGACATGAAAATAAAATTTCTGCTTTTGTTTTCTGGAACCAATTGTTTATACCATCACAACATACTTAAGCTGCGTGAAATGGTGATCACTTACAAGCAATAAAAAATGCCAAAAAACAGTGAATAACTAGATATCGAGATCAGGCAGGCTCCCGCTTTTAGCAAAGGACATTAGGATGAAAGTCCCTTTATCCAAGGACACTCTTGGGGTGAAGTTTAAGTCAGATGGGGCCAACTGGAGAAAAGAATTTTACAGATTTGCTATAACCTTGACCTTGGTTCAAGGACACTACACAGCCATAGGCACTCTCATGAGTGAAGTTTGAGACAGGTAGGACCAAGGGCAGAGAAAATATGCTCTGGACAAAAATTTTACAGAGGTTCTTTGACCTTGACCTTTCAGCTAGACAATTGGTTCAGGGTTAACACTTGATTCCCTGTTATTTCATGATGGGGACATACAAACACCACACATATAAATTACTTTCAGATTTCACAGATATATTAGAAATTCAAGATCTTCAAAAAGGATGATTTTATAAAAAAAAATTTCTCTTTAGTAAAAGCCAAAAAACGTATTGTTTCCAAACCATTTTATCACTCACTTTTAAGAATAACTTATTGGCTGTAAAGATATTTAAAACATACTGTGACAGTTACCAACTGGAAATTCTTTTCTCTATTCTTGATGATGATTTTGTTGTCTTACCTTTTTACTGGTTTTTGAACAGCTGTCTTTCTACCTGAGCTGTGAAAATAAAAAAAGTTTTGTGAAAATAAAAAGTTTTATCTTAGATTGTATGTAATATGGAAAATTTAAGATGTCATAAACTCATAATATTAACCAGTCTTCCTACAACAAATACAGTCAAATCTCGTTATCTCGACCTCAAAGGGACCAAGGAAAAACTTTGAGATATCCAAGTATTCGAGATATCCAGGGTAAAAGATTAAGCGTTTGGGACTTACAAATCACTTCAACATATCCATGGTATTCGAGATATCAGTGTTCAAGATACCGAAGTTCAACTGTAAATCGATATACCTGTAAATTTGGTTTATCATAATGATTAATTATACTTTGAATCGAAATTTACTTAATAAAAAAATATAACTTAAACTTGATTTATAAGCATTAATTTTATTATTAGACAAAATGATATGACATACTAGTACAATAAAACATGGTTATAGCTAACATGCTTATAGTGAATTCATGCTTACTGCGCAGTGACGAAGTGATTTTCATTCCCCATAGTTTTAAAACAAGTTGTGAACTGATCGGATATAACAAATTTCATTTATAATGAATCAAATTTGTTGGTCCCTGGCACTTTGCTATAAGCATGTTATACTGTACTCAAAATATTGCCAAGCCAAATTTTTGGTATCAATAGTGTTTTTGTCACACTGGCATATGCAGCAATCATCAAAAGACCCAAAATTAATATGACGATTGCCATGAGCCCCAGACAAGGTATCTAGGGATATACAATGTATACATGGAGACAGGAACTTAATAACAATCAATTTCTAGCAACCAATCCTGGACTGTAATTCCAGTGATTTTCAGGGGTCCTTAGACCTGGTAAGTTTAAAGGAGGTGCTTATTTTTTACTAACCCACTGGCTCTCGAGAAGAATATTTTAAGAAGATGCTGACAAATTTTCATTTTTTAACCAAGGATATTTTGTGTGGGACATTATTACATCCAATGGGAACTTTTTTCAGGATGGTTGAGAAATGATCTGGAACATGCATGGGAATTGAAAGGAAATGCTTTCAAAAACTATATTATATACATGAATTAAAACTATTTAGGCAGACTTTGGGAAATAAACCAAGTTTTTTCAAATTCAAATTCAATAATTCGATGAAATTATCTGACAACTGAAATTATTTTGTACTATATAAGATTTGAAAGTTCATGTCTGTCTGATCTACTCAAAATGAAACTTTTTACACTGCATATTTGTTGCAGTGTGATAGCTTTCAAAATGTAACACTAAAACATGTGTGTGTGTGTGTGGATACTTCTAACCTGTTTTCCTCATTCCAAGCCTTTCTAGCAGACACCCTGACAGCTGTGGAGCGACTCTGCTTCAGTTTAGTAGTAGCTGGAACAGGTGGCTTCTTAGAGCGGGTGGTACGAACTGGTGATTCTTCAGCTTCAGAAGAAGGCTCTGTTGCTGGACTTTTTTGACTAGTCTTCTTCAACGAGTCCCCTATTGCCATCGAAGCCCTGGTGACATGACCTGGGGACAAATTGAGAGATTCAGACAAAACTTCCTTGCCTTTATCTTTATTGCAGCTGACAGATGTCTTCATAATTTGTATCTTAGACCTTGTTGAAGGTGAACTTTGTGAATCATTATCAGATTCAGATGTCATTTTCTTTTTTCTCATTGGCTGTGATGGACTAGATTTTGACTTACTTTTAGAACTCTGAGGTGAAGTTGAAGAAACATTTTTAGGCTGATTGGAATTTTTTTGTGCCGTCTGAAAACTCCTCTTATTTGGTGAAGTGTTTTCTTTTGTCTCTATCCTTTTGAGCCTTGGAGATCTTGCTGGCAATGGCTTGCTGGTAGCAGGAGGTTTTCTGTTGTTTTTTCTGATTGATTCTGATGGTGAGCTTATATTAGATTCTGGAGAAGACATTTTGCTTCTAGTTCTGGGGGATTCTGTTTCAGATTCAGAGAGGTTGGCACCTAAATGGGTTCTTTTGTTAGGACTACTGACTAAAGAAGAAGTTGTTTTCTTGGACTTGGCAGAAGCTGGAGCAGAATTTGTCCTAATTTTACTGCCTGGACTGGTTTTTCCTTTAGTTACTACTGGGATTTTCCTTCCACTTCTTGTAACTGGACTGCTTACTTCCTTGGAGACAACCTTCATTGGGGATTCCTTTCCTTTGTTCTTTTCATCTCCTTGGGCACTCTTTCTTGACTTACTGACTGAATCTCCGAGTTTCGTTTTCTTTTCAGGAGATGGCAGTGGATCAACAGTAGTAGACTGTACAGTCTTCGTGCCTCTTCTTGGTGATGTGACATCTGTGCGTTTAGGGGTGCCCCTTCTTGGTGATGTGACATCTGTGCGTTTAGGGGTGCCTCTCCTTGGCGATTTAACATCTGTGTGTTTAGGGGTGCGCAGCAACTTTTTAGGTGATTCATTCAAGCTCTCTTTTGAAGCAGAATTATGTTTAACTCCCCCGTTTTTGTATGATTTTCCATCTGGAGTTTTGTCTTCAGTTTTATTCATGGTCATAGACTGTGAGTGTCTTAACCTTGGTGTTCTCCTTGTCTTCAGAGGAATTTCTTCCTCTTCCTCAGATTTTTTGGTGGGTTTCAGCTTTTTGTTACTGTTTAAAGATGGTGATTTAGATGATTTTAAGGCTTCATCTTTCTTTGTCCCAGTTTCATCATTGGATTTTATCTTTTCACTTTTCTTGCTCTTTCCTTTCTCAGGTGTCTCCAAATTTCCTTTACTCCTTGGTGATTTCTTATTTCCACCATACTTTTCTTTGGTAAAACTTGCTTCACTTTCGTTTGTAGACTCTAGAGTATTTTTCTTCTCTGTTCTCGTCAAAACCACAACAGGACTCAAATTCTTGCTTTTAAGAGCTCTAACTGCTTTGACTGGAGCTACTGATCTCTTGTGACTTGTTTTTATAGATGGATTTGTGCTCTGCTTGCCTTCATTTTCAGACTTTCCATCTGACGAGCTACTTTTACTTTTCACATCTTTCTCAAGTTTTCTGTCATTTTTACTTTTCTTTTCAGTTTTCTTGGATTTTTTCCCTGGAGTTCCTTTACTTTGTGGTGAGGATGGTTCTGGTGATTTTCTTCCTCTTTTCTTGCCTCTTGAATCTGGAGACTTTTCTTCATCCTTGTCAGTCTCTTGCCCACTCTCTTTGTTCTCCTCCCGATTATCTGTCTCTGGCCCACTTTCCTTGGTCTCCTTTGCATTATCTGTGTCCAGCCCACTCTCTTTGGTCTCCTCCAAATTATCTCTGTTTTTCTCAGACAAGTTGAGAGGGCCTTTCGCCTTGGAATTCTTTGGTCTATCAGGAGTCTTAAAATCAAACGTCTTAGAAAACAAAGCTGCTATAGGACTCTTTGCAACATCTGGATCTACTGTTGGATTACCGACTTTGGGTGAAATTCCTCCAGATTTACCTAATAACATCACAACAATGTATTTCAAAAATATCTGTAAAAATTAAGGTTTCTCTCCAATTTCAACATATTTGCAGGTACACATGTACATCCCTATAAACTTACTTGGGACTCGACGGAGTGTACTTGTCTCATGGAAAAGAGAGCCATCTAGATGTAGAGCTGTATCATTCATCTGAGATCTGTCCTGTGTTTTATCACTAACACTTGTCTTGTTCATTTCTACAACAGAAAAATACCATAGAGCTTTACTAATCAATTGCTACTAACAGCAACACATTTCATTTGTTGAATCTAATACACTTTTGTTTCGAAGACAAACAAACTGATGAAATGTTGAAAATAAAAAAACGTGGATCACATATGGGTAAATGACTTTTCTCTCACTATATACAATGTATGTTTTTTAAAGCAGTAAAGCTCATTCAGCAATTCTCATTTTGAAAGCTGTGGTCAAGGATGCAAGGCCATTAACTTTAGAGTCATCCAAAAGGGCTTCAGGGATTATGCATTATTTTGGTGGAATACAAGCATTTACATTGTATTTGCTTAAAGCACACAAACCAGTACTAGGGGGAGTTGTTTCCTCTGTTGTACCTCCCTCCATATTCTCCGTGTTTTCTTGGTCCCCCTCGGATGCTAGAACCGGTACCCTCTCCTTCACAAACTCTGCAAACTTCTTCAGTGTCTTCAAGCTCATTTTCTCTTTGACAACCTGATATGTACATGTATTTACAAGGATTTATATAATTCTATCAAAGCAGGAATCAAGTTGAGAATCTTACTCGATACCATACTTGCCAACCTCCAACATGTAAAAATCTGGTCATGACCAGATTTGCAAAGTAAAAAATCTGGTCATAACGCGTAAAGACATTCACGACATATTTACCATGATTAAATTTATATATATATCTATATTTATATAGGTATTTGTGTATTGAGAATTCTTTTATTAAAAATAGGCTTTAACTTACAATGACAAAAAATTTATATATATTGATTAAATTTACATGTTAAAAAAGAGCAATGAAGGTTTCATTATTCAGTATTGACCTGAATTAAGTGTGCATTTTTTTTTTTTTTTTTTTTAAGAAAGCCTTTTCAGAATCTGCAATGCTGATTTGAAGCACATGTTTGTGCTAAATTTGAAAGTATTCAAATATTGGTTTCGAAGTTATCCCCCCCTCCCCCCCCCCCCGAATTAATTTAATTAATTAACAAGTGCAATATGTATTAAATGTACAGTTAGGCCTACACTATCTTCGATCACTTTATTTTATCTGATGATAATTGTTTTCCAAGATTTCTTGATATGTACATAAATATTGTTTCTCTTTTTTCTTGGTTCAGTGTGTTCCTACTGGCCCTTATAACGATGTAATTCTATCGGAAGCCATTTTAAATTGACTTCAATGTTTGTCTTGTAAAAAACAACTCCCAGGTAATTGTTTACACCTGCACTGATAATTTACTGGTACACGGCCTACTGAACATAGCCATCGGTATTGTTTACATAGATCCAAGCTTGGGTTGTAACTGAAAGTTAAAAGTGCAACCTAATTTATGAAGCAAATCCGGAAATCGGGAGATTTTCGGGTTGTTCGGCAAAAATCGGGTGAAACGCATGACCTGCCGTGTCATAAAAAAAAATCGGGTTAAGGGTCGAAAATCGGGTGTAACCCGACAAAATCGGGTGAGTTGGCAACTATGCTCGATACATAGGATATTAATTTTTAATACATTTCTGTTTTTCAGGTTCTGATAAAAAAAGACTGAGGGGAAAAACATCATCGGAATTAAACATGCAATAGAGCCCCCCCCCCCCCCCCCACAAACAAAAACAACTCATATACATATCAAAATTTAAATTAGTTTAAATGGACAGAATTGTGTACTTTACCTCCAGCATCTGATCAGCCAGCACAGCTAGAACTTTAAAGGCCTCATCATTAGTCTCACTTAGCTCAAGCTTGTTGAGAATTTTAACCCATAGCTTGAGGTTGTATGAGTCAGGGTTGGACAAAATCTCATTACAAATTTTTATGGCTAGACTGTCATGCCTTGGATTTTCCTGCAGACCAAAAAAAAAAAAATCTACTGAAAGGGGGACTGTCCTGATTCAGGTACATCATCATGCAGAAATAGAAAGCATAAAGCTCAAAATCAATGGTTCATGTGGGCTGTACTATTGTATTCAAGTCCTATTGTAATTTTACACAGATCATGCAATCTTTATGTAAATTTAAATAAAAATAAAATTTTAATTAATACATGGATAGATACATGTATGAACAGTTGTGGCATTGCCCAGGACAAGTACAGTCAGTGTTTGGGCAAGTGAAAACCAAATATACTTATCTGATTGGACAAGTGTAATTTACAGTGATTAGCAAAAATTCAGTTCTCATTTAAGGAGGAATGCCACACCAAAATTTTATTTCATAAATCTTTAAGAAATCCCTATTGAGTTCTGGTTTCAGCATTGAAAGGTCGATATTAGCTCTTTATTATTTTATATGAATTTTTTTGCATTCTTTCAGAGAAAATGTCAAAAATGTTTTATTTGCATATAAGATGCTTTAAAATTTGCTGTTAATGAATGCATCATATGAATGTCTAATAAAATATGTAAAGAAAAGTCAAACAGACACTTAAATTTTTTTAATAAAAAATATTTATGAAAATAAAACACATTTTCTGTGGATATTTTTCAAACCTATGGTTAAAATCTTCGTAAAACTAGTCATAACTACGGAGAACATGTTAGTCAATCATATTTTGAAAAGAAATTGAAATGAAATTGTGAAATTTTGGAGAAATTAATTTTTTAAATTTTGGCCAATCCCGAACGAAATTCAACTGATCCCAACCAGAATTCTATATTGGAAATAAATAACATTTTCAAAAGAATACAAGTTTGATTATGTGTAATATGGGTTAAAAAATAGCTGAACTTGACAATCAAATAGATTTCTTGGTGATAAATACATAAAGAATGCATTAATTTATTATTTTATTCTTTTTGTGTTAATTTTGATCGGGATCAATTTAATTTTGATCGGGTTAGGTCCAAATATTTAAAAAATTAATTCAGTTGCCTGCTGGACATTGAGATTAAAAGTTAAAGTCTTTATCCGAGTTACACATATGAATTTTGATAAATTAAAATTTTAGATATGACAAAGATGTCATGCAATCTGGCCTCCTATACAAGTATATATCAAGTTACTTAGTCTCTCTCTTCACCTAACATCCTTATATACATTGTACTTGATTATTTTCTATCTTGATTTTCATATTTATCATGGTATCAGTAAATTTGTATCAAAAAATTAAAAAATGCTGGCTTCGTATTGGAATTTCTAGTATTTAACCCTAGTTCTTGTGACAAACCAACACAGTCTGTTATTGAAGTTTTTACCTTGATTGTCTCAGTTTCATTTTGACTCTTCAACAGTAACTTGGAGTTGGTCAGCTGGATCAGCAACTCTGCCACATTCTCTGCATTGACCTCTGCCAGGGGACTGGAAAGGGGGGCATTTCTCAGAGTCTTCAGGGTGGGGATAAAGGCCTCCTCCACCACATCCTGGTTAGCTCTGGGTGTACAACAGAAACAATGAAAACTTCTCAGTACCTAACTATACTAGCACTTCTTCCTTTGACAAAACAACATTACTGATGTGAAATTTCCAAGTACAAAGACAAAAATAAGCATTTCCTGATATAATGAATTAAAACAAGTCGCAATATATGTACATTCACCAATCACACAAAGCATTTATAATTCCACCAGGGCTCGACATTAACACTTGTCCGCTTGCCCGGTACCAGTGAAAAAAAATTACGGACAAGTGAATATTGCTGGGCACTTGTCTGATTGGACAAGTGCATTTTAATGTAAAGGAGTCTCTAAATAATATTAAGAACGACTGTGAAAGATAATCAGTAGTTTCAAGACGGAAGCTGTACATAAAAACCGGACTTTGATCCCGATAGGGATCGCTACTAATTGAGTTCACATTGATTCGGGATCGAAGTTCACTAATTGCATACTACTGAAAAGGCATGGAACTTACGAACTTAACGAAGTTTGGTTCACTTGTGGACATTTATGTTGTCAGGACAGAAAGCCTAGATAAAATTTCGTTTTATGTGTTTGTTGTAAATATCAATGACATCACGAATCAATCAAGCACATGTCATGTGTAATGGACTTTATTTTAGTTTTCAAGTGGACAGTATTAGATCTTTATTGAAAAATTTTCGGACAAGTGAAGTTGAAGTTCGGACAAGTAAATGTCTTGGTCACTTGTCCGAATGGACAATTAAGAAAAAAAGTTAATGTTGAGCCCTGTCCACAAAGTGGCAAAGCATTTTTGTGGATGGTAAATTAACTTCATTATTTGCTGTGCACATTCACTCTTAGCAAGCCTGCATGGACTAGAACACCCTACATGATGGCCAAAAATGTAATCAGTACTAGTGAAATGCCTACAACATGTTTTTTATCTCCAATTCTAGCACTCATACACTATTCATGAGGTGTGTGTACACTACAAACAAAAAACACAGCCTCATCTCTATAAAAAAAAAACAAGATGTGTTTGTGAAACACTGATGCCCCCATATGGCAGCTTATGGCAAAGGTTAAAGTTCTTCAAATGCAAGTCAAAATCGAGGCCAAAAGATAAAAAATGTTGATACCCAAAGAAAGGTCTTGTCTCGAGGAATACACCTGTGAAATTTAAAAGACCTAGATACAACTGTTCAAAAGTTATGGCGAAGGTTAATGTTTTTTAAATAAAAGTCAAACGTCAAGGTCAAGGTCAAAGTGGTTGGTATCCAAAGGAAGATCTTGTCACAAGGATTACATATGTGAAGTATGAAAGCCCTAGCACCAACCATTCAAAAGTTATGGCCAAGGTTAAAGTTTTTCAAAAGTAGGTCAAACTCCTAGGTCAAGGTCAAAAGGTCAAAGTGGTGGTTGGTATCCAAAGGAAGGTCTTGTTACAAGGATTACATATGTGAAGTATGAAAGCCCTAGCTCCAACCATTCAAAAGTTATGGCCAAGGTTAAAGTTTTTCAAAAGTAGGTCAAACTCCTAGGTCAAGGTCAAAGGGTCAAAGTTGTTGGTATCCAAAGGAAGGCCTTGTCACAAAGAATACACATGTGAAGTTTGAAACCCCAAGCACCAACTGTTCAGAAGTTATGGTCAAGGTTAAAGTCTCATAAAATTTTGCAAAAGTGGGTCAAACTCCAAGGTCAAAAGGTCAAATATGATGGTACCCAAAGAAAGGTCTTGTCACAAGGAATACACATGTGAAATATGAAAGTCATAGCTCCAACCAATCAAAAGTTATGGGCAAGGTTAAAGTTGACAACAGACAGACAGGACAAAAACAATATACCCCCGGGATCTTTCGATCCGGGGGCATAAAAATACTTCCTATACTAACAAAGAGCAGAATCAAATCAAGTGAAATCCTGAACCTACACTAATATACATGTATTTCTCTTCCTATTTTTAAAAATGTCAGTAGACAGTATACCTCCCAGCAAATGCATAAATAGGGAAGAAAGTTCCCAGGCAATGTCTAAGGTGTGTATCATCTTCTGTGGTTGGGTTGTACCATATGAGGATGAGGTGTGACAGGATCTTGGAAGATACCACTCTCCCAGACAAAAGAAGTTTTGCCAAACCTTCACCAGCAACAGTTCTCAGTTCTGAGCTCTGAAATGATATCAAATATTTTTTTTTACTTTATTATAATGATGATGAAACATTAAGATATAAGAAATCTTGAATAATTAAGATGAATTCTGGGATTGAAATTCTTGATTTCAGTTTACATTCTGTATATAAATAACACATGCTTTCTTTTCTTATTAAACATAAATAAGCTATAATACATTGTATGTCTCAATTATACAGACTGATCCAATAAGTTGAATAAAACTTTGATCTCTGCATAACAAATTCCATGTATAGTAAAAATGCTCATAACAAAGTGCGAGGGACATAATTCTGCTTTGATATAAAAGTAATTTGTTCTATTCGTTAACTTCACAATGTTTTAAAACCATGGGGAGTGAAAAACTACTTTGCTGTAAGCATCATTTCATTTAAGCATGTTCACTATAAACATGTTCTACTGTATATCAAATTATGACTTAGATACATGTAGTATACAGTATTCCTAACTTATGTAAATTGGATTAAGTATGCAATAGTTGGGTCACATAAAAAAGGCTGCACACAGAACTACTTTTTATTATCAAACTGGATTCACCCACATTTCATAAGTAGAAATTGATAGAATGTGGTATATGGTCACAGTAAACAAGCATCGGGCGACACAACACTCCAGGGCAAATATCCTGTTATGTTGCCCTCAAAGCCATGTAATATATGTATAATGTTCTCATTTTGTATCAAAATTGTTGGGCAAGTTAGAGGTTTGGGCTAGTAAATTTTTACTGATCAGTAGCCCCTGGGCTAGTGGGTTTTCCAGGAAAATTTCAACCCCTGTCTGTCTCAAAAATGGAAAAGATACTACAACCTCTCTTACTGTAACCAATGAACACCAACAATTTTTTTTTTGTTATATACAAATAGCAAATTATCAGAACTAAATGTTATTGTCCCATAACACACCTCTTCATCAAGGAAGGCACATAATATAGCGACGAGTTTAGCCGCTGCTGCCCCTGAGCTGCCGTCCTCCACACTATCTTGTCTCTCCAGGAGGCTGTCAGCGGTGGAGGTGGACGACGTCTCATCATCCTGTCTCCCCCTCTGCATGACCTCCAAACCATGCAGGTGAAGCATGTCAAAGATGACCCTCAGGGCTGTACAGCGAACCAGCTCAATATCAATCTGGGAAGCCTACAAATTAATTCTCATAAATTGACATCTGCTTTGTATGTGTCCTATTCATAGATACAAGCATTAAGACATTGTATAATGAAATTCAATTCAACCCAAAACATCCTACTCCAGAGACTAAATTTTATTTTTTTGTATAAATATTCATGACATTTGGCAATGCACTTAATTTAGTGGAAACTGCCTTCAAATAGTGCTTAATAGAATACACTGCCAAATGTAATACAAAGAAGTTCCTTCATTTGTACTTTGTAATACATATACCATGTATACTTTCCAAATCATCAATTCAGCTTGACTGTAAATAACATACAGTACAATTCGTTTTTTATCATACCAGTTTTATATCATACTTCTTTTTTTATCATAGATATCTGAAACACAAAACCATTTCTTAATAATTCATTATAAATTTCGTCTGTTATTATCCTATGTAAAAGTATACACTTCGCTTACTATAATAGAAAATTTCCGTCCGTAATATTTTTTTTCACACCTTTTCACTCTTGGGACAATCAACAAAACAAAAGATGACACCTATCTACACCTGTGGTTCATGCACTGTCGCTTGTCTATACACAATGGCTTGATTTTCACTTTGAAATTTGCCGATAGTGAAAGACTGGGGAGATTAGTCACACTTCAGTGCACTTACCTGAGCGATTGGCAGGGAGTCTATTTATTTCATGAAGTACATGACAGGATAACGCAGACTCTTTTTTTTTTCTTTCATAACTTATTTTCTTCTTAAGTTAATCCTGAATTGTACGTTCGTAATAAATACGTTTTACCAAATGTGTTGAAACTAAATTTAGTGTCAATATTAACCCAAGCTTTCTTACGCTTGGTGTCTGGATCAATGTTCATAGTTAATTACATTTACAAAACTACCCGATTAATTAAGAAATAATTAAGTGAAATTAACTCTTTCACCAGTCTGTCCAAGCGGCTTTGAATGCATATGCTCATCAGTGTATCAATTAATTTTAATTATACGGCGACATTAAGTGTAAATAGGTAATTTTTTTATGTCTACTTTGGATGAATAAAAGAAACAATTTGAATGCATGCTTTGTTGCTGTGTTAATTTATTTAATATGTGACCAAAAACAAAATACAAAAAAAAAAAACCGAAATGAAACATTGGTAATTTGAATTGACCATAAATTGAAAATGAAAGTAGATCAAAATAAACAAGATGGATGCCAAGGGATCTAGAAGATTGAGTTTGAAGAGTATTAAGCTTTATTTAAGTGAATTTATTTATAATAAAAAGCTGAAACAGTAAGTAAATATTGTGAAATGATATGTTAGTTAACTTGTATTTCAAATAAACCTAAAAAATCGAAATTATATGTAACGTAAGATGTATAATACATCCAATAATTTACACAAACGTCGTATCGTCAGCCGTCCGACATGAATTTCAGCCGACTATAGTTATTATAAAAGTCGCTTATTATAAAGTTTTGGCCTGACAAATAAACTATGATAATAAACGAATTGTACTGTATAACTACATAAGTACCTGCATGAACAGAGGTAAATACTGCATGACCAAATCTTTACTGATGACACAACACAGTCCTAGTGCCTTCACTGCAAGGTTTCTAATTCTTCCATCTTCATTTTGAATCCCAGGCAAAATCTGTACAGAATGACGAATTCCATACACTTCAAACAATTTCCAAAGCAGATTAGCTGTTCAATAAGGTTTACAAATTTAAAGTCTAAAGTTTCAAGAGGCAAGCATTAACTTTGAGGATTTCTGATCAATTCTGAAGTTACCTAAAACTGTGTATCACTTACCAGAGATTCAATCAACATCTGAAGTGAAGGACTGACACTAGACAGGGAAAGAGTCTCCAACATCTCAGCAACAATGGCATGACACTTAAGAATGGTGGCCACGTCAGTCTACAACATATCAATCACAAAAACAACTCATCTAGTGAATCTACATTCCCAGTATAATATATACATGTATGTATTTCAGCACCACATTCTGTGTTTGAGTTAATTATCAGTAAGATACATCAGTTGACAAGGTTTTATGATGCTATGTCTTCTGCTGTACAAGATGAGTAATGATGTACAGCCATTAACTTCTAGTTTATTCATTTCCACCTGATCATAAGCAGTGAACAGTTCTCTGAATAACTCCTAAACAAGTTCATATCAATTTACAATTATCATAGCAGTGATTCATTTTGAAATAGTTATCATGGTCCAAAGAACCCTTCTAAATAATGACAATGCATTCCATACTAAAATCTTTAAGGTACCTATCCATATGACTGAGGAAGTTCTGGTGAACTATAAGAGGGTATTACACAAAGAAGCCATTCTATTGTATTATAAAATGGTTCAAATTATCAATTTGGCAATTAGATTCCTAGGTTTTGTGACAAGAAAATATTATATCCTAAACTATGATGACAATCAACATTTCTGCCATTCAGTTTATATGGAAAAAATATGAAAACAATACATATGTCTGTCTACGGTAATTATATTGCGTCCATTGGAATGCACATTTATTTAATTCATGTATCCTGAGCAAAACCAATGCGTAATTTTCACAGGATGCACATCAAAATGAATCACTGTTTCATAGTATTTAACAGTACCTTCTCTGTTCGTATTTCCTCTGTCTGAGTTTGTGGTAGGTCCAGAAGGTGGTTCCTCTCTGTCTCCAGCTCTGATATGCTCTGTTTAATTTCAGCTGCTCGGCTGAAGTCCTGACTACGAACACTCTCATCTAATGAGTCCTTCAATTCATTCAGCTTCACTCTAATGTTGGCAATCTGTGTTTAAAAAGCAAGCATCTTGTCTGTTAAACAATTCACCATCACGTCTAATATTAAATTTACTTTTCTTTAACATACAAATTTGTTAAGCTGGGAAAATATGGCAGGTACCCTATGCTGAAACATTACATACTCAATATGTATACCTTATGATACATTTTCTTTGAAGTCCAAAAAAAAAGTTTTCATTAGTGTTTAGAGCTTCCTCGACAATATCAATATTAGTATTTAATACAAAAGCTACCTTGAATTATTGGTGTTATGAATGACTGTAACAAATCTTTCTTTGTTAAATATATGTAAAGAATATAATTCAATAATGACTGATTGTAAATGTTCTTTAGAAAAAATGCATGTACAAACAAAAAATAACTTTAAACCCTTTTTCTAAGTTATACTTACAGAATGAATTTTAACTCTGTTCATAGTGTGTACCTCTTTTTATTTATTACTGTAAAATCACATATTTTTGTGGGGGCAAATTCTTGTTGTTTGAGGAAAAACTATGGGTTTGTGAGGATTAAATTTTTTTTTTTTTTTTTTTTTTTGGAAATCTTCCATTTCCTTAATTTTAGCTTGAAATAACTAAATACATGTACTTACCTAAAACAAGGGGCAATTTAATGTCAAGCAGGCCTAACTTTATCAATATATATGCATATTATTATTTCAAAGATAGACATACAAAAGTCTTGACGGTCTAGAAATGGTAGGTCACCATTTTTGATTAAAAAAACAACAAACTTTAATTGACAGATCTGTGAATATGAATATTGATTTTTGCTACCTTTGTAGCTCTAGAAATTTGTAATTATTATCATCTTATAATTTAATTGTGGTTGTAACGCTGTATTTGATTGGATAAAAAATTTACTTTCTATCGTATAAAATGGGTTGCCTACGTCACAATTACTTGCGTCAAAAACATATCGATCCGCCTGACGTTACATTCAAATTTTGTACAAATTGAAGTCATTTTTTAAGGACAATCATCTTTTTTCTCACACCAAATGAATGAAAATTAAATTATAAGGAATGAATTTAATAGCTACCCAATTTATATGGTATAAAATGGGTAGCTATTAAATTCATTCCTTGATTAAAATTTGATGTAGTTCACAGAATTAATATTTTCGACTTTCAAGCATATGTAGTTTGATACAAGTATCAGCAAAGTTCAATTCATTCTTACATTTGCTTTTCAATGGTTCTCTTCACAAGTTCTTAGCATGACAATGTAAATGTCTGAAGTTTTGCACAGATTTCAATTGTTTTTTATGTCAAAAGGATTGAATTCCATTTCTGAAATCAGATATTCCTCCTAGCCCTAACCTTAATATCATTTTGTCTGCGATCGTCCTCTGAAGGCCCCCTCTCCACTGTTGTGATTGGTTCTCGGATTTCTGATATAATCTCTGCCAGGATTGGTACCAGATTTGGAGACTGAGACTTGATCTTGGAGAGTGGCTCTATTATATACTTCACCAGACTATGACTGACATGGTCCAGGATTAGAAGCTCATGAAGCAAATTCTCCACAGCTTTTCTGAAATTTCAGCAAAACAATAAAATATGATAAAATTTGCAAATATGATGAAATATGATATGCTGCATCTATAAACAGTTACTGAGCTGACCTGACCCTTCACTAGACAGGGAAACTCCACAAAGGGCTTACTATAAAGTCACATGTATATCATAAACTTGTGTAAAGCACACACCCCAAGGTGATCTAAAGGATATGTTTGAAAAGTTCAGTTTGTAATACTTCAAAAATGAAAGCAACTGGCAACCTTTAATACTCTCTCTGTAAATGCAGAATAAAGTATGTTTATTTATGTATTTAAGTTTATTTTATTTCATGTTCTAGTATTATAAGTGTATTTGGTAATAGCGAGCACAGCGAGCGGCGCAAAGCGCCGCTCATCACTGCGAGCTCTTAAAGCAACACCTGGGCGAAGAGAAAATTCGGACTTTGCACATTGATCCAAACGAATTCTTTTTCCGCAGTAACCTGTGGTCCAATAATGCTTTGCGGATTGCATCTTGCTGCAAATTACATTCCAGCAGTAGCAACAAAAGTTTAACAAATAATGAAATCACATTGATTTAATGAATATTGCAGAAAAAAACAGTAGATTAAACATTCTTCATTAAAATTAGCACCATTCAGGTTTTGATTTGGTAATTCAGGGATGGGCATGATTACTGAAAAATGTAATCGATTAATAATCGATTACGTAGAGGAATTTTGTATAATCATTTAATAATCGATTACACTCATTTTTGTCCTGTAATCAATTACTTTGGAAGATGTAATCGATTAATAATCGATTACTTCCAAGTTTTTATCCCTTCAAATATCAAAGCAATATTTAAATGGTAAATGTTGAAGTTATCCACAGAAGTTTGAATGTGTTCCTGCAGTTTCAGTGCAGATTCTTTTAAGGTTTTATTCTGGCTAACATTCTCACTAAATGCCCAAATGCCCAAATGAGGGATTCTCTACCATGGAAAGTGGAGACATGATTCCTACAATAAAATATGCCAAGGAATTAATTATTCCTTTCAACCTTGGATCTGAACCTCCATATTTATTGACTTGTTGCAAAAATTATTTAATATTATATTGTGAATTACTTCATTAGAAGTATCTTGGCTGTCCGTATGTTGACAGTACACATTAAACATTCCTGTCTTTTTAAAAAAAAATAAGTAAATTAGAACTCTTAGTAATAAACATGTACATTAAATGTGTCTTTAAGTAATTCAATAGCACAATTTCATTCTGTTTTGAAATAAGTGTTTTGAGAGCTATTAATTGTTTTAATAATACTGTTTGTCTTCAATGGAATGAAAGTTAAACTCTAGGTAATTCACAGTTTACATATTGTTCCATATCCCTTTGTTATACATTGAATACCTTAATATACAATATCATATTCATTCTGATAACTTTATAACAAACTAATTTTGATAATAAAGACTAGCCATCACGAACTATTTTAATTTGACAGATGATATCAATTGCAATTAAGAGGCCAGATTCCTTTGCCAATTTCCCAAGAGATATAGATAACATCTGCAATGATTAAGACATTTTCCTTACACTAATAAATTAATCTTAACTTGATAGATGCAGATTAACTCTTAACAAAATGCCTTTGCATGGCAGACACTCCCAGGGACAAGTGAAATTTCTCATTATTGTTAGAAATAAAAGAAATATATGCTATATACAGCTGTACAGTAAATCATGAAAAAATGGATATTTTCTTAACGTAAAATTTTTGAATAAGGTTACTGCAATACTCAAACTTAGGTAAAGATGATAATGGCTAATATTTTACCAATTACTGTAAACGTAGCGTAAAATCCCTTTTAACTGCCCCTATGAGCACCTCCTAGGCCTTCTTCAACTGTCGGGCAATAAGAACCCCCCTGCACTGTGATTACAAATACATGTATATAGAATCGTATCGAAAGTCCGCCATAATTTTGAGGAAGTGAAAATGAAACTCTGTTATTGGGTAATTGTATGTAAAGTATTCCTGAAAGTGAAAGATTCTTAGAACGACCTAATCATTATGTATTTCTGAAAGTGAAAGTTACCTACAATTTGTTCTCCTTGTGTATTCTCTAATTTTTTTTATGAAAAAATAAATCATTGAGCATAATTTGGGTGGATTATCTTATGGTAAAGGAAAGTAAGGCATATATCTAGTGGTTTAATTTTTTTTCAAAAGATATCTTGAATTTAAATATGACATTAAATATTATAACAAGAATATCAAAATAACCGCCCCCTTTTTGTAATTTTCTAAGCGACCGGGGCATTTAAAGGGATTTTACGGTATAACATTTCGCAGTGTATTCTATAAAGGTCCTTTCAGGGAAGGCAGCTTCCACTAAATCAAGTATGTCGCTAAATGTCTTGTTTGGATATATTCATATCTATCACATTCAGAAAATGCTAAATCAAACCTATGCTAATTTGCTGTAAAATTAATTTCCGCTTAATATTATTCACGTTAAATATAATACATTTACAGTACGAGTCAGACAGGGTTTAGCCATATTTGGCTATATCTTGTTAATCACAGGTCACAGTGACCTATTTCTGATGTGCAACACACCATCTACCCAAGATAAATCAACAGAAAAAGTTTGATTATTTTAGGCCTTTCAAATTATGAGCCGGACACAGAAAAGATGCAGTGTAGGACTTTTATAAAGAAAATCCTGGTGAGAACTCTGATATTAACAAGTTACCGTGAAGACTGATCAGCAAGCTCCATGTACTGGATCATAGACAATAGCTGCTGTATGATGAACTCTTTCTCCATCTGTGTATCAATGTCTGTACTTTCCTTCAGTGTGTTCACATACCTAAAATGTCAGGGACTGCATAAACAAAGTTTTATAGAAATATACAGTATTATTTTATTATGTTATATCTAATGCATGGTTATTTCTCCTTAGTACAAATAAATTCCAGTTAAAAAAACAAAACAAAACAAAAAACTAACCCCTGGATAGCAAACCAATTCTGAATATGAATAGCCCCTTCATGTGTATGAAGAGAAATAATTAAGTGCCCTGCACAGCATGAAACGCCCGTCAAATATTGTTCAATTATCGTAAACAGCTTAAAGTGTGAGAAAATCATGTCAACCTTGATACAAAGATTTCAATGATTTCTTTCCATTCCTTATAATGTTTGATGTACATATACATATATACATCTCCTGTAGTGTAGGTATTACTTAAAAAAAAAATACATCATATATTTCTCAAATGGTTGTGTAAGAGCTTAACAAATGCCCATCTGCAACTTTGTTTATTGTATATTTTATGATTAACAATGCTACAGCCTATTAAAACATCAAAACAAATTATTTTTATTCTTTAGATTATAAAATGTCATCTTTGTGAGACATGACACTCTGAATTTGTTGTACATGATATACAAATTTAAATAAAATAATATTAATACATGTATACAATATCAAATTAGTTTTAATTATATTATACAATATTATACAATATCAAATTAGTTTTTATTACTTAACATCAAATTTATCTTGAAAGTTAGGCTAACCAACAAGGACTATTTAATCCAACACATTGCACAAGCAATTAAGAGGCCAATTTCTTTGCCCATTTCCAAAGAGATATAGATAACACCTGCTTGATCAGAGATATTCTACCAGTTATCTCCTCACACTAAACTCATTAATTTCTCTCTAAATTGACATGCAATTTTCTGTTATTAAATTTCTATCCATGGGAGGTGCAATTTTTCTTTTAACATTACATTTGTTATAGATTGCCATAAAGTATATAATAACAAGAGGCCCAAGGGTCACATCACTCACCTGAGCACTGTGGCTAGGAAACAAGCAAAAATCAGTTTAGTATTGAAAAACTTAAATGCGTAAGTGGTCCCGACCTACCCCTAAAAGGGAAGGGGGGGGGGGGGTTTAATGATTTGAACAAAACTGAATCTACACTAACTAAGGATGCTTACATATTTTTTGACTGTGATCTCTTTTCCAAACAAGTTTGAACTTTCATTGTGACCCCACCCTACCCCCAGGGGTCATGATTTTAATTTGATAATTTAGGCTAAGGTGAGCTAAAAAAAAAGAAGAAGAGTATTTTCTTGATTGAACATTTTTATTAATAAGGATACTGCAATACTCTTACATCTTTTGGAATTGTGTGATTCAGATGTTAAAGACATAGGTTTTTTTTTTTTTTTTTTTAAATTTCACTTAGGTCACACTGACCTTGAAGTAGGGTGTGACACACCTTTTAAAAGGCATTAATTAACCAAGTTTGATGATTTTAAGTCTAATAGTTTTCTAGTTATGAGCTGGACAGGTTTTTTCCCCCATATTTGACCATAGCATCTTAATTGAAGGTCAGAGCAACCTGCTTTAAATGTGCAACACACCTCTACCCAAGAGGTATCAGCTAACAAAGCTTAATAATTCTAAGCCTGATGGTATTAAAGTTACGAGCTGGACACGAAAAAGCTAACAGATGGACGGACATGAACGCCATAACATAATACCGTATGTCCTGTCTAAGACAGGCGTATAACAAATCAGACATGCTGACTTACTCTCTTATATATTGACAGAATTCTAAGCAGTTTGGGAGCACCTTGTCCAGAAACTCATCGCCATCTATTCCAAGGGAATGTATGTGTTTACAAACTGCCTGCCAGTACATGGAGTTCTCACTAGTCAGCTTGTGCTGGGCAATCAGAATTCTACAATACACAACTTCTACTTAACTGTCAGATCTCAGTTAAAAAGTTCAGAAAAGTTTACAACTATGTTCAATTTCAAGTCAATATTTACCAACTTTTCCCATCTCCATGCTAAATGCTTTGTCATGCATTACTCCTAACATTTATAGCACTGTGAAGTTCAATTCTAATGTAATCATAGCTAACCTTTAAATTCTTGATAAACCTGTATTGTAATGTTTGCAAAATCAAAATTTTCTTAAACAATAAGCAAGAAAAAAGAAGAAACTTTGAAGGACTTGCTTGTCATCTAAGATATCAAACTTCTGGACCACTTCTGGTAACGGGGCCTGTTTTAGCAGTGTCTTCAGAACCAGTTCACATGTCTCAGTTGAGTTCTCCACATCTAGACTTCCCAATAACTCCAATACATTGCCTCCAAATGTACGCAGCCAGGTCTGCAGTAACTTCCCTGAACAAGCAGCTTTAACAGATTCTACAAACAGAAAGAAAATTATGAAGAAGACTTACAGAGCATGCCTGCTGTCTAATCCATTTGTGTTTCATGCATAAAATACATGCAAATCAAACAGACTTTACAATGCAATAACTGTTTTATTACAATTTTATTAAATACTGAATGCTGTCGTCATCTTAAAAATCTAGAAATATGTCCAAGAGGCATGAATGCCCCACCACAGGTACATTTTTATTACAACATGAAAAGATATGTACCTTATTTCAGTGGTCTGAGCTAATAGTAAATTATGATAAAATAAAGTGCCCAGCCACAGCATGATACGCCCGTCAAATATTGTTTAATTATCTTATTAAGAAATAAGGTATCATTTTTAAACATCTATCGGGATATAAATACAGGTTGGTCACGAGATCAAATTCCATAAAGCCCAAAGGGCTTTATGGTAAATTTGATCTCGTACCAACCCGTATTTATAGCCCGATAGATGTTTTAAAATGATACTTTATTACTTATATTTACATTTGTGACTTATTCATATTTTATATTTGCCTGATTATAATCTTTAACGCGTGAAACTTTTTATTTTTCAAACCCAATGGCACGTGTTTGATCCACTGATTGCGCGTCGACCCTTTATGACGTCACTGAGAAATTACGTCGAACGTTTATGACGCGAGGAACCCGTGTTTATACGGCTATAGATACGCATTGCTTTTAATAGTGTTATATAAAAGACAACATTTGCAAATGTAAATATAACAGTTTAAAGTGCAAGAAAATCATGTTAACCTATATACAAAGATTTCAATGATTTTTCCATTTCTTATAATGTTTGATTTACATACATCTCCTGTGGTGACTAGGTATTAATTATAACAAATAATACATCATATATTTCTCCACTGGTTTTTGTTAGAGCTTAAATGCTCATCTGCAGCTTTGTTTATTGTATATTTTATAGGGCTGTGCGGTGCACCGTGGTTCATACTGTTCGATTCGGTGCACCGATCCAGAATTCTGGAATCTGGTTTGGTTCAACATTTACATAACACGTATAAACAAAAATGGCCACCAATTGGAGATCGGAAGTGTTTGATTTCATGATTTTGATACTTCTTAAAATGATTTTGCCAGTCTGAAGTCAATGATTTAGTTTTTTTTATTCCATAAACACCTTTTCCTTTTACAATAGAAGTTAGTTTAAATAGGTATGGGCTTGTAAATAGCCCGACTGACTAGTGAAAAAGTAGCAGGTATTTTCCAACTTTTGCTTTTAAATCCCCAAACAATGAAAAAAATCAAAGAAGTGTGGTTCTCTTGTTCATAAATCTCCTCTCTCTAATTCTTTTAACACTTTTACATTATTTATTTATAATTTCTAAATCCATGAAAACTATCGTCTTTTTTACTAATCCGTATTCATTCAATCCCGATTTTATGGAAAATACATGAAGATTTCACATTAATTGAATAAATTATTTCAAACTATTCAACTGATTTTCTGAAGAGTAAATATTTACAAGGGTTATCAAAAATATATTAACATTGTATCTGAAAATTTGAATTAAAAATAATAATAAATCACTAGCGTTCACTTCAAAAAGAAAGTTCAATGATCAGAAAAAAGATGAATGTATACTACCATGTTAAAAGGTATCTATAGCATGATTGTTCATTCTATTAAATTCAGCCTTAAATAATTTCTCTGATTATTTATTCATTACTGACTCAAAAGAAAAATGCAAAAAGAGAAAATAAGCAGAAGAAATATGAAAAGAAGAGTAATTAGTTTCAAATTTTATTATTTTTTGGGCTAGTAAAAAAGTTACTTTAGCCAGTAAAAATGTCAAATCCACTAGCTTCACTTGTTAGTGTCTCAGAAAAGTTTTTTGAAGACTGAAGTAAAGGAGTTTAATCAGCTTTTAAAGCAGAGGTTATTGTTTTTCATTTATGATGAGAAATATTTAGACTGTTTTAGGTTAAATCGAACCGAATCGGAAAAAACCGAACCGTGTCATTCTGAACCGAAACCGAACCGAATCGATTGAACCCTGAATCGTCCCAGCCCTAAATTATTTTATGATTGATTAACAATGCTACAGCCTAATAAACATCGAAACAAATTATGTTTATTCTTTAGACTATAAATTTGTCACCTTAGTGAGACATGACACTCTGCAATTTGTTGTAAAGATATAAAAATTAAAATAAAAAAATATTAATTACTTTACATCAAATTTATCTTGAAAGTTAGACTACCCAACAAAACTCTTCAATTAAGAGGCTGATTCCTTTGCCCAATTCCCAAGATATATAGATAACACCTGATTGATCAGAGATGCTCTACCAATTAGCTCCTCACACTAAAACTCATTAATTTCTCTCTAATTTGACATGCTATTTTCTGTTATCAAAATTCTCCTTGACCAGTGCTTGATAATTACTCCCATGGGAGAGGTAGAATTTCTCTTATAACATTACATTTGTTACAGATTGCTGTAAAGTATATAATGAAAAAAAATAGTATTTTCTTTATTTAACATTTTTTTAATAAGGATACTGCAATACTCTTACATCTTTTGGGATTTTGTAATTTAAAAGTTAAAAGACATAGTTTTTTTAAATTTCACTTAAAGGTCACAGTGACCCTGAAATAGGTCGCAACACACCTTCTACACAAGATGCATATACTGGCCGAGTTTGATGATTCTAGGTCTAATAGTTTTCTAGTTATGAGCCGGACAGTATTTTTCCATATTTGGCCATAGCATCTTAATTAAAGGTCGGAGCGACCTACTTTTAATGCGTGACACACCTTCTACCCAAGATGTATCAGCTGACAAAGTTTGATAACTCTAGGCCTAATAGTATTAAAGTTATGAGCCAGACACAAAAAAGCTAACAGACGGACAGACGGATATGAACGCTATAACATAATACGTCCCGTCTTCAGACAGGCATATAAAAAGGAATACAGTTAAACTTGGGTATCTCGTACACTGATATCTCGAACACCATGGATATGTCGAGGTGATTTGGAAGTCCCAATCCCTTATTCTGTAAGTATTTTAGCATGGATATCCGGAATCCTGGGATGTCTTGAAGTTTTTCTCAGTCCCATTGAGTTCGAGATAACGAGGGATTGTCTGTAATTGTCTTATTTTTTTTCATATACAGAACTGATACCCTCTGTACAGTTGTTGTCCTTTAAAGCTACGCAGAGTTGATTAATCTCATCTAATCATCAAACAGCTAAATAAGATCTCATTGTTTCAAGTTCATTCTCTCATCTTATGCAAATTTGTATATGATCTGTTATGTCCTCAATGATGTTATAGCAGACAACACATGTATTCTTTGGAACAATCTAGTGTAATTAATTAATGCATTTCTTTAAGAGATCTATCACAAATACAGCCTGTCTCTAAGACCACTAAAGATAAACAGATGTATCTGATGAGACTGTAGCTGTACAGCAGTTTGTACTTAGAGAAGTGGGAAAAGAAAATGTACAGCTGGACTTGAAAGACATTTCTTTAAGACAATTACAGAATTAAAGTACACATGTATCCTACGATATTCTAAACACTTGTGCCAAGTTTTGTTTAAATTAAACCAAAGTATTTTGAAAGATTTTCAGATTTTTTCTTTTTTTTCTACATGCATGGCAACACCATTCATCAAAATCTTAACTGATAATCAGAATTATGAGCATTGGTATGGTTAACTTGTGTACTAAGTTCAATTGTCATCAGAGTAAAACTGTAGGAGGAGTAATATCTTTAAACAATTCCATTTTTAGTAACCATTGCAACATCATTCATTGAAATCAAACACTGACACATAGGACTATGTACCATGAGTTATTGCAATCATACTGAAATTGTAGAATAAGCTGGATTTTTTCAATATCTATGGCAACACCTTTCACAGAATTACGTATTTATGCTACAAAAAATTGAAATCATGGTTCCTGGGCCCATGCACATCCATTTTTACTTAGCCGCATTTCACTTTGTATCATATTTTCAATAAAATAAAAAGTTGGTAATGCGAAAACCTATCTAGGAAAAAAATTTCACCCTCATTTTCTCATAGTTTTGCAATCTATTTTTATTTCAAGCATCTATTTTGTATTAATATGGATATTGACACTTTGAGAAAAATGAAGAATATGCATATATTTTGTAATTTTGTGAGATGTTAAATATATCTACATAATGACTTTCAGTATAATTGTAAAGAAAAAAGAATTTTCTTTTGAATTTTATAGAAAATTCCGGAATTAAAAAAAAAAAGCCCCCCCCCCCTTTATTGCCATTAAAAGGGGAAAAAAAGTCTGCCCACATCTGTTATTTTGTTTTGTTTTATAGAGATTTCATCTGTTTAATGTGCTAAGTTCGATATTATGAAATAAGACCAAAACTATTGTAGGAGATGTTGTTTTAAGAATTTCTTTACAAACAGACAGACACTTTACCAAGGCACAAGCTGTTCCATACTTTGTCCAATAGAGCTAAATATTACAATGCCACCACACCTGATCTGTCTGTCAACCCATCATGAAGGAGAGCAACTCTGTTTGCTATGGACAGTGCCTTAATGTGAATCTTCTCCCCCATTACAGTATATGCCGTTTTCCTCACAATATCTCTAACATCTCTTCTACGGGTCAGAATGGCTGGAAGCGTTTTCACAGATGGAGCGATATTGGAGAGAACAATTCTTCTGATATCTGGGTTAGGGTCACAGTTCATCAAAAATAGATATGCTACAAAATATAATTAATAAGAATAAATTGTTTTCTTCTACCTTTGGCTAAATGTTTTTCAAATATGATATTTAGTAAAGATCCAGGTTTTGTAGCTCGGCATCTCCTCTCTTCTATTTTTAACAGTTTAATTTGTCGTTTTTCTTTATGTGTTACCTTTAATGACTGGACAGTTTTCATCCCTTGGGTTTTGTAACCTTGTTAAGGCTAAAACAGCATGCATTCTCACTATGGGTATCTTGTCCCGGAGTCTTTCGAGCATACACTCATAGATTTTATCATACAAATCATCATCAATCCTGGCATCCTCTCCCAGATTATCCAGAATTTTGTGGATGAGCTGGCTGATTCGAAAACGCACTGCTTTGTCATTGGCTGAATGATTCTAAAAAACAAATTGCCGTAAAGGATAACTTGCACTACAGGGACAAGGTACAATATATACAAAAAAAAAGATGGATCTTTTTTTTTTTGGGGGGGGGGGGGGGGATGTATTGGCAAATTGAGACACTGTCAGCAGAGCAATGCTTCTTAATTAGCACAATACCTCTTATATAGTCATAAATCTGAGTCAAGACTTTTCTTTAAAGTAAATATTTCACTGTAAATTTATTCTAAGTTTAGCCAGATGAAACCTTTTGCATTGGCTAAAGAAAAGCCATTTGTCTGAAACAATGTGTCACCTCTAGCAGGAAGTCCAGCATTTTCTGTAGCAGTTTGTTGTTTGTGACATCATCCAGTGTTGAGTCATTCTGATCCTCCGCCTCTGGGATACTGGGTGTTGTTATGGTGACAAACTTGGCAATAAAGTCAATAGTTCGCTCTACAGAGGGTGCTCTTTGCTGGATGATCATGGAGTACATCATAAGAAGCTTGAACTCTGACCAGAACTTTTCTATATCAGTCTGTAATTAGGTATTGTATTTCATTATATTCTGAAATCAAATCTGATTAGTCATAAAATGTAGAACTTTACCTTAGTATGCGTGCCTTCTAGTGATGAATAATCGGAGAAAAATCATAATCAATAATCGGTTGTAATCGGAAACACATAATCGATCGATAATGGGCTATAATCGGAATTTTTTCCCTTTCAAATAAAATAAGAGATTCCTTAACATGTTAAATCATAATTATCATAAAAACAACATTTGTATCTTATTCTATTCAGAGTTTAATAAGTATAAATAAAGTCAGTAATTTATATAAATAAACAAAATTAATTTTTTTCAGTAAATTTGTTTAATGACAAACTTTTCGAATTCTTTTTTTTTTCTCTCAGCAAAATTTAAAATCAGCGTTAAATTCCTGTAGGAAGCTTCATTAAAAAAAGAATACATGTATACAAATGGGAACATTACTGATATTAGTTACACCCTCTATTACCGGTATTTATTTTCTTTAAATTACTTTGTGTAATTTCAATTTGGACTTATAAAATTATTAATAATCAAATTTATAAAACGTCTGCACTGTTTGTGTATTTCTGATTACAGTAGAACCCCATAAGGCGGGCCAATTCCTGTTATTAGCCTGACTAGGGTTGGATATCGTTAAGGATGAAACAGTTCGATACCATACCGGTATTTTTGAAATGATATGGTATTTTTAACAATACGGTACTATGCATTGATGAATAAGAATGAGGGTTCATTTTATAACAAATATGCTTTCACCATTCACTAACCTTTCAATGATATAATCTAAAATGAGCTTATAAACTTTGTTCCATGCTTTTAAGATATAAAAATAGATATTCCTAATATTCAAATTACAAACATTTCATTTCAACCTTTTAATAATGATCAACAAAACAAATCAATTGAATCTCAAACAAATTAATTTGCACAAATTGGCTGACTGCTTCACTCGGTTGCCAGGACCCCTTTTGTTTGGTCGCACTAAATGACAAAACATTAGATAATGGATAGATCACATTTTTTGCGACATTTTGCCTATTAATTTACATTTATTATCAGTTTTTATTTGTAAAATTAAAATAAGATTCATGTGAATGTATTTTGATTTTTAAAAAAAAATATATACGTATTGATTTACTTTGAATATCGGCAGTCGAAAGTAAGTATCGTTCTAAGAATCCATTTCGTTACATGTACTTAACCTACCCTTTCAATGAGCGGAGAATTCGATTTTAGCAAGTTTGGAATGGGTTTTTTTTCTCAATCAAATTGAATGTATTAAAATGTTTTAAAGATTAAGAAGTACCGTTATTAGTACCGGTATTAAATGAAACCGTATTTTACCGGTATTTTTTAAGTAACTATTCAGTACGGTATTGGTACTGGGTACCGGTATCCAACCCTAAGCCTGACTTTACATTCAATCATGGCGGTAAAAATTGTCAACAACAACCATTGAAGTGAAGTGAAGCGATGTTTTCCATCCTTTTTTCAGTTGGTGGATCTTATATTTTTTAGAGAGCTATCTCAGTATTCTAGAAACACTCTAAACATGCTAAATTTTTATGATCGTTTTTAGTCATTTTCTTAAAAATGATGTGTTTTAGTCATAATTTTTTTTTTTTTAATTTTATGACTTGTAATCATCATTTTCAGAATGACAGATTTCCGTCTCACCCCTGACAGATAAATTATTTGATGCAAACTAGATTTTACCTTGTCATATATTTTCTGGAGTTCCTTGAGGAGTTTTCCATGGCACTGCATGCCATTCTGGCATTGCCGAAATATATCCCTCATAACAATCATGCTAGTAATAATTCGGCACAAAGCTGCAATGAAAAACTAAATAATTATTTAATCATGCATGTTTACTTAACAATCTCTCAGATTTGTAAGAGTTTTCTTGAAAGCCTAAAATTTTTGCAAACCCTGATTATTATTAACCATCTTGTTGACCAGAATTGACCTTCACTATAATTTCATTCAAGAAGTAGCTGTGTGGTCACAAATCTTTATATAGCCCAAAAACTTTTAGAACTTTGTGTATAAAGTCTCTCAACTAGACACTATTTGATGAGTGATTTTTACATGCATTGTTTCCAGAAGAGTTCAAAGTTGAATTCTTTCACTGAACCAAGGTGCTTTTTTTTGTACATGCTGAAATAATAATACATTTAAGATAAAAGTGAGATAAAATAGGCTAATCAAGCTATTTTGAATAGCTTAATAAAGCTATATAGCTATTTCAAGCTATATAGCTAAATCAAGAGATTGTGTCAGACCTGGTGCTGGACTTGTTTTTTTTTTTTTTACACAAGTAAGCCCCTAAGCCCAATGGGACAATGAAAGTTGTCATTCATCATGATTCAGAAAATATAATAAAATAGCTATTTTCCCCTACATTTTCCCTTATTCGCATTTTGTGGCAAAATGGCCGAACAGCACATTATGGTGAGTACCAAATTTATTGATACAGTCACACTGACAATGAATACGACAAAAATTTTGGTCAAAAAATGATTGCTTTCAAAATTAACAATTTTGCATCAATAACTACACCCGTTTCATTTTCTGGGAGATATAGATTAAAGCTACAGTCAAGGGACATAATTATTCGCCACTTCCGCGCAAATCGCGTCACGTTTTCTCGCATGTTCGGTAAAGTAGGGCTGAGCGCTATTAATAGACAAGAGATTTTCCCTTTCTATTTTTATCTTTGTGTTGTAATACTAAAATTGATGACGTATACACAATATTTTTGTCGTCTGCTTTCTTGTTTGTCGATAAATTTATGTAAAAACAACATGGGTCGGAAGGAGAAAGAATTAGATACATCCGTCAGAAGTATGGTTGTAAAAGCATATAAAGAGAACAGAAATACATCAGAATTGGAGAGAATATTAGGAATTCCTAGGTCTACAATACGTAGTATTGTGAAAAAGTTTGATGAAACAGGACAGGTAGAAAATCGACGAGGAAGGGGAAGGAAGAAGTGTTTACAGACAGAGATAAAAACAAACTTTCACGCGTGGTTAAAGAAAACAGACGAAGAACTTACGAAGACATAACAGGTATTATAAATGAGGAAAACAATCATAGATTTTGCACTAGAACTATAAAAAGAAAAATTCAAGAGCTGGGATACAAACGGAGGGTTGCCAAGAAAAAAGTCCCTGTTCGCGAGGCCAACAAAAAAGCTCGCTGCAAGTGGTGTAAGGAGAGAAGAAATTGGACTGTTGATCGTGAATGGAATAAATGGGTGTTTAATGATGAAAGCCAGATAGTAATTGGAAAAAATAAGAAAGTTTATATATGGAGAAAAGACGAGGAAAAGTACAGTGCGCAGTTAGTGTGTCCGCCATCCCGACGACATCTGAGTATCATGATCTGGGGTTGTGTGTGTATAAAAGGAATAGGAACTTTAACTAATGTAGAAGGTAACATAAATGCAAGAAAATATATTGAGATATTAGACAACAACCTTTGGCCCGTTTTAGCCAGACATTTTCCAGATAACCAGTACGTATTTATGGACGACAACGCTCCCGTTCATAGAGCAAATTTAGTAAAAGAATACATCGCCAACAACAACATAATTACAACATCATGGCCTGCCCAGTCTCCCGATATATCATCGAGAACATTTGGTTAAAAATAAAAAGAACTCTGGAAACCCGTGCCGAATTCATTAACACAAAAGATCAGCTTATGGCGGAAATTCGGACTGCCTGGGAAAATGTACCAACCTCCTATATTGAGGTATATTGAGGACCTGTATAAGACAATTCCTGGCAGACTAAATGAAGTAATAAAGATGAAAGGCAATTTAACAAAGTATTGAGGTAAGATAAGCATTTATTAATTGTTTAACAGATCCTAAGTATCAAGGTGCGCGATGTAAAAAATACGGCGGCCATTTTGAAGTGGCGAATAATTATGTCCCTTGACTGTACCTCGTAAGAAGCCTATAATGAGTCTTACAAATCTGCAATCTGTACAAATTTTAAAATTTACCTTCATGTATTCTTACATAAAAAGTTTTTTGAATGATTTTTCATGCAACTCCTCTCCATTCTCAACGCTCATAAAGTTTTCAAATTAACACTCCGAAATTTGATGTGCAAGTGTACAACATGATAAACAACAAGTCTGACCTGTTTTAAAGATGCGCCTTAATCATTAATTATATCTATTTTCAAAGACAGGAGGTAGAAGTAGCTATTTCAAGTAGGTTTAAATTCCCAGGTAGCTATTAACAGCTATGTAGATAGTCTTTGGACCGGACCTGATTTTTTCAAGGCCTTTGATGTATTGGGTAAACATAAACTGCAAAAGTGTCAACTTGCACCTTCCTTTCTTTTTCGTACTTTGCTAAACAGAAAATTGTAAGCAATCCTACATATGTAAATAAAAAGTAAATATCTTTAAAACACTTATTCTATTTTTACCTATTTTGAAAAATGTTTTTTCACTGCCAGTTTCAAATTCTACTTTTCCGCCATTCCGCTACTTCCGCTTCCGGCAGTGGCGGGGCAGGCGGTAAAACCAGTACTGTCGACTCCCGACTCTCTCGGATGATTTGTTTGTTTGTTGTTTAACGTTCCTCTCGAGAATTTTTCACTCATATGGAGACGCCACCACTTGCGGTAGTCGGAAATATCTGACGTTTTCCAGGCTTTTTTCACGATTTTGATATTTTACGTGCCAGGAAAACGTCAGAACCGGCGCCATTACGAAAACTGGAAATTTCACCGTCTCCAACCGGAGCTGATTTTCGACACTTGCGAACTGAATTAAATGCCGAACTTACTATTTATCAGTACCACAATGCTTTTAGTACTCACCAATATCGATGAAAAGAAAATATCACTCCACATTTCGATTTGTTCTTGCAAGATTTTAAAATGCACGAAATGACCGTGAGGGACGTCGGCAAGTATGCGAACTGAATCGAAAAGGGGGGGGGTTTCCTAACTGACTTTTTGTGACATAAACTAAATAATCAAAATTTCTGCCAAAATCTTGATATTTTTCCGTATAAGCCAATAGCCTAAAGGTATAGAACAATTAAAATGACCCCCCCCCCCAAAAAAAATGTGTTTAAGTTACACGTTCTATTTTAAAAAATTTAAATAGTTAGGAGATTTTTTTTTTCTAAATGGTATAGAAAAAACTTTGAAGGGTTTATGACGAGGTAACGATTAAAATACATCATATAATTTTCTATTATTGCATAATAGTTATTGTTACTTGCCGAAGAAATGCATAATTATGAAAGGAGATGGGCGAACATAGCGTGCAGAAAGCCTATAGCTTCAGAAATATAAAAATAATGTTCAGTTTGTGAATTCAATATTTAGAGTAAAGTTCTCATTATTGAAATTTATGAAATTGTGATAAACAAAACTTTTCTGAGGGAAAGAAACTGGGGGGATAAGCCGAGCCATATGCCTACATAACGATCGATAAAAAATCAATAAATTCATTTTATAAAAATTTCACTTTTTGTTGAATTAATGTAATGCTTATTACCATTTGCATACAAATTTGACAAAACCTGAATACTGTAACAACGAAAATGATTCTGATTAACACAACAAAATGGCATCACGCTCAATTTTCACAAAAGCTGACATAAATTGGATGATATAACTACATTTTTTAAATAGAGTGGGTCATCGTACCATTTTCTTGAGAACGAATAATGAAAGACAATGGAAAGATGTTGCTTTTTACACTTGCAAAAATTTGGTATGAAGACCCACTCTACATAAAAAAAATTAAGTTAACTTAGTTAAATTTTCACCGTGGTCTTAAAAAATTCTAAGTCCAAATACGCTTGCTTAATATAGAGAACTGTATGCTATTTAAATGGATATGTATGTGTGACTCCGTGGTCTAGTGGTTAGCGAGGAGCTCTTTAAAGGGACGTTTATTGAGGAAAGTGTTCGAGTCATGCTCTGATTTTTTGATTTTTGTTTTTTGGGGGGGGGGGGGTTAATTTTGTTTTACTTTATAAAAAATGTCTATAGGAATAACATATTTTTCACTGGAAATAAAATATATGTATGTAGTAATGAACCTCATTTACAGTAAATTATTTAAAATGCCGGATAAAAATTATAATAGATATTTGAATTCTTTTATTCCCGTTTTTATTTATTTTTACTACAAGCGCTTCTAGATCACCACTATCATTATATACAATGTTAACATTTTTATAATATCTCCACAATAAGTGTTAACACTCAATATGCAGATTAATTAATAGAAGTCCCTACCCATGTTAGACACTTGTGACAGTAAATGAAAGTCAACTGTTTAGCTTGTTTAGAATATAAATATCATTTTGAAAGCTACTGTAAACATTAAAATGCTTAAGTAAATTCGAACAATTGAGAGATTTTTTCCCAAAAATGTTCTTGCATAGCCGAAAAATGGGCATGGGCACATGGCTCGTCTTATCCCCCCAGATTCTTTTCTCGGCAAAATGTATTCTTTTATTAAAAAAAATTATGTGGTATTCGTGGGGTTGGAACCCTAGCAATAAAAATCCTGAGTATCATTTTCTTTCGAGACTAGCACGCTAACCACTAGACTACACAAGTCCTGACGAACAGTGGCATTTAAATCATGTTTGTGATATGACCCTTGACTTAATGGACTTCAAGTATTTCTCGAAAAGAAGCGAATGTTATGTCATAAAAGTATATTTTTAAAGTATAGTGGGTCATTGCTCCATATTTTTGGTAACCAAAAAATGTATATTTTTATGCAAACTTTGAGGATTAACTTTCAAAAAGGTGGAGCGAAGACCCACTCATA